TGTGCAAGTTGCGGTAATCAACCAGTGTGGAGCCTTGCGTCATGTCTAACAGAGAGGAAGCTTCAGTGGAGCCACTCCGACTTATACGGCTTAAAGCTCCACTGACGTCTCACTGCAGTGTCTGTCCACCAGAGGTGCAGCAGCGTGCGGATCTCGGTCTTAACGCAAACAGCTCGTTATATAAATGTGTAAAGAAGTTAAACTTACTCGACTGCCAGACAGAAACCAACTTCAATTCAAAAATTAATAATACCCCTTTCTGATAACGACCCCCGCAAATGTCACGATTTGGGGGCGTGCACTAGGAATGTTCGGTCCGTAAATTGGGAAGGTGTCGCCGCTCAGTTGGTTGATGTCCTCATAGCTATGAAGGCTGAACGGAAGAACGGCTGCAAGTAGGTCTTATTACTGGCATTCACCCCGGTAAATAATCGTTTGTCCCTGCGTGTTAGGGGTTCAAGAATTTACCCGCGGTAAGGTTTGCCTGTCGTAAAAGGTAACCAAAATCCAATAGTTTCCGCGACAGTCGGGTCTTTATACCGGAGCGATCCAGATTTTATCCGGCCAAGGACCGTCACTGCCGCAACATTCGCAAAAAAGAAACTACTTTGAGAAATATTTTAGCGGTTACCATAACAACAACATCGTCTAGCCACAATCCGCATCAAAGCTAAATTTTCAACATATCGCCAATTTCCGGCCCCGCCCCGACGGAAGAGGAGGACAATGCGATCAAGGATGCCTTTTATGAGAGTCTAGAGTGTACTTATGAGCGCGACCTCCGCTGCCCATCGTCAACAATCGGATTAGACTCCATTAGTGTGGCTTTAGACCTGGTAAATCAACCATTGACCAGATATCTACCATACGCAAAAACTTGGAAAAGATGCGTGACAAGAGGATCCTCACACTCCATCTCTTCGTCAATTTTAAACAAACCTTCGATATCGCGAAAAGAAGCTGCCGCTATGTGTGAATTTGGTATCATCGCGAAACTGTGTAAACTGACGTTAAGCAACACCAAAAGTTCTGTTAGGATCGGGAAAGACCTCTCCAAGCCGTTCGATAGCAAATAAACGTTTCAGACAAGGTGTGTTGGAAATAACAATATGAGCTGAATAGGGAAGGTACAATATTATATAAGAGCTGCTGGCATCATTGACCTCAAGAACCACGACGTGAGTTCTGCTTTCCACAGACTAGATCAGAAAGCGAAAGATATGAGTATGGTAGTTTACGAGGACAAGACGAAATATTTCCTGTCATCAAACACTTCACTGTTGACAGACATAACTTCGAGGTCGTAAATAATTTCGTCTGTCTTGGAATCAGCAGCAATTCCAACAAACATTTCAATTTTGAAACCCTACATAGAATCCCTCTTGTCAACAGGTGCTACTTTGGACTGAGTAGACAATTGAAAAGTAAAGTCGCCTCTCGACGAACAAAGATCGATCAACAAGTCGCCCATCATACTAGTCCTGCTACGGAGGCGTGAACGATAACAACATCTAATGCATCGGCGTTGGGAGTTATAGAGAGCGGTTTTGAGTTGGGAATGGCAAATATTGCAGCCGATAATACAAAGAGCTGTACGATATATACAGCGATATTGACATAGTTCATTGAATCAAGATACAAAAGCAAAACTGGCTAGGTCAGGTTGTGCGGCTGTATGAGGATATTCCAGCCTTGATGGTTTTCGATACAGAACAGGCCGGTGAAGTAGAGGAAGAGGAAGACTTCCCCTCTGTTGAAAATACCAGATGGAAAAAGGCCTAGTTGTAGTTCTATCTGGTATGCCCAATGGTTAACTCGGCTATAATCGCGGAAACGGTGTCCAGTAACGAAGTAGAACAATAAGAAGCCGATACGTCAAATAATGAGGAGCCGATAATTGAGCAATCCCTGAGCAAGCGGAGAACACTAAATTTTCAGCATTGCACCGCTATTTATTGAAATCGTAAATAGACGTATTAATGTTATTCTCTAAGCATCAAGTAATAAATACTAATCAATAAACTTAATTTATGCGAAACTTTATCATCGCTAACCTAGAGGTCTTTTATTCTTACTGGGATATATGCACATACTCGTATGTATGTACATTTTTATTTACGTATAGATATAAATAAAATAAAATACGAAAACACATATATATATTTTGTCTAAGGATGTTTTGTATCCGTGTAAAGGTGTGCGTTTTTTTTTTCTTTTTTTTTTAAGTGTGTTGGGTCATGTCCGGACAATTCTACGAAGCACCACTTCTCATTAATGTCAAAGCAACTGAGTTTTCCTGTTCGCTTGAATGAAATGAATTTGATTTCAACATCTTCAGATCTGCTTCGCATGCCACAAACGAGTATGTACGAAATGTGTTTGTATCGTAGTTATTCTATTTGGGAATCCATGTAGAAAAGTGTGGAGAAAGTGAACTAATTCGTTAGATTACCCACTTATAAATATGAATGAAATGAATGAAAGCTTTTTGTTCGAAGTCTGATTGACGCTAATCTCTGAATTATATATACGAGTACGTATGTATGGTGACGACCGCGGTAGCCGATTGGCATTTGCGAGCATTGCGTACTGCCATTCGAAGGGCCAGTGCTCAGATCCTGATACGACCAACATCCAAAATTATAGAAAATGAATTTACAAATAAAAAAAAAAATTTGGTTAAAATTTCTAATTGCGCTCGCCCCTCGCCAGGCGATGTCAACCGCTCCGAGTGTATTTCTGACATGAAATAAAATTCCTCAAAAAAAAAAAATAATCAGCCGCTCACAAGCGGCTTAGCATTAAATGTAGGTCCCTCCATTTGTTAGAAAAACATCAAGACGCAAAACCACAAATTTGGTGGAGGATCTCGGCCGAAAATTGCTTAAGCAGTTACAAAGCGCCAATAGTGGTTTGTAGATATGTATGCGAGTTTATTTAACGGCGCTAGAAATATAAATAACATATACATTTGTGTATTCCTTTGAGGGAATTTCTTATTAAGAATTAAAGAAAGTTATTATTTTTGTTATTCGATTTTCTCAAACTAGAAAGTTTATTGCGTTACAAAGTTCTATGAATGTGGAAAGAACCATGTAGGCAATACATATATTTGTATATAGGCATATGTTATGTACTACAACTTATGTGATTTACTAAATTTCATTCTCTTTGTATTATAAGTTTAAGCAATCATAAATAAATCTTATTCTTCTTCTTCTTCTTTACTGGCATAGGCACCGCTTAAGCGATTATTGTCTAGTTAACAACAGAGCGGCATTTAATCCATCTTTTCGCTGTTGGAAATACCAAGTACAGCCCGGTCCTTCTTTACCTAGTCTTTCCAGCGTAGAGGAGGTCTTCCTCTTTCTTTGGTTCCACCGGCGTGAAGAGCTGACAAGGTTCATACAAAAGCAGAATATGGTCGAACGAAAGTATGTCAGACGATTGGAATTTAAGTGTGCATTGTCCAATCTATACAAAAAGGGGATCCCACAGTCTGCGCCAATTATCGTTGGATAGGCCTTCTGAATATCAACTCTAAGGTGCTGTGGAGCGTATTGTGTGAAAGAATAAAGCCCACCGTCAATCAACTAATTGGACCTTATCAATGGTAAATCAACTATTGACCAGATATTCACCTGGCGCGAAATCATGGAAAATACCCGTGAAAAGAGGATAAGCAGAGCTGAATAGAGAAGGTACAATCTTCTATATGAGTGTACAGCTGCTGGCGTACGCCGTTGATATTGACATTATTGGCCTGTATTAAAAAGCGGCGGATAGGGGTCTGGTATTAAAGGAGAACGAGACTAAATATCTCCTGTCATCACACAAACAGTCATTGCATTCGCGACTTGGCTCCTACGTCACTGTTGCCAGTTATAACTTCGAGATTGTAGAGAATGGCGTCTACCCAGGAAACAAGATCACCACCAATAAAATGGTCAGCCATTGAAATTCGGCGCATGATCACTCTTGCCAAGAGGTACCACTTTGGACTGAGTAGGCAATTGAAAAATAAAGTCCTCTCCCGACGATCGAGAACCGAACTTTATAAGTCCCTCATCGTTCCCTTCCTGCTACATAGTGTGGCATCACGGACGATAACCACATCTGATGAGTCGGCATTATCAGTTTTTGAGAGAAATATTTTGCGTAAGATTTATGGTTATTTCCGCATTGGCAAAGGCGAATATCGCAGACGATGGAACGATGAGCTGTACAAGTTATATGGCGATACTGCAAGAAGCATCGGCTACGCTGGCTAGGTCATGTGGTCCGGATGGATGCAAATACTCCAGCTTTGTACTTGGTATTTCCAATTGGCGCCAAACAGCTAAAGGAAGAAACGAATGTTGTAATGTTGTTGATTCGGCTATAATCGCGTAAGCGGTGTCTATGCCAGTAAAGTAAGTAAGTAAGATGTGTTGTTTATACGAAGTGGAAATGAAAGTGTTGTATCATTTATAACAGCAAATAATATTATTGTTTTAGCAGTTTGCTGCACTCTAAATTTTCTTTTCTCTGTAATACCCTGTAGCCATACGAAGCGTGCGCATTGAAGACAATAACAAAGAAGAGAGAAACAGGGAGATAATTCATGTGTGTGTTGCAAAGCATACTTATAGGGGTTGTAACGTTTGTTATTATTTATTTACAAAATATGCTGTTATTGTGATTAAGAAGTTACACCATTCATCTGATAAGGAAATGTTCGTTAAATAAACGAATATTATAGTAAGTATTTATAAAATGAATCTGTTAAGAATTAAAATTAAATAAAATACTTATTCAAATTGTGAATCTATCAAAAGAATGCTAATATTTTGCTTTTGTAAACATTACAATCCAATGAGCTGAGAGTAAATTTTCGCAGGAGAGCAGTAAGCTGTGCAACAAATTATTTACATTGATTTACTCTCACAGGATAAAATCGCTCTTTTTTCATTTCAAGTGTAGAGACATTTCTGAAATATACAGTTATAAGTTCCTTTCTTCGCAGTGCAGCCGCACAACTTATTACTTACAGTTATTACTATTACTATTGAGTAAAATTAATCAATTAATAACTGAAATTAAAAACATTAAAAAGGTAAGATCTTGTATTTTAACTATATTTCCATTATTCGATAAGGAAAGTGTTCACTGTGTAAAAAATATATAACAATTGAATGAAAATACTCTGATACGTTTGACTGATTTTCCGATCGATATTCCACGGTTTGTGTTTACTGCATAGCAAATTGATTGATTGCCGAGTGAAAAACTATATAAATACATGGTTTTAAGAGATTTTCTTAAGAAATATATAAAAAAAATGTAATAAAAATTTTTTCTCGCATTTTACAGCAAAATGTTTGGTTTTTGCGTTGGCATTTGCAAATATGAAGCACCACCTCCCGACTCTATACTATCTATGCCGCCACCCCCTTTACCATCATTTCTATTAGCAAATGTTGCCTCTATACCAGCACTTGTATCAACAAATGACACCAATCCATGCTATGCGCCCTCATTGTGTAATCCCCGTCCGAATCCTCACGAAGGTGAGGCTATTGAATTTGTCGAATTGACCGGCGCCGATTCAAAAGTATTGGAGAATACTTGGTTCTTGGGCTTGATATCGTGCACGGTTGGTATAATAATATTGGGTGGACTTTTGGCGATCATTTTGTTGAAGTGTAGAAAGTGAGTATAAATGAAAATCTGTCTGTAAAATCTTCTGTATGTAAGTATGTTTGTTTACTTATATATCTTGCAGAACACTATTTTCCAGCTGCAATCTCTCCTATCACGATTCGAATATCAAGCAAAATGGCATGAAATCTTTGGGCGAATCTTCAAATAAGGCAAAACCATTTACAGCTGGCGGTATATTATATCCGGTTACTACGTCTAACAATCGTGACACCTTGCAGACGCAATTGGCTAATGATAGTCGCTTACTCTGGGCCACCTTAACTCCGCATGGCACGCGTCACTTCATTTCGGATTATCCGGTTGGAAATGTTGTACAAGATGGTCACTATGAAATTGTTGATTATCGTACTAAAGCGGTTACTCCTACTTATCGCGACTATGTAAAGCGTGTACCGGTAAAGGTAAGAAATACATATAATATGATAGAAAATTTTTGATTTACATAGAACAATTAGTTTTGTCATTTTCAATATTTAGTTTTTCTTTTAAGTAAAAAGCTGATTTTATCCTATTCATATTCCACTTCTGATTTTCTTTTAGTTTTTCAAAATTTTTATTCAAACATCGTTCCTAGATATCCATAGAAAACATAATAATTGTAAATCCTGGTACCTCGTTTAATATATCATGGATACACATATAATAAATAGAATGTTTTAGAAAATATTTAAAACCTTTTTGATTTTCTTATAACTTACAATCAACAATATTTTCTTTTATAGTCCTTTGATAATAATGGTTTCGTTGACTACGACTACGAAGATCCCACACCACTAATGGACTCATATCATGACGATTTAGATTCTGGCTATCAAGAACCCCAAGAAGTGCTGCATACCTTACAACGTGTCTCTCCACGACCTGTAGTATCGTCACCAACACGTATTGATAATCCAAATATGGCGCCACTCAATTATTACCCATCTTATCGCTCTAACCATCACCTAAACACCAACACATTACAGTCGAATCACTCGTCAGCTACTTTAAATCGTAAAGCAACAATGACTCGACGTATAAGTGATGCCTCAAATTATGGACAGGGTAGTGGTGGTATGGCACAGTAAAGGGTTATTAATTAACTTACAGAACTATGTTGTAGTGGGTTGAGGTGCAGTCTTGTAGGGAAGGTAAAGCATTAAAAGAGGAAATTGTAAAAGAAAGAGTTGAAAAGATTATTTCGTGGCTTCTGTTAGTAAAAAAACAATGATAGTTGTTAATTATTATAACGGGTTAACACTCACTTATAATGTACAACGAAGCGCGAGGAAAGTTGAAAAGTGGACTGCAATGTTGTAACATGATGGAGTGAAAAAAACTTTTTTATTATATAAAATTAAACAAAAATGTAATAAGCCATATTGACGCTCTGGGTCCTCTGCAACTTAATGTATTTTCATAATACAGGAGCAAATCAAAATTTCATAGCATTTTACTGTATGCAATGTGCAAATTTCGAAAAATATATAGAAAGTACGTTATTTATATAAATAGATGTGCTAATGTATTAGCAGTAGTACATTTAACATATGGATATATCATTTGGAAGCAATAATGTAAAAAGTGCGTATTAATACAATGGCGCAAATATTACTGGAGCAAAAATGCACTACTCGTCACTATTGAACTCAAATTTTGGTAATCAGTAATTTTATTTATTTTTACTTAATTTGAGATATGAGATGTTATCTCATTTGATGTAGTGCTTAAAATATTATAATGGAATAATAAAAGGAATACAACCGTTTTAGTACGTTATGGAAATAGTCCCGACATTCAAATTTGATTGAGTATGATCTATACTAACTTGCACTGGATAAGAATTTATAAACATGTCTCTTGGCAAAATGACGGTCGCTAATTCGGCTAGTCACTGTATTAAATATATTCTTAAATAATATCGATTGAACCCATTTCATAAGGTTGTTTTAAAAAAATTCTAATCAGAAAATGTGTACCAAAAGTATTTCCAGCTTTACTCTCCCCACTTTCGCTTTGATTTCTTTTAGTTATATTAGCGAAATGACGATGAGTGCGTTAAGCTCTAATAATAAATTATATTTAATACTCTAATAATAAGAGCTTACTATAATGATACAAATTTCATACCAACATAAAGATTATTAGTTAATAAAATATTTAATGAAAAAAAAATAAATAAACCGGAAGTACACTAGAAGCAAACTGAAGCATACGCTCTCAAAACTAAATAATTATAATGAATTTATATAATTATACGCTTGCTGCATATTATGTATAAGTCAGTTTATAAATAATCAATAAATACATTGATATTATGCTATTTATTATTATGGAAATTAGTTAAGCAAATACATACAGCTCAAGAAATTAATACAAATGTAACAAATTATTTATCCACTGAAGAAAAACTAGCAACACCTGAAGTTAAACTATAGAAACAAATAAAAACAAATTCATTTTACATTTTCAAAAAAAAGCCTAATGTGTATCAAGAAACGATTTTAATACCAATTCATACCAATATATGCCGTAAAGTGGAAAGAAATAATAAAAGTTATTCATTGAAAGAATTTTCAATAATCGAATTGATTATATAGTAAACTACACTAGTTTTAAGACAACTAAGCATACATATAAAAATTTTTAAATATTAATAATAAAATAACGGCTTTCAATTGATCTCTCGATGCATAAACTACAAAAGAATAAGCTATTGTAAAACATGATGTGAAAACACAAATTTAATTGAGACTTAAATAATATTTAATAATTACATAAAAGAAAAACTAAATAATATTTCAAATACTCATACACTAATATTCCTACACATATGAACACACAATCACTACAATCAGCTCATACATTCCTAAATAAAAAAATTTCATAAAACTTATTACTATATACTCGTAAAAGTAATACTAAAATTGTTGTATATGTACTATGTATGTGTCCATATTTGTATACAACGGAAGAAAAGTAATTTAAACGTTAAACTTGTTTGTATCTAAGCTTTAAATCATTGAATATTTTAGTTTTATTTGTAACGGTGTGTTGTGTTATTCTTATAAATATTACAAATCGAAAGACTACTTACAGACCATAGCATTGGTTAATGCTCAATATTTATTTTATGAATACATATTATATTTTACTTTGTTAAATATTATTAACTGTGTTTTAAAATACTGTATTATATGTGTTTTACTGTATAATTTGTATATTATGTATGTACATATGTACGTATGTACATATATGTAATTAAATAACATTTTATATGTTGTATTCACTATATTCCTATTTATGTATGTATACTGGAAATGAAAAATTAATAAATTTTATTTTTCAAAAGTATTTAACTCTGCTAGCTTACTTTTCCCGACGCTTTCCAACCGCTTAAGCGATGTTGAACGAACCTCAATACTAATTCGTTGAGTGCCAATTTTCTACAATTGGAGAGCTGCAGTTATAATGGTTTATGTACTTTTTATGGCTAGCAGGAACTCACGATAATTTCAATATCTTTTAGTTGTACTTAAAAACTTATTTTTTCTTAATTTCTTAATATATTCAGTCTGCGCCGAAAAGTTGTTAATTACGCGCCGCGTACCGGAACTGCACAATTTGAACTGTCATTGACGAAAAGGAAGAGAAGTGAAAATAGTTAATAAGATGGCTACACTCGTTATACATTGCTCGACGGCGAGACGCTTAAAGTTTTTTTAAGTTATCATTACGCTTGTATTGAATATATTAAAATTAATTTTCAATGTTGGTTTCCAAATTACTCTTAATATTGTAATTTTTGAACTCATCATTGTATTCAAATTTGTAGTCACGGTGTGTGTCAGTTGTAATGCAATGTAATGTCCATAACTCGGTAATACTTAAAAAAAGTTAAACAACTGGGAGAAAGCCGAAGATATTTTGATGGATGGATGGTAAAGCAAAAGAGATGCGAGGCAATAAAAATAATAATACATAAATGTTAAGTGAAATTTAGACTTATAAAACTTTTAATAGTTTAAAATGGCAAAAATACCGTTTTGAATTAAATCCTCGTTTAACTGATAGTAAAAGCCGCCACTAAACAATTTGCGGCGCTACTTAAAATGTTTTATGGCGCTACTTTTATAAATTCATTTGTACTTCATATCTGGCAGTGCCGTGTTGAGAAAATCATCAATGAAAACTTTCCTCAACAAGTGTTTTAAGTTGCTAATAATTGAGTTTAATATTAAGTAGCGTGATCTAATTTTCAGTAAATATATTATTGCGATTGTAATTAGAAAAAAAGTGATTGAAGAAACTGAATTTGGTTGGGCATATACAAAATATGCAAAGCAATGCGGCTGCCGTAAAAACCTATTGGATTGTACTATCAAACAGAAAGAGTGAAGGCGAACGCAGCAAACAAAAGGGAAAATACAAAAACAATACATACAGCAACAGGAAGTTACAAAAATAGATAAGTCCAGCGCGCAAGTGATTGACCAGCTACCAACAGCAAACAATAAATTTTAGGCATTTACTTATCTATACACTTGCAACGCATTAACCACTCAACATGTTAAATTGCTTTAGCGCAATGAGTGTACCAACATTGGGTGAAATGGAACAAACAATTTGTATGCTTGAACGTGGCACGATTATTACCAAGCTATATTCTAAGCATCGTCCTGAACAGCGTCGTCTGATGTTGGTTCGCGAAACTAGGCAGCTTTTGTGGTCATCCGTTAGCTCAGACACACGTACTGATTATGAGGGTTCACTTGAGCTACGCGAAATACGTGAAATACGCGTAGGGAAGTGTTCAAAAGAATTTCGCAATTGCGCAGAAGATGCAAAACGTTTTGAGCCATCAAAGTGCTTTGTAGTTTTACATGGCAGCTCATTTAAGCTAAAAACTTTCTCAGTTGTAGCGCTCTCAGAAGTCGAGGCAGACAATTGGATACGCGGTCTACGGTATATGGTGCAGGACACCGTCAATGCACCTTATCCACTACAAGTTGAACGTTGGCTACGACGTGAGTATTACGCCATTGAAAATGCGACAATGCAGTCTGCAAAAGATGGCAGTCAAGTTACGGTTAAGGACTTTAAAAGTTTTCTTGCAAGTATTAGTTGTAAAATGACCACAACCAAACTTATGGAATGCTTCACAGAAGATGATGTTAGACGTAAAAATGATTTACGATTTGATGATTTTTCACGATTATATAGAAAATTGCTAGTGACACCAAATTTTTTGGAAGAAATGTTTTACAGTACACCTGGCACATTTCCATATTCCAAGGATGGTGAAACGGTGACATTACGTGAATTCCAAAACTTTCTTATGCAGGAACAACATGAGTTAATGGGACGAGACGATGCTTCCGTTTCGAACTTTATACGGGACTTCTTGCAGGATGTTGAACGCGATGTGCAAGAACCCTACTTCACATCAAGTGAATTTCTCGATTATCTTTTCTCAAAACAAAATGATCTCTGGGATCGCAATTGTGATCGCATTTATATGGACATGAAACAACCCATGTCTGCATATTGGATAGCATCGTCGCACAATACCTACCTAACTGGGGATCAGTTTTCCAGTGAATCGTCGTGCGAAGCGTATGCGCGTGCACTGCGCATGGGCTGCCGCTGTATAGAATTAGACTGTTGGAATGGCGCAGACAATTTACCATATATTTTTCATGGCCACACAATGACATCAAAAATTAAATTCAAAGATGTTATTAAAACAATAAAAGAACATGCATTCGTTACATCAGAATATCCAGTAATTTTATCAATTGAGCAGAACTGCTCATTAGAACAGCAACGTAATATGGCACAGGCGCTTATTGAGGTATAACAAAAAATACCAAATACTTAAGCATTTTGAGTTTAATCTATACGTATTATTCTAGGTTTTCGGTGATATGCTGTTGACTCAGCGTTGCGATCGCTCCGAATTACAATTGCCTTCTCCACATCAACTTCGTCGCAAAATTATACTTAAACACAAAAAACTGCCTGAATATGAAGATGGTTGCCCTGGTGGTCCGGGTATTGTTGGTGGTGGATCGGGTATATTAACCACAAGTGGCAGTAGGTCATCCATTAGTGGTGGAGTTGGTGATGAAAATGAAAATGCGCGTAACTTCCTTAAAGAAGGAATGCTATATTTCAAAGATCCAGTGGACAAAGCCTGGAATATTTACCATTTCGTATTAACACAACAACAATTAATTTACTCTTCACATACTGATGAAAATAATGCTGGCGGTGCCGATGATGATGACAACGCCGTTACACAAAAAACATCTACTACATTGATGCCAAAATCCAAAGATAACTTTGTGAATGATGAATTGCATTTTGGGGAAAATTGGTTCCATGGAAAATTAGAAGGTAATTTTGCTTAATTATCAAATATTATGTACTCTATTCAATTATCTAATCTTTCAGGTGGACGCCAGGAGGCTGATCAGCTTTTGGAAGCCTACAAACACTTAGGTGATGGTACATTTTTAGTACGAGAGTCGGCTACCTTTGTTGGCGATTACAGTCTGTCATTTTGGCGTCGAAATCGTCCAAATCACTGCCGTATTAAGCTGAAACATGAAAATGGCGCAACCAAATATTATTTAGTGGATAATTTTGTGTTCGATTCCCTATATTCGCTTATTGTGTACTATCGGAAAAATATGTTGCGCAGCTCTGAATTTTCAATTACCCTGAAAGAACCCGTACCGCAACCGAAAAAGCATGAAACACAAGAATGGTTTCACCCACATACAACCAAAGAGCAGGCTGAGCAAGTGCTTATTAAATTAGATGTGGGCTCGTTCCTTGTGCGCCCATCAGTTCAGAGTACAAATGCTTTCGTTATATCATTTACAATTAATCGCAAAATCAAGCATTGTCGCATCATGCAGGAGGGTCGCCTTTATGTTGTTGATACCATACAATTTGAATCGCTTGTATCATTAGTCAATTATTATATGCGTAATCCCTTATATCGCAATGTAAAGCTTTTGTATCCAGTATCACAGGAGTTATTGCGTCAGAAACTGCTCGCCTGCCAAACGTCGTTGGAACATCACAATGGAGGTGACTTCAATGATGCTTCCAGTTATATGGATCCTAGTCTAGATGACCGTGTCACATGTAAGGCGCTCTACAGTTACAAAGCTAACAAACCGGATGAGTTGTCATTTCCAAAGCATGCCATTATTACGAATGTGCAGAGGAATACATCGATGTGGTGGCGCGGCGATTATGGCGGTATGGTTCAGCGCCATTTCCCGGCTAACTATGTGAAAGTAAGTGAAAGGATCTTTAAAAGTTACTAATTACCTAGACATAGGGGTAGACAGCACGGTACTTTTATATGCCCGCTCTCTAGGCTATTTAAAGTTTAAATAGTATATTCCCAAGACTAATGAATTCCAGACATTAAAAAAAATTAAATGGGGAGCTGTGTGGAATTCGACGTGCATAGACAAACAGTTACATTTAAAAATAAAATTGCAGATTTCCATAAGATAAAACCTAACCCAGAGTTCTGTACTGTTACCGTCTTGTTAAGAGTTACATTTATTTTAATATCTCTAGCTAAGACTATCAAATTTAGTGTGCAAATGATTAAATATTGCTCTATCCTTAGGTAATTGACTCCGCCGGCGATGACTACAACTCTTTTAACGATGACAATAATTGTGAAAATATCTCGCGCACCGATTCGATTGACATACATGGCGCCATCGTACATCTCTCCGAGTCAAATGAACCAGGCATACTGTTTCAATTACAAATTCAAACGCCGACAATGCAAAATTCCTTCATCATTGGTTTTGACAATCAAGAATTGGCCTACGAATGGATCAAAGCCATACAAGAGGGTGCACAAATCGCCAACCAATTAGCTACAGAGCGTCGCAAAAAAGAACGTTCTGCACGTGTAGCGAAAGAAATGTCTGATTTAATTATATACTTCCGCAGTGTGCCATTCCGCGAACATTCATGGGTATTCTATGAAATGTCTAGTTTCCCTGAAACTAAAGCTGAAAAACAATTCTTGCAGCAAAACTGCATGCTCTTCTTACAATATCATCGCAATCAGATTAGTCGCGTATATCCAAAGGGTCAACGTTTGGATTCATCCAATTTTAATCCGGTGCCGTTTTGGAATGTAGGCTCGCAAATGATTGCGCTTAACTATCAAACTGGGGACAAAGCCATGCAATTGAATCAGGCCAAGTTTCGTGATAATGGTAATTGTGGTTATCTATTGAAACCGAAATTTATGCAAAGCGATAGTTTCGATCCAAATAATTCGCTGGCGATCAGCTCACTGGAGGAGCGTTACGTAACGATACGTATTATAGCTGGGCGGCATCTCTTCCGTGGCGGTAAATCTAATAATCCACAAGTTACTGTTGAAATATGTGGCGCCAGCTTTGATTCGGGCATTAAACATCGCACCAAGACCAGTGAGAACGGTTTTAATCCAATGTGGAATGAAAGTTGTGACTTCACTGTACGCAATCCACATTTTGCTCTGCTGCGTTTCGAGGTACAAGATGAAGATATGTTTGCAGAGACACATTTCATAGCACAAGCTTGTTATCCATTGAATTGCATTCGTACGGGTTATCGCAGCATAACATTGCGCAATAAATTTAGTGAAGAGTTGGAATTGGCTTCATTGCTGGTACATGTGGATATTAAACATACCAGCACAAGTGCAATGAATGAACATACAGTGGTTGTGGGTTTTTAAAGAGATTTTTTTACATTCGTAAGTACCAAAGTGTATTTTGTTGGAGAAACATTTATGCGAATACTGTATTTTTGTATGCACAAATAGTTTGTTAACAAATATCTTTACGTGACCCAACGAACAAATGCTTTAGGGCATTATTATTATACATATCTACTTTTTAAACAAGTGAACAAATTTAAATCTTTTATATTAAATAACTAAAAATTATTATAAATATTTCTAAACATAATATTGCATTTATTTCAATTGTATTGGAGATGAGAAAGTGTAATAGAAAGCTTTATTATATTTTACTTTCATACTTTCTTTAACTCTACTTTAGATGCAGCATTATATGTTAAATCTATTGTTTCTTTAATAGTATTTAATAGCACTGAACATTTTCTTCCATTTTAACTAATTATTGCAACTCAAATAAAGACTTAAAATTTTATTATCTACTCTATTCAACTTATGAGTACGCAGCTTTATATCTATTTATGTATGTATGTAACAATGTTTTAGACAAATATACAGAAAAAATATATATGTAAATATAAATTGATTGCATTTTTTTACAGACCTATATATCTACAACATTTTAGTTTTACCTACTGCCAGAACTGTTATTTTAATTCGAAACAGTTTCAGCTGAAAGTCACTACCCTCCAGAGTGAGAATAGTCAGACTTTAATTTCTTTAAAGAAAGCATAAAGGTTTAAAATGAGGAAAAAACTAAATGCTTCTGAATTTGCTAAAGTCTGCTTAGTACCTGTCTCCCAAGTTATTGCAACGTTACAAGCTCTGTATTACTCACTTCTTTGTATATTCTTTTAAACTGATGCATCAATTTGCTTCAATTTCTAGGAAAAGTTCGTTTAGGTAGTTCATAATTTACCAATTTGAAGTGATCTGTATGTTAGTGATACAATGTGTTCTTCTCCCTTGTATCAATTGAAGATAGCTGTTTTATATCTCACTATTTTTGGTTCCCAATGTACTGAAGTTTATGTTTTGAAGAGATTGCATGTTAGTTTCAATGCAAAAAGTTGTTTGCAGGATTAATGAAAAGACTTTATGCCTCAGTCGTTAACGTATTCCACTTCCGAATTAAAGACACGGTGCAGGTCAACCTTTTCCACTATTTCAAATTTCCTGAATACCAAAAGCAAATAGTATTTGGATAAATATTTAATATTTTTTTTTTATTTTGTGTAAAATATAATATGTAAATGGTAAAAAATAATACATATACATATGCGTTAAAAGAAAATTACTTACAGTATATATAAATATGTTCAATTTTATCACTATAATTACTGGAAAAATATTTTCGCACTGCATAAATTACAATACAATAAATTATATTCCATTTGATGGGCATTTATGCGCCGTTCAGTTAGCGCCAGGGTTTGCTGCAACTTTTCAGTTTCATCATTTTGTGTTGCGAGAGCAGCTTTCTTATTGCTCTTGGTGGCGCCTTTTGTGTTCGGCAACTTTTTGATGTCCTGCAACATTTCCTGTATCTTACGACGTTCTGCATTAAATCGTTCACGGACCGTTGCGAACCAATGTAATGCTTGGAAATCATCCATTTGATTTAATAATTTTAATATGTATGCCATGCCAACAGCAAAACCGTCATCAAAGAGCACCGCCTCTTGACGATCCTTTTTATTGATCTTCTCTTTGACACTCAGCATATGCTCCACATAATTAAGAGACAATGCGGGCACAATGAGAAAAAAATTCTTCAAATGCATATTATGTGGATTTCGGAAAAATGGTTGGAATGCTTCGACGAGTAACTAGAAAAATAGATATTTTCTAAAGTGACTCTCATTTTTTTTTCAGATTTATTATGCTTACTTTAAAATAGTCCGTACTATCTGAGAAACTCTTAACTAAATTACTTATATTCACTTCGAAATTCTCAGCCGCCGTTACGGTAACATCGTGAAGATTTTGCTCACGACAAGCGGTAACGAATTGCAAATTCTCATCGAATTTTGGTAAAAAGAGACTAGCGCTATAGTTGGCATGTATGCTACCGGATCGTACCAAACGTATATAACCCATAGCATTGCCTGTAATATGTAAAAATACTTATCTATTCAGAATAACTTCAGCAGGCACTACTCACCCACATGCGTTATCACTTTGCGGAAAAGATCCATGTAGGTTTGACCATCATTGGAGAGGCCGAGTTTACGTATATCCTTATTAAAAGCATCGGCGCGTTCATACGCATATAGGGGATAGCTTTTAGCTTGCTTGTGCTCAGCGTAAGCACGTAATTCTTTCATGAGTCGTGATTTGATTTGTTCATCGTAGAGGAATTGTGAAAACGTATAAAACTTCTGACGCAAAAATTGGTATGTGAAATTAACGGTGGTATTGATGACACCTGTGCCATGTGTGCGCAAGGAATTGGCTACATGCCGTATACCAATCGAATCCAAATGCTTGTTGCCGCTTCGTTGCTCTACGAAAATTTGTGAATTCATATTGTAAACATATTTCGAGACAAAAATGTGGATTTTACGCATAATCTCTAAAATATCGATACCCTGAAAAAAAAATTTATTAGAGAAGATTAAGAAATGAAGTTGCAACGAATTCTTTGTGTCACTCTATGCAATGGGAAAGAAAACACGCTATCTGTACCTCAGTTAGATAATTCTTAATTTAAATATTTAATAATAAATTCGTATCCATACCTGTTCCAAAGTCTGATTGGGTAAATAGTCTTCCACCGGTTTTAGCATTAAACGTGTGTTCGCCAGATGTCGCATCTCCTCGTAGGTCTTCCAGTCATGCAATGATATGGTAGTGAGATTATAAAACATGGCGCTCAAGTAATTCTCGATGTGATCTAAAATAAAAAGAAATGAATACAAAATGTATGCTAAGACATTAAAGATAAATTGATGTACTAAGCTGCGCTGTACCTTTTAAAATAACATAATGTCCATTCAATTCTATGGGACATACATTAATCAAATCACGATAATCATCGATGCCATTCTCGAAAGGGCTCATTTTCTCCAGTTGCAAACTAGAATGAACTTCTAAACGCAGAAAAAGTTCGATTTGTGCGCATAATTTGCTGACGATCTCGCTTCGCAAATTATCATAGGTGGATCGCTCTAAACACTTTGATAATTTCAGCTGATTTAAATTCAAGTCAGTTAGCGTCTTGCCACAATCGTTGAATGCATGCACAATATACTAAAGATATATGAAGTTTTTTTTAGTTGCATAGCCGAAATAATTACAGTAGAAATCAAACCTGAAATGAGTTAAAGTCAAGCTTTCGCTCAACCACCTGCTTTAAATACGCCGATAAGACTGACTGATGCCAATAAATGAAAGTCGTACTGCACAAATCGTGCATGTTGGTTTGGAAATCCGCTAAAATTGTGATACGCGACATAAGCAACTGAAAGCGCTCCCACTGATCTTGCGGTAATGTGCGATTATTAAGATTCGTGGCATTCACCGCCAATTTGGTAAGGAGTGTACGCGTTCTTGTGGGTGGGCCGGTCATACACTTCTCAGCAATGCGTAAAGCTGCCAAAGCGTCAACATTACGATTATGCATTTTGGCAGCCGTGATGCGTTTCTAACAAAAATATACAATATATAAATAAGAATCGTATTATGTTTTTAACTGTTATAATCACCTTGCATATGTTAAGCAAATGCAAAACTTTATATTGCAAGTATTGCAAGACACATTGCATCACCTTCGCAATGACATCCATATAATCTTGAAACAATTGTTGTATACTTTTAAGCAATTCAATGAGTTTACAAATACACTGCAGCGTCACTTTGCTCATAGGCGACTGTAGTGTCACGTGCGTGTTCACTAAGCCCTTAATCAAACAACTTATTTGCGATGCAAAACGCAAACCAAGTAATAGTAAACCAGCAAGTTCCTTAAATTGTTGCACAGTCAGCTCAAATGGACCTATACTTAATGCTTTGCGTACGTTAAGAGTCCAAAGCAGCATCTGTGAGCAGTAATTGCGGCAATCACGTGGAAGCGTTTGTACGCGTGTTTGTAAGTAATGTTGATGCAAACGTTTAATGTCCTGCAGCAGTCGTTCGTGTGGTTTTATCAAAGTGGCAGCATGGCGACGCAGGAAAGATGTTGGTTGCCAGGCGACATTGCCTATTAACATAATGCCTTGATGTTTTTGGTTAAGGTCTAGCAATTGTTTCACATGTTTAGTCTCCACTTGGCCACAGAAATCATGAAATGTCACACAAAAAGCATTCAGACGTACTAATAACCTATGATCGCTGAATTCATTTACATCACTTTTGTTTATGGTTGCTAAACATTGCTTCATATAATCATTACATTGGTTTGTAAGTTGGCCAATGCCCTTAGGACCGATCTTATCTTTTAGGGCGAAAGTGCTGTCGAGAAAATTCTAGAAACGGAAATCAGATTTTATTATTTTCTTCCTATAACGTCCAGAAATATATAGCCTGCACTTACTTGAAATATAGCACCCGAAAACAGGAAATCAAACTCTTCTAAACAGTTTCTTAAGCCAATTAGTTCCCCTGCTGTGCAAAATTCCGCATAATTACCATTTTGGCAAACAGCTTCCACAGTTTTCTTGTAGGTTCGCCAGAAGCGGCAGAAATATGAGCCGACTAAAATCTCATTAAAAATTAGTATTTGTAATAGTAAATCTGCAAGACAGTCAAAAACGTCCTAGAACAAAGAACAGTTTATGAGTAATACTAGCTGTAAATATTGAATAGTAAATAGCTTATTTTTTTACCACAAAACGGAACTCCAAAGTTTTATCTTCAAGAGCACAGTAAGCACCACATTGATTCAGCAAGTTGTTACCCAGAACAATACACCGTTGCAATAAAAATTGTATGTCACATACAAATTGCAATGAGTTACTCATTTGTAATAAAATTTCGTTTGTTTGCTTAGCAGCATCACCTCCGCCATTATCGTTATCATCCGCCAATAGTACACATAAATTTTCGTCAATGTAAAGGAACTTGGTTTGCATTCGTTGCGATTTGCACACCAATGCATCCACTTCTGCACAGAGATGAGCGAATGTAAGTAAAGTCTTATTTAACACTCGGTCAGATTCGAGAATTCGCAGTAAATTGAGTTGCTCCTGGTTTGCGGAATAGTTTACTTCCACAAGTGTTGGTGTGGAGTTATTAATCGTAGGTGCTGCTTTAGCGCTCGGCACTTGTAATGTCTTTTGATTTAATTTCTGCAATTTTTTATCATGATTATCAAGGAATGTGCCGAAATTTTTTAGCTGCTCTTCAGCAGATGAGACTGTAGAACGAAGAGGAAAATTAAAGATTTTGATATAGACAAATTAGCTATAATACTTACTGATTGCTGTTTGATCCATTGAAAACAAATATTTATATATTTTGCAAATTTATTTATTTACTGCATAAATTTTAGATAAAAAAATATCAGCTGCAATGCCAAAACAAAGGGCGTATCAAAACAAAATAAAAGATAAGCAAGTGCTACCATATCTTATATGAATTTCTAGACTTGATTGTAAAACATCCCAGCAGGAACAGTATGGCTTAATGAAAGCACTTCTTAAGCCATATGACTAAGAAAAGACTTTTGATTGTAATGATTGTAAGGCGTCCTGTTGAACCTTCACTTCGTTCTATTACAACGAAAACAAGAATGAGATCGATTCGCAAAGGTCATATAATTATCAGCATACATAATACCTGATAAATACTATCAATAACTTCTCACACAGCTACTTTAATAAACTTACCACCGAATGCAACCCTGAAAGAACTATGCCGTTTTAAAAGCTGTACAGTGAAATTAAAATGGAGGCAATGATAAATTTCCTCCGGAAACAAGTTTCTAATAATCCCCAAATTCAATTTGGATAATTTAGTGATGTGATTGTGTTGTTACAGAGTTTTAATTGTGGTTAAAATGAAAATTATCATAAAATTCACGCAATGTAAGCATGCATTTTTATTACAAAATTTAAAACATCAAAGAATTAAGGATTCTAACAATATTTCCTTAACATTATTTAACAATAATTTTGTGTATCATTGACTATTTAACCATAAACTGTAAAATTTTTCTTGGCTATTTTGTTGTAAGTATGTATGAATATAAATTTGGCATAGTGTACATATTCATATGCATGTATAAATTAAATAACATATAAATTTAACATTTACTATAATCACATTAAATTATGTATTATACCTACATATATTGACTAACCTCGCATTCATAATCAAAACTACATATGCCCTACATTTTCCTACACTAATTTTCTAATACCAAAAACTACCTTCTTTCTATACTAACATATTTAACCTTCATCATCACTATAAAGCGTGCAAATCACCTGTTCCTGCCACCAATCGTGCACCTCGTAAACTGCATTTGCTTGATTATTGAAAGGCAATAATTTACTACCCGCTATAATATGGCCCATAATCGCCGATGGACTACCCAATGGTCCATGCTGTTCGCCAAAATGATTCACCACATTTGGGGGATAATGAAATTGACTGCCATCGCTATTGCCGGATGTGTATAAACCCGTTGTACGATTTAAATCTCGTTTAATTGCAGCACCGCTAGCAGCAACGACTGGCGGCAGGACAGGTACTGTAGTCATTGAATTTTTTTTCTTTTGCTGACTAGTAATATGCAAACGCTCTTTATCGGTTAGTGTACTGCGTTGCTGTGGATCGGATGTGGTGGGTGCTAAGTATTTACGACCCGTTGAGCTGCCCGTCGAATCGGAGCGATTAAGTGCATATGCGCGTTTCGTAGCACTTATAACACGCTGCACGCCATGCACATCGGTGGCGGTGGTAGAGATAGCCGCACTACCACTAGCATCCTTCTCTTCATTCTCTGTTGAACTAAAGGTGGGTGAGAAGGCATCGCTAGTCGGTGGACCGGGTGCAGTGGCGCTACCTGGCGGTTTATCTCCACCGCTGGTGGGTGTTTTATCTTCTTGTGGCATTAACTGTTCATTTGTGGCACGCAAGCCGTCTATTAGTGAGTTTTGTTGTTTCTAATGTTGGAAGAATCTTTTGTTTTTATTCCATTTAAACAATTTTATAAATTCAAATTGTCTTACATTTGCATTTTGTGCGCGTATCTTTTTCAGACAACCCTCCAACCAAGTGCGTATCGTCATTTTCGCCACTTCTTCCTCCACCAAATACTCAAACTCTTCACGTGCCAGCAACTCTTCCAATTGCAGTGCCTTACGTATGTCCACCGAGCGATATGATAACATGCTGTGGATAAAAAAACAACAAAGTATGTGTATATCAAACATTCTCTTGAAGGTACTACCACTTACTTGATTACATCGTGGAATGTCACATCTTCACCATTATGCAATTTATCCAACTCATAACACATATACTTGAAAAGCAAACGATCCTTCTGTGGATCACACTCTAGACGACCTTTCAGCAGACGTAGTATAAACTTTACTCGTCGCACAGGTATTACGCCACGTTGATGTATATCTACTATATTCCAAGTATTCTGGAAATTACGTATGTCGGCGTAGGAAAGCAAGGCATCCTCCTCGTTTGAATAGAATAATGAGAAATTCTCCATGATAATAGCTGTAAAATAGGAAAGGCGTTTACATTTTTGGCAATTTTCAAATATATATATATATATATATATGTATATAGGTTTATATGTTCCACCTACCCACTAGCAAATTCAAAACAATGTATGTAATGATGACGTAGAAAGTGCAAAAGTAGACCAAGCTTGCAGTGAAGTTGCCTAAAAATAAAAGAAAATAAAAAATTAACGGCAATCAAATCACAAGGTAGAGAAAACCAGCCGCAAACTAGAATTATATCGGTCAATACCCCTCCTCTCTACACTAGCGACGACACTTGATGCCTTGCTACTCCCGTCTTTCACTGCCCACCTGAGCAGTGCAGCGCATCGACATGACACACTAAGTGCACAACCACAACTTAACGCCATAAATACCCAGATAATCCGGATCCTATACCAAAAGCGATCGACACGGTCAATGACGAAGTGCTATTATCGGACATTGAACAAACTCTCATTATCAACGGCCAAAACTCGAAAATCCAAAAGGGTTATACTTTAATTCGTACATTTCGAAGCACTCTTACCACTAGAAGCTTCCTTGATTGCGTATGCCACTGACTGCTCGATGTTGGTGACTTCAACACCGGGGGTAGCCACATAACAGAATCGCTGTATGAAACCATCTACCAATGGGCCGTAAACGGCTTTTGCATAGAGTCTGTTTGCAACTTTATAGACTCTTTTTCCGTGAATGGTATTCGCGGAATCCAGCCCTACCCATAGCTACTCCTTTGCTCGAGTTGCTTCGCAAGATCGGAAGGCATAATTTGAGTCGGCATACTGCAGTAGACTCAACTCCTATCTATATGCCTGACACTAGGAATCTCTTGCCCACTAAGACCCACTCATTTCCAACACACCTCCTCCTCAACTCCGAGCTCGCGGTAAGACAGTGAAGTCTAGAATTAAACGATTCTTGTGAAAGTCGAATCTTTATACAGAAACGACAAGTATTTTAATACGGCGAAGAACTAACCCTTTCTTAACATGCTTAAAAATTAATTGCGGTTAACCTTAAAACAACACTCATAGTGGGGTTCATATGGCCACACACTTGAAGATAGGTCAGCTGATGTTGTAATAAACCGTAAAAAACCTGTTAACCTCTTCATTATATCTTACTTACCACAATCAGTTTCCCAGTAATTATTCCCAGGTGTACAATACGGCGGTTGCACCATACAGTCATGCATAATCTTATTCCAATCCTCGCCGGTAACAATACGAAACAGCATAGCTACGCCTGTAACAGGTGAACCGAAATTTGCTCGCCTTCCGATACCTTCGCCATACTTCACAGTACCGAAGAGTATGGTGCCGGCCAGTGCGTAAAAGAAAACTAACAAAAACATGCCAAATATAATGAAGAATGATTTGCAAACTGACACGCCTACAGTCAGCATAAGCATTTTCAAAGTGGTATGCTTGCCGGTAATGGTGAAGAAGCGTAAAATTACGACCATAAATCCAAAGAAATACGAGAGATCATTCTGTTCAATATGATAAATGCATAAAATTCCATTAGAATCAATGTAGTTTCCATTCGAAAATTAAATCAATATCTTACTCTTAATATGGTTTGTAGGAATATCCAGACCACACCACCCGTGGTGACAAGTAAGTCATAACGATTGCGTCGCGACTGCCAGTAGCCACGTGGAGTGAAGGCTATATTTTTCATAACCACTTCAATGACAAAAACGAAATTCAAAACAGCGCTCACGATCACCAGCCGTTCGGTGTGCACTTCGCCTTTGATCCACTGGAAATGAAAATAGAGAAGTGAATGCAAAAATGGTTCTCTATCGCCAATCAAGAAATATACATATATTTTTTTTTAACTATTATATAAATTAGATGCATAATGCGTTAAAAGCTTATTCCCATTCTCTAGATAGGAGACTGTAATTAAATCCCATCGGACCTAAGCTTTTTGAAGAACAATCGTATGCGTGGAATAAGATCGAATATTTGATGTTGACTCTCTGCTTTTGCGAGCGGGCAATCATTGGCTTCCGGCAACTTTGGCATTTCTATATTACGGTTTCTAAAATTGTTCTCCAATTGTTCTGCGAACGGGGTATCGGTTACAGATATCCTATTAACTTTCGCACGCCATATAAAAATATCTTTGTAAACAGTATCCGAAAGTCTGACTTTTACTAAAAGTAGAAACTTCCGGCGAGAAGCTCTTTTCAGATTATCTGAGTCAATGATGTAATTGACGCTAGAGGGATTAACTTACAGTTTTCTCTAAGCCGCTGCCAAACGGCCGATGGATTTCTATGAGTAGCTTGAGTTTCATGTCAAAAATATGCGTTGTGGGCTGAACATTCCCAGCCGAGGACGAACTCATTAAGAAAACACTATTTTTTCATAATTTTGGAAGTATCGCCAGAGCGGTACTCCAACTCTAGCCTGCCAAATCGTGATACGCGCTGCTAACTACTGACCTATTGCGGCCGCCAACGATTACAACAGACATTGAAGATACACCATTGGATGTATGCACTAGCAAGTGAAGTCTAACAGCCTCTTTAAGGTATCGAGAAACAATCAGAATCTGCACACATTCACTGAGGGTTCTCAGGGTGAGTATATATTGTATAATATTAATATATATAATATAAAATTCAATTTTAGTACGCTTAACTAACTTGTAGAGTCCTTTTGAGAAGTTAACAAATATATCCTTAAGGCTTAATCAATGTAGGGAAATTTAACGCGGAAAGAACCAAAAATTTTCCACAGTCGTAAGTGTAAGACCGCTTGAAACATAGTGAAGAGACTATTGGGAGGCGATATAATTTGGATAAGCTGAACAAGATGCCGCTAATGTAAGTTTAAATTACCGTAATAGACAGTAGCATGCTGTTGATCAAGACGACAACCGCTATAATGCGCTTGAAAATAATATTCTGTGTAATATCGTAAGTGAAAGCACGAAACTTTCTGCCATCCGGTCGAGGCGGTAAATGCAGAGGTTGAGCAATCTTCAATCGCTTTTTAAGATCGCACCAACGACGCTGATCGACTGTCAAGAGAGCTGTACCCTTATTCTCCGAGTAATTAGCGATCACCACACCCACAAACAAAGTCAAACCAATCATACAACCCAAGAAAATGTAAATGTGTATGTAGACCGCATGAATCTGGAAGTAAGAACAAAATATAATACAGTGCACACTCTAAACAAAGCCGACACTTTCATGCATACACACCGGCCCAACAGCCTTGATCAATACATCGCGTACATCTAACCAACCCTTAAAGGAGAGCACCTCGAACAACGTTAGCATCGCATCGCCGATATTGTCGAAATTGAATCGGCGTGGATTAGCCCAAACACGCGGCACCAACATCGACGGATATGATTCGTTATTACCGGGTGTTAATTTCATTTTCGTTACAAAAACTCGACGCATAAACACACCGACACAATCCTCACGACGCAATATGGTCGGATCATTGCAACGCGCCAAACGGCCACCATATAATTGTACACCATAACTGGCGAATATGAACATGAGCAAGATAAGCAATGTGGATACGAGCAGGATCTCCTTGAAACCGCGACACAATTCGTAAACGACTTTGCGCATGTGTGGCACCAATGTGAAAATACGCAAGGGGCGTACACAGCGCAAAATCATCAACAGTTGTGCACCAGAGCTGGTCGGTATCTGTTGGGGCATCCAACAGAGGAATGATGTGGAGACAACATATATAAAAACGTCCAGCAAAGCCGCTACGTCCTTAATGTAGGCTTTTGGTGTAAAGAATAGACCATCGGCCAGTATTTTAAGCGCCAATTCCAAACTCATAAACACCACAAAACTATATTCCGCAATTTGTAGTGTGGGATGATCCATAACACGATAGCTGGGTGTTTCAAACATCATCGATATGCAGGAGAGGGTGGTGGCAAAAATCATTAGCCAATCCAAGTAAGTGACGAGACCGAGAAAATTGCTATAAACAGTAGAGAGAGAGAGAGTGAGAGAGAGAGAGATGGGTTAGTGTTTAATTTTTTTGAAGTGAATTAAATTTTTTTTCCGGCTCAAACACACTTACTGCATACTCTTATACTGCACTTTACGCTCCTTGCCGGTGAGTGGATCTTTCAAGCGCGCATCATACCTGCCATGCACGATCTTCTGACAGATCTTACGAAAGCGACTCTCACGCGGCACCAGAAAGAGTGGCGTATCGAAAAACGGATGATTTTCACGCAGATCTTCCTCACGTTGGTTGCGTCTCATCTCTGCCTGCTGACGTTTCGCTTGCAACAGCTTTATATCCAGATCATGTGGACGTGCACGCCCAGAGTTTGCGCGTGGCGCAGCCGCAATATCACCATTCTCCATTAAATGCTCATAAGTTTGTTTCAACTTAATCGAACCGGAACGTACGCTTCGGCGTATTGAACGTGAACCAAATCTGATGCGACGAAGAGAGAAGTTAAGAAAAACCAATAAAAGTTTAATGCGTTTCGTTTAGTGATAATTAAGGAACCTACTTCTTTTGATCTACACGCCATGGTTTCGAATGTGTTATGGTGCCTTGAGACTTTAAACCCCCTTTGCCGCCTACGACAGGCAGCATAGCGGAGTCTCCAAGCATTAAACGCTGATTATTCGAATCACTGGAAAGTCGACTTGAATAAGTCAATTTTGAATAAAATTACACAGATATGAGAATTTTGTGGACAAATCGCATGCGGGTTAGCTATGATGGAAACATTTTGATAAGAAAATAACAGTTGATGGATTCAAATTGACATACGTTATGGTGGTAATAAATACATATTTACAAAACTAATTTCTTTTTTTTGTCTCATCTACACTTTCTAATCAAATTGTTTCTACGTCAGTTCGCCCGTCTTCAAAATTTTGCAGCCAATCATATTTACAGTTATATGTATATAGTACATAGCAGATGTTAGCGCTCGCTTACTTGATAATATGCGTGATGGCCAATTTACGTAAACTACTGCCGGCCGAACGCACTTTCGGCGTTTTATTCATAATACGCACGGGTTTCTGTTTACGAAACACCACATTCGACTCCCAACACTCCGACATCGGACGCTTGAAATTCTCCACGATTGACGGATCATCTGTTTCTAGTTCGATAACGAAATGTTTCATAAAGGACTCGCGCACTTTGGGTAAAGTAAAATCATTTGGTATCCTATGCAATATGGTCATTTGCGGCGAATCGGGAAATTTTTCGAAAATACGCAAACGAAACGGTAATGTTTCCTTAATCTCGGCGCTCTGCTCACGAAATTTCAATTGTTTTAATTTTTTTATATCCTCATCCAATTCCAAATTATCCAAAATAACCGCCACGAACAAGCTAAGCACGATCAATGTGACGAACAGATGGTAGAGTATAAAATAGACAGCCACTAGCGGTGTAAGCGTTTTACTTGTACGTATCATTGTTTCGTCCATAACCTCAACCCAAGCTTCCTGTGTGAGAATCTGGAACATAGACATAAATGCTTCCGGAAATGATTCAAATTTCGTAAAATCGCAGAGAAAGCAAAATAATTGCATGGAAATGCTGGAACTAATGATCAGCAAGCACATGGTGAATATGATCAATGAGCCGAGTTTCTTGCCAGGGCCGAAAATCTTATAAACGAAACCCTCGAGCATTGGTGAAGCTTTGATGAGGCGCACCACGCGTAAAACCTGGAATGGAGAGTATTTAAGACGATGAGGTACAACAAACTAGTTAAGAAGCTGAAATAAATAACAGAAAGGGTCTGATCCAACCAGCCAAGAGTGCTATTGTTCCGGACCTGGTATAAAAAATGCAAAATATTAACGGCAGGGAGACTAACCTAGGCGAGACTAACCTAATGTCCAAGCATCTAGACTATAATACAAATATATGTCTCCCCTTCTTTAAGAAACTGTGCTGGCTTGAGATTTGCCGTACCGAAAGTAATGATCTTAATTTCTTTAGCTTGGTGTTTCAGTTGTTGTTGCAGTAGCAGTTCGCTAACACCACTTAGGAGCATGCGAGACTAGTCTAAGTTATGGAAGACATCTAAGAGGAGTTTCAGGAAACAGGCTGTTTCCACGGGTTCGGAAAAGAGATACGGGTGGGTTCGATGAGTTGGTTTTAGGCTGAATGTAGAAAGATAGTTAGTATCTTGCGACGTCTCAGTCACGGTTGGTTTTTTGGGGTCAAATCTGTATAATTAGGAATCAGGTCGACTACAATATCCAGATCGTAACACTTGAACACTTGGTCTGCAATATAACGTATTGCTTGAATTATGAGAACGCCATTCACAGCAATAGAGTTCATGAAGGTGTTAAAAGACTCTCGGTGGAGTTGAGTTGGTGAATGGCATTTAAAGCCTGTCCGGTACGCCATGCTGTCCAGCAACTTTTACGGCAGCGGACTGCTCCGGACTGAACTTTATCGGGTACCTACCCCCTACCTAGTTAATCACGTAATTCTGATATTTCAGTTACTTTGCAGCGCTTAAAAATTTACTTCTACTTCTTCTTCAAATACTTGGAAAAAATCACTCTGCGATCTTACCTGAAAGTATGTGAAGCCGGACAAGTAAAACAAAGGCGCAATATGTATTGTGGTGCCCACAGCCAGCAGTAGCTCAAATTTATGTATGGAATGCTTGTAGTAACCACGCCAACCCAAACAATATATCTTGAATAATGTCTCCAAGTCCAAGAAGAACGTAAACGCCATTTCAATATAATAGTATTTCTCATAAAACACATTTCGCGGTCGACCATCATGCTTGAATGTCATTGTTGCCATAACGATACCGTTCGCCAAGATCACCGTCATCACCAACATACGAAAATATGGTGAACGTAGAATGGCATGACAGGTCTCAGGCGCTAAGCCGCCATGTTTATTATCATCAATGGTGACTAAACGCCAACCGGAATCATTGCCGCTAAGTATTTGCGAAGCTGCAGTCTTCTGTATATGACCACGAGCGCCCCACATCTGCTGGAACTGCACACGAATCTCATTAAACGTTTCCGTGATGACAGCAATGAAAACATTCTTCACCAACCAAGCGAGGAAAAAGATCATCGTGCTGTTATGTAGTAATTAAATATATACGTGTATATATAAATATTGTAGAAAATTGTGTAGCTCATTAGTTTACAAACCTAAAGTAGAATGCAGCACGCCAAGCGGGCAGCGAATCGATAGCGCGATACATAATAAAGACCCAACCTTCTTGTGAGGCGGCTTGGTAGACGGTGAATATGCTCGTTGCGAAATCCTCAAATCCATTGAAGCCTATTACATAACTACTTAGGAAATCCATTTTCATGCAAACCATACCGGGTGAGCACTGATATCCCGAGTCAGGGTCCATGGAACAGAACGTATCGGGTATAGCCAGTGAATTAATCGTTAAAATGCTATAAAGAGAAATAAAGGCGATTATCATAACGTAAGTTATTTTTAAAGTAGATATGTAAATAAATCGCATGTCTTATAAAAAATTTTCTTATTTTCCCAGAAGAAGGATAACTGTGCGTATAATTGGGACCCATACAAACCGACTTAAAGGACATTTTTTCGAAATAAACGCGACAATGTAAAAAGCACTCACGGTTAGTCAGAACCATTTAAATCGACCCCCACCATAAGAAATCTTATGAGGATTTGCGATGATCTATAAAATAACTTCTACTTTGTCGTATTATTCCAATTGAATATTATTTCTTTGATTTCTTTGATATGAATTTGCCTAGACTCACTAATTCTTTTTTGTTTCTCTTCAAGCTCGCACATAAGAGGTCTTATCTAGCATGATGTGTGTAAATTAAAGCCCCCCAATTGAAAAATTATGCGGACCTACTCATTGTAGACCTGTTAAAACCATCATTGGACCATACACCATGCAAGTCTTTGGAAAACATCTAGGAGAAAAGAATCGTATAAAAAAGCATTTGCGTTGAGTTCGGTTTTACCAATGTCTTTGACAGTACGAAAAGAAGCTACTTTCATACCGTCGCCCCAAGCTAATACGTTTTTGTAAACATACATAAGAAAAGGTTAGGAAATACTGGCTGGCTGCTTTTCATTATATAGAGCTGTTCGGTCTTTTTAGTGCCAGAATTTGAAGTAAAGCAGTAGACACGTGTTCAACTGTACTGTTTTCAATTTTGATGGCGCCATTCTTTAGTATTTAGAGGACTTGCGATGTGCTTAGATATCGCAAATGTTTCGCTTCCACTTGTGGGCTGGGTCCCAGTAGATAAGCAGTTCCTTTCCTGCAGTCACCTTATCCATTGCTATGCTGAGTTATGCATAGGCTTTTACATTTCTTGCTTGGAGCTTTCTGTTCAAAATTAATCCGATTTTTTAGTCTGTTCTTTCATTGTTCGATTTATTCCGCTGAGCCTCGGGCGTTTCTATGCAGGGATTTTGGGCTTTTTGAGCAAAAGTACCATATAATTTGTCGCCTATCAGTGAAGGAACTTTTAAACGTTCTTTATCACGTTACGTTATTAGAATTGGAAAAAATCTTTCCGAACAACCTCTGATATAAGCAAAGGATATAGATATCGCTTATGCAGTCATAGCCAAGTTAACACCATTCTTTCTTTCTTTTTGGTGTTTGACGACAATGGGTAAACCCAGGAGTAGTCAGGTACTTCCCCACTTAATATTTCCAACGGAGGAAAGATCTTCCTCTTCCTACGGCATGTACCGAACCGAAAGCTTTCAAGGCTGAACTGTTCTCATCCATTCGAATCACATAACTTAGCCAGCCAGCCGTTGCCTCTCTTTTCGCTTAGCTATGTCAATGTCGATGTATATCTCTTACAGTTCACGGTTCTATCGATCGCGGTAGTCGTCATTTCTAATGCGCGCTGGACCCATACATTTTAAGCAAAAACTTTCTCAAAAAAATTCCTAACGCCGACTCCGGTGGTATCATCGTCCACTCTTCTGCACCATATAGCACGAGGGGAAATATGAGTAACTTGTAGAGTTCATCGAGAGAGAACTGTTTGTAAGAGTGTTTCTGTGATGGATTTATAGGCTGGCATTGATGTTGGAGTTAATACTGGCTCCGAGATAAACAAATTTATCTTCGACTTCAAAGTTATGGCCGCCAACTGTGATGTGGAAGTATACGCTTCACTTTTTGATCTAGTGTGCGGAAAGCAGAACTCTGCCTCTAATCAACACTGAAGCTTTCGTATCGAACCGCTCGATTAAGATCCGCCCTTACTGATGGAGATTTTTGTGTTGCTTAACGCCATTTTACGCAGTCGAATAAATTTTGCAGAGATAACAAATTCATACATAGCAGCATAGGCTGTCGTCGAAGGCGTGGTATGTGTGTTTTCCAAGATTTGACGAATGGTGAATATCTGGTCAGTGGTAGATTTAACAGGTCTGGAGTCAAACTGATAACGTCCAATCACTTTGTTGACGGCGTTATTAAGGAGGCTTGTACTACGGTTATTGACTCGATAGGCCTCCGCCGCTTTGATGTTTTTCAAACGAACAATTGCTCTACGAACATCTTTCTTGTTGTTGCATTTTTACTGCCATTCAACAGGCCGCAGAACAGTTTTCATCAGTCACCGATCAGCTTCTCAAGCTTTTCACCATCACGCATCGTACTCTTTCCTTCTTCCCCACACATACGGCTTGCTTCCTTCTTAAATTCCGGGAATATAACCCACCCTAGCCAACTCAATGTAAAACCTTAAAATAAGGCGGCTTTTTGGAGCAACCCAATTAAAATAAAATGCTATTTAAAAAATGTTGCTATGCATTAACTTACGGTCTTCCCAGATAATCATATTCCGTATTATTCATTACACAATGATTTTTCAACTCTCCAAAGAATTGTACACCCAGTAAGCCATAAAGTGACATGAAGAATAGGAAGAACAATGTGACATTGTAAATCTGTTGGCTCGAACGTCTGTAGTATGGAGAAGAAAAAATCAAATTACACATCACAAAATAATAAAATTACCGTAATTCCGATTACTCACTTGAATATCTGATTGATACGACTTTTTGGCATCGAAAATTTCAGGAAGACTCGCAGGAAGCGTATCATAATCAGGGGGCGTGGTGCGCGTAAAATTGAAATGTAAGAAAATCTAAATAATTGGTATTAGTGAAAAACTTAATTAGGCAATTATGACAATATAATGAAACAGAAAAAATGGAAAAATTTAGAAAATTTATTTTTCAAAAAAAAAAAAAAATAAATAAAATAAATAATTTTATTTTTTTCGTAAACGTATTTCGTTTCGTAATATTTGAACAGACTTCCAACTTACTTTGGCACTATCTCGGTTACTTCGAATATTTGCAATATAATCGATATCCAGAGGAAAAATACCATCGACGCATCGAATTGGCACCAATGATCCTTCAGATATGGCACTTCGCCCTATAGTAATTTATTAGTAATGTAATGGAATATGGAAAAATATTGGATTAGTATAGGCCACTTTGGACGATTTGGTGATACCTTCTTGCGAAATGACACTCATGCATTCATGCACAAATAGACACATACATATGTATATACACAACTAAGTATATTATCGCTGCAAATTGATTGTTTCATATGACCGTTAGCAACGTAACAAGGAACAGTATTATTAGCATATTTTGTAGTTTAGTTTATTTTCAAGTGACAACATCAATAACAACAACAAACTTGCACAAATCATTGGAAGAAGGTAGAAGGTAAGTATGAGCAGAGCAGAGTGAATTTTAAATGAGTGTTCAAATATTATTATTACTCATATTACTCATTATTACTCGGATATAACGGATACAAGCAAATTAATTATTGTTTTTGAAAAATTTTAAAATCAAGCATTTCTTTATGAGCTGCTTTCGGCCTTCGATTTGATCGAAAGTGTAGATCAAACAGATTTTTCGTTAGCGCTATTGGGAATTTTGTTTGTTGAGACTGTTCACAATAGTTTTGTTTACATAAAGAAATAATTGAAATTAAAGCAAAATAATAGTGAAATAAAAAATAACTTGTAACAAATTTATGGAAATAAAATAAACTTTGAAATGTAAACGAAAAAAATATGATTTAAGAGAGCCATAGACATCTTTACATATAGCCCAAAACTCGTCTTCAAAGCAGAACTCTTTGTAAATCATGGTAGCCATCGAGTGGCTGCTCGAATTTGCAGTAGCAGGACAATCAGTCTCTGACAGCCAATTTAAGATCAAAACTCTACAATGTAAAAATACCATTTGATTTGCTATAAAATGTAGAAGCAATCTGCGGAAACTCTCGATTAAATGCAACAAAGCCGTGAGCTGAGTGAAGGGGCAAAGGAATATCCCAGACAATTGCATGGCAGACGAACTTGTGCGAGGTGGAGCCCTTCTGAGCAATATAAACCATGCACAAGATGCAAGTGTACCTCGTTACATTTCAAAGTATATGTTAAAACTGTCTTTTGGCCATAATTGGGAGGCGAAAAGATACAGACATATTAACTTCTTAGACTGATTCTTCACTAGCTTAACAGTTGTATTGACAGGTCAGTGTTTAATGGGGCTTCACGGCGAAATATTGGGTTTTTCGCTTTAATGATTTCTGCTGCAGCAATAGGGTCGAAGAAGGGGAAGAGTATTTAGGGAGCTACCTCTGTCACTGTTCGGCATGACATAAGGCCCTAGTGAAACACTTCTTTGACTGTCTTGAGGGAGCCAGCCTTGGCAAAAATTGGTAATCCCGTCGCTTATATAAGATAAACGAAATGTTTCTCATATTTGAAGAAGGTGATGGTGATAGGAGTCTGCCAACGGTATCACAACGGTTCCCATTGGCCTTGGTTCTTTGGTTCTTAGGTCATTGACCAGCAATCGCATAAACTCAACTTCTGGAAATAGGTACGACTTAGCTTAAGCTCGACAAATGAATTCCATTATAAACTGCAGATTTTTTCCATCAGTCTTCTATAAATTAATTTTTGTTCATCTGAAAATTCGATAATCAGCAGCGGCCGAAATGCGACTTTGAAATTCGATTTTCGACTTTCGACAGCCAATGAAGATGGGAAACCGAATGCAACTTGATTTGTGTTTATTTATTTTTATTTATTTTAATAATAATAACAAAGCATTAGTACAATAAGATTTCCATATCTTTTTTAGTACAACAGAGATAGTGTGAAGAACAAGTAAATATTACTTTACAGATACCTTAACAAAAATAATAATAAAAATAAAAATAATTATAATATATAATGAGTTGAGTATGACAAAAACTTAAACAATTATTGAATGGTCAGTCTATGTTTGAAATTTGGCCTTTAAAATGCATATATATGTGGTTCTTGAAATTGCTTCTGTTTAATTTCCTCCTTAAATTAGCAGGAAGAGAGTTCCATAATCGACTAGCATTGACAAAGAACAGCCTTGATGATTGCTGTGATCTATGAAAAGGTATTATTATATTACCTACTCTGGCTGACCGAGTAAACGATAACTTGGAAAAAAGATAACTAGGTGATTGAGTCATGATGAGCTTGCAAAGAAAAATACAATTTCTGGCTTTATGATAGTCCGCAATCGTACATCCTAATATCTGATCTTTCCAAGACGAAATGTGCTCATATTTGGAAAGACCAAACACGTACCGTGTGACATTATTAAACATAACGTCAATTTTACGAGCAGAAAAACTGTCATGTTTGCTGTATACGACTTCAGAGTACATGATGACCGGAAGAATAATTTGTATAGCAAGTCGGCGTCTGGTAGCAGTGGGTGTATAGATAGCTGACTGCCTAAGATTCCTCAGAATGAGATAGACCTTACTAACTATGGAGTTTACATGATCCGTGCATGTAAGATTAGAGTTAATAATGTATCCTAAGTTTTTAATCTTGCTGACTAATTTTAAGGGATAATTGTCTATGAATATTGGGGGCAAAAAATCCAGATTTGTCAGTTTTCTAGCACTGATTGGCAGCACAAAGCACTTGTTTTTATTTAAAATTAGACCGCTGGCAGCCGCCCAGCAAGAGATATCAGCCAAGTCAGTATTAATGCTTTTACATAACTCTTTAGCTTGATCAAAAGGTGCAGATAAATATAACTGAATGTCATCAGCATAACCATGCAGGTTTGAAAATTTGCACACACTGAAGATGTCATTAATAAATATGCTGAAAAGCAGAGGACCAAGGATGGAGCCTTGAGGCACCCCTGAAGTAACTGGCTTGAGTTGCGATGTGTCCTCCCCAATTTTTACAAATTGAAACCTGTCAACAAGGTAGCTTTTCACAAGTTTTAAAGCACTACAACTAAAACCAAAGTACGCTTTCAACTTACAGCTTAATAACTCATGGTTGACCATATCAAATGCTTTTGAAAAGTCAAGTAGGCAAAGCAAGGTGAATTTATTTTCATCCATGTTGGATCGAATATCATCACTGATCTTTAGTACCGCAGTACTACAGCTGTGATTTTTCCTGAAGCCTGATTGAAACGGAGATATTAAGTTATGCTTGCTTACAAATTCGTTTATTTGCTTAGCTAAAAGCATCTCAAAAACTTTAGACAATACAGGGAGGACGCTTATTGGTCGAAAATCAGACGGACTACAAGGACGGTTCTTTTTAGCGACAGGTAGTACAGTGCCAATTTTCCATTGCTCTGGGAAACAAGACGTGGTAATACAATGATTAATAATGTGCGTTAGTGTCCCAAGAATGCAAGGTAGTATAATTTTAATAAATTTAATTGGTAAACCATCATGCCCTATTGCATTGGATGAGATTTTAAATATACTCATTGCAACATCATATTCACTAACAGCTGAAAATAGAAAACAGTCATCCCTAAACAAGAGATCATCCCTGGACATAAAGTTAATAGTGTCACTGCGTGGTACACAGTTTAGAAGAAAAGCATCATTAACCACATTTGCTTCTAAGGAACATTCGACATTCTCCTTACAATGAACACCAAGTCGTTTAATGTTACGCCATAGAACCTTTGTAGAGAGGCCAGAATTTAGTTTCTTGTTAAAATAAGCTCGTTTTTCATTTCTGATAACAAGCGTCGCTCTGTTTCGAGCCGATTTAAAGGCATTCCAATTTTCCAACGTGGGTTTCTTTTTCCATATGGAATGAAGTTTATTTCGTAACTTAATTGATTTCAGAGATTTTGAGGTAAACCATGGACAGGACATAGACTTATTAGTGATTGTACGAATGGGGACATGTCTCTCGAAGGCTGACTTTAAAATTCCCATTAAGAAATCAAGTTTTTCATCGGTAGATGGATATATCCAGCATTCACTCCAGTCTACACAATACAATTCCGAAAGAAGTAAATTTGTGTTGACAAAGCGGTAATCTCTAAAAGAGATAGTCTTATTTATGCAACAACGATCGATATTTATGTCCAAACAGCAGAAAATGAGATCATGGTCAGATATAAAAGTTAATTGGTCAAATTTTAATACAGTAGTTAAGTCAAGAATTATGAAGTAGTCAAGAAGACTAGGAGTGCAATTCACTGCAAACCGCGTAGGAAGAGATCGGTTGACCACAGAGAGAGAGCAACTGGATAGATTGTCAAGTAAATTATTTGTATAAGAGTCGTTGACAAGAAGATTAACATTAAAATCACCACATACTATAACTGAATTGTACTTAACAACATATAAAGAAATTACATCAAAAAAAGGTTTGACAACATTAGTTCGGTGAGGATTATAAACACAAGAAACAACAGTCTGGAATTTTTTATGGCTTACTTCTACAATTAAATATTCAATATCGCTATCGGCAGATTTTGAAAGTAATTTCATAGAAAACATGTCCTTGCAAAATATTGCAACCCCACCTCCTCTTCTTCCTGGCCTGTCATTACGTATTAATTTGTAGTTTTTTATGTTAGTAGACGAGTAACATAAATCCTCATCAAACCATGTTTCAGAAACACAGATGACATCAATTGATGAAAGCTCAAATGTGTTGCGAACATAATCCATTTTATCTGAACTTAGACTCCGCGCATTGAAATGGACTATGTTGAATCCACTGTTTTGTTTACATAGCACATCAATCATGAGACTGTTCATGCCAATACTAGGACAGCTGTTTTGCATGCTCAACAAGAACAAAAACATAAGCAACCTCAAGAATAACAATATAAAGCAAGGAAAAGAGAATGACCATTTTTACAAAAACATTCAAATAAAACATATATGAAATATATATAAAGCTACAATACAAATAAAAATATAAATATAAATATAACAAGTTAATGTTAACGAAATCGCTGAAGATCATCAACATTTCCTATTTTGCATGCAGTGGAGTCTGTACTGAGTCTAACATAAACATCTCCTCTCATAGAGAACACCGACTGCAGCTTCCCCAAACGTTTTAGCTTTAAACCTTCTTGTAAAATTTTTCTTTTCTCGGTAGACAGGCTCTCGAAGATGCTAAACTTGCCATCAATTCCTATAGATGTTAGGGGAATAGCCGATTTTATTCTCTTTCGACATTCAGAAAATGCGCGAAGAGTACGCGCGCGATCAGCAGGAGAATAAAATTTTATAATTATCATATTCGACTGTTTTATTCTGAACGCATCACGTATCTGTGGTACCATAAAGTCGATGGAGAGACATACTTGGTTGAAGATACTCCTAATGTTCTCTCCCTCCGTAAATGGTACACCAAAAACAATTGCATCTGCCTGAGAACTCTCACCTCTGCTTGACAGCAAGTTTATTGTTATTGAAAATTCGATAATCAGCAGCGGCCGAAATGCGACTTTGAAATTCGATTTTCGACTTTCGACAGCCAATGAAGATGGGAAACCGAATGCGGCTCATAATAAGGGTCTAAGACTTATGAAATAAATTTACAGTTATCTTATTTAAAAATTCCAAAGAGAATGTTGATAGTTGTTATTACTGAGTTGCGTGTCGTGAGTTTCGAGAGGGTACTTGGTGAGCGGCGACTATGGAGTTTTCTCCACTAATGGCAAGTGAGCATGACAAAGATCCGAAAGATATTTAAACTTCCAAAGTATTGTAGCATTTTTCATGCCAAAATACCCGCCCTAACGGCGACAGTGCAAAGGCTAGCAAAACTTTGTTCGCACAGATCATTTATTTTGTGTCCGTGATCGCATGGAAGGTTACTCTGAGGACGTTAGCGGAGCCGAAAGACGCTCAATTCCATTGGATACCGGATAACGTGGTCATTAGGTCAGTCAGGAGAGTTTTTAGAATGAAAAACAATGGACCTATCGAGCTTTCAGAGAGCGATAATATGAGTTTAGGATGTTATAAGGATTATCATCTGCAGATTAAAGATATTCTGCTATATTTTTCGCCAGAAAACAGCATCAGAAACATAGGAAGACTCCATTTCCGCTGGTACCATTAAATTGAAAACGAGCTCTCCATCGATTCGGCTGTTAGAAAGCGCTAATTTTATATAGTATTTATATATTCATATTAAAATTGATCTGATCAAATTTATTCATAAAAAAATAAAAAAAAATGTTATTAAAAAATATCAGTCATCTAATGCCCTAGGAAGCATCTCCTTCTTCCAAAGATATCCTTCAAGTTCGTTTAACATTACGTTATTGTTGTTGTAAGAGAATATTTTTCTTCTTTGACAAGACACACATACTATCAAACATACATATGTACTTACATGTAAAACCCCGCGTATATGCATTTTGGCAATCATTTCGGCGGTGAATAGCAGCGTGACCGCGGTGTCCGATGCGAATGTTATATACTGTAATGGGGGATGCCGCTCGAAAGTTTTCGGCGTATTCAATGAGACTGAGGCCAAGGATACTAAGGCGCATAAACGCATTAGTCGCCTTACCCACAGCTTATTCACCCATTCAATATCGGCACTTTCGTTAAGCGACTCCTCGGGACCATAATCGGCCAAAAACGGTTCGCCCCCCTTGAGGCTTTGCTTGCGGCCGAGCATCTTATTACCAATGCCCGTTGCTAGGCCCAGCCCAATAGGGGGGACGCCAGTTATGGCTGCGCTGCTCGGGCCCATCGTACTACTAATGCCGCCACAGATGCCCATACCAACACCACCGCCTATCGCACCGCCGCCAACGCCACCAATACCGCCCATGACGCCGCCACCAATGCCCGCACCGCTGCCACTACCACTGGCGCCGTGACCGCCGCCGCTGCTGCCGCCTGCAGCATTCGAAGATACATTTTGACTATGCACACCCAATTGACCACCGGCTATACCGGTACCACCGCCTCCGCCTCCGCCACCACCACTGCCGCCACTTGTTGATGTGCCCAACATTGGGCCCATTGTGGGCAAAAGTTGCGGACCACTACTCGCACTGCCACTGCCCGAATTCACAACAGATGGACTATTGACAGTGCTGGTGCCATCAAAGCCATGCCCACTTTGTGCAGATGTTGAAAGTGATGCGCCAGCTTTGCGTGATATACGTGATAAGCTTCCCGAGCTATGACCTTGACTATAGCTACCGCCTGTATTGAAGGTAAAATGGCTGTGACCGGTGGAATGATGATGGTGATGTAGTGATGATCGAAATTGTTGTTGCGAATGTGAATGTTGTTGTTGCTGCTGTAGACTGTGTCCGCTGGAAGAGCTGGTGCTGGCTGGCGGAGTAGTAATTGCGCCGCCGCCGCCACTCGTCCCAGCCACGACACCACCGCCAACGCCGGAAGTAGCTGCCGATTGGGAGCTAGAATCGCTACGGTTACTTGCAGCTCCTAAACGACGCGTATGCAATCGATCAATCATTCAAGTGTGCCGGTTGTGCGCATTCTACGCGGTGGAAGTTTAAGTTGGATAAGAAGAAAATTAAGACGTCAGGTGAGGGAAATATTCGACTGGGATGCCAAAATGGGAAGAAGCTGGAAAAAATTTAAAGAAGAAAAATTCCATTAGGAATATTGAGCAAAAGAAAACGAACTTAATTAAGTATATGAAAATCTTCCATTAATAAATAATCGTATTAATTAGGTGAATGTATGAATACTAAAGACAAACACTCATATAATTCTTTTAACTGTGCAAACGAGGAGGACCCGGCACCCGGAGAAAGTGAACCCGAAAACCCAATCAATGAGATGCTTCATTTCATGACTATGACGAGTCTCGAAAAGCGATTCCCCGAGAGTCGATAGCTTACCGGACGAGCTATTCAAATATGGCAACGAAGAACTGAAAAGGTGATTGGGTTAGGTGCTTTGCAGAATATGGTCGACCGAAGGCGTCCCCATCGAATGCAACCTAAATATGTTCTACACAATCCACAAATAGAGGGATCCCATAGGATGTACCATAACCGTGGGATAAGCCTTCGTAATTTCGCATATAGCATCCTATTGACGGTTTTCGTGAGAAAGACTAAAGCCCATCGTCAACAAACTGGCTGGAACCTTATCAGTATGGCTTTAGACGTGGTAAATCAACTATTGACCGGATGTTCACCAAGCGAAAATCTTGGAAAAGAGGATTGACACACACCACATCTTCGTTGATTTTAAAGATGCACGAAAAATAGTTGCCGATATGTCTGAATTTGCTATCCCCGGCTGCGTTAACTGACGTTAAGCAACACCAAGAGCTCCATCGGTACCGAGAAGGAACTATCCGAGACGTTCGATATCAAACAAGGCTTCAAACAAGGTGATTCCTTATTGAGTAATTTTTTTAAGGAGCTAATAATAAGAGCTGCGCAGCTGAATAGGGAAGGCACAATATTCTATAATAGTGTACAGATCTCAGACTGAATAAGGAAGGAAAGCGTATGTGCCTGGTAGTTAACGAGGGCAAGGCGAAATATCTCCTGTCATTAAACAAACAGTCATTGCTTTCGCGACACAGCTTCCACCTTGAAATCCAACGCAGAATAACTCTTCCCAACAGATGCTAATTTGGACTGAGAAACAACTAAAAAGTTAAATCCCTCTAGACGAGCAAAGACCTATCTCCACAAAGCGTTCATCAATCCCATCGTTGCGGAGGCATTGTTGATGACAACATGTCATTAGTCAGCGTTAGCTGATTTCGAAAGCAAGGTTTTGTCGAAAATCGCTTCGGTCGTTAAAAAGCCGCAAATAGTTCATCCACCATCGCGCGCAACAATTGGAGTTGTGTCCATCCACTTAACGGAAGATTCCGCGGATGGCCTGCGAGCTTACAAAACCCAACTCGTGCACGAACTGAAGTGGAACGAGAACCAAACCGAGATGATCGCTCATAATTTCATAGAAAATTTCATTATTTTGCCATAATAACAACGGCCTCAAATTCCATAATAATGAAAATTTCAACATAACCTAATTTTTTTTTTTAAGAAGAAGAATTCCCTGGATTGGTATATAAGTATGTAGTTCTAATCTAAATTATAGATTCACAAGATGCTGTGAAATATTGTTCATTCAGGATTTTTAGTATTTTTTTAAGTTATTCACATCAATAGAAAAATTTACAGCTCTAAAGCTTGCGTCTTAGATACCAAAATTGCCTGAGACGTTGATCAAAAATGTTTAAAGTGACGCCTACTCCAGCTGCCAACCCTTCAAAATCACTGCAGCAGTTAATATTGGCGTCTCTTCAATAATTCACTAGTAAACAACGATACACAGCTGTTTTCATTGCCTACAACATCGTGAAATTCCCCTACACACAAGAAATACACTTGTACCTTTTTCTGTGAAAAATCAATCTGTCATCAAGTCAACTGAACATGAAAATTTTTTCAAACTACATTTTTTATACAAAAAAAAAACACATTTATTTTCACACTGACGAAAGTAGAACTAAATTTTATATATGAATGTATTAAAATAATTCTTTTAAATAAAAATTTTCTGAAAAATTGCACATTTTTCTTGTTTCCACGCCTGGAGTTATGCTATGAATTTCAACGAAGAAAATTCCTAACGGAATTTGCAAAAAAAACTCACTGCGTTCAAATTAACATTTTTTTTTTTGGATTACAAAAGTTTTACCTCAAATTTACAACTTCATTGGAAGAAATATATATATATATTTTTTTTTTTTTTGAAAATCTGCGTGTAATAAAATTTTTACTTCGTCCTACCAGCCAAAATGTCAGTTTAGTAGGTACACATAATCAATACTGTTAGCAAGGAAACGAACGAATGGCAAACTAACCAACGCTTTCGTATCGTTACACATTTGTATATCATATATATAAGTATGTAAGTGCGTACATATGTATTTGCATAAAGAGATAGCTGGAGTATTGAACGGTGTGTTGTTATTACTTAGTTCTATACACAAATTTTATGTATAGTCTGTAGTCATTAATTGTTGCGTCCACCGCTATAATATGTGCATATGTATGTATGTATGTATGTGTGTATGCGCATATTTTTTCTTTTCTCTCAATGAAAACTTTCTAGCATTTTAGGTCAATGGTACACACATGCGCGTATGCATCTACAGTGGAATTTCTCGGCTTACAGTTATTTATTTACACATAGAAAATTGTAAACAAAGAACAGCTGATCTTTGTTGATTTCGTAAGCCGGTTGCCGGTTAGCAGTTGCCGGTTGCCGGTCTGTTATCGCTAAGTAAATCAATATTTAGTCGTTATAGCGGCTATACATACATTTGTGTGTGTGTGTGTGTGTGTGTGTGTGTGTGTGTGTGTGTGTGTGTGTGTGTGTGTGTGTAGTTAAGATTTCTTTCATTACAATTATAAATGCATGTTTATATATATGTACATACAATAAAGTACATGCGCCGAGCTTGTTTATGTTTACAAAAACTACTATATAAAACAAAACTTTTGATGGTCATTTCCTAATGTATTGGAATTAAGCACTTAGCTGCGTACTACAGATTTAAGCAGTCCATCGTACACGTACAATGTATATGTATGTCTATAGCATAGAAAATTGGCGTTTTGTAACCGCTGAAGAGATGTTCGGTCGGACACTTCCTCAAATTTGTGAAATGCGTTTTGTTGTTGACTTAGCCGCCTACGAAAGGCTGATGCTTTTTTATAAGAAGTTTTGACTTTCATACCAGAAATACCCTCGGAGAGCTGGACGATTGCCGCAAAGGGTCGACCGCAGTTAAAAAAGAAACTAATTTTCTATAATTTCGAATATTGTGCAACAATGAAGCTTACTTTTGGTCGAATGGGTACGTTGATAAGCAAAATTATCATGTATGAAAATCTACAAGCCAATGTTAAGACGCGGCTACATCCTAAGGAAGTCATTATTTGAAACGCTCTATAAACAGCTGGAATCAATGCGCCATCATTTCTGCAAAAATTAAGCCTTTCATAATATATGGGGAGCGCCAAAGAGATTTAGAGAAACAATCAATTCATTAAGAGAAACTTTTGGTGAACTCGTTGCCTTCAAGATCATGGAGTCTTACACCGATGGACCAGGTTTTGTCCGATTATGTGAAATCGCTTGTCAACGCAGCTGAACCGAAGACGATGAACACCTTGGAAGATAGTATTCGATACGCACTTGCTGACATACGTCCCCGATTGCTGTAAAAAGTGGTCGAAAATTGGACCAGGAATTTATTCGAGGCATGCGCAACGGTCATTTGCTTAAAATCATTTTTAATACATAATAGCTGACCTTTATATTTATAATAAAGCCAAATTTTTAGCTATAACATTAATTTATATGCCATTTACGGGTATATCTTCTTGAAATTCACATGCATAAGTTCGAAAAAAAATTTTTTTTTTTTTTAAATATTCCGAATAAAAATTACCAGTTTGGGTTTGGACCTGGTAGATCGTCCTTCCAGACATTCTCTAAATCCTGGAAAACCCATCAGAAAAGTTTTTCCATCTTTTCGCCGATGTTAAATCAGCACGTTTTCGAGAGAAAGGTTGTGTGAACGATTTATGGAACTCGTGGCGTATACCGCAGATACTAGAACGATATGCGGCGTAAGATACACAGCGACATTGGCATAGTTCTGCGAATAAAGAGACAGCGACTCTGAAGGTATTCGACAAGTATTTGCCTTAAAGTCGCCAATTTTTACAGCTTGCAGGAGCGGCGTTGAAATCATCTTTTTGTTCCGAGGCGTAGAGGCAGACGATATGTTAAAAAAAAAAACTTTGCTTTGATGCGGATCGGAGTGAGACGTTCATTCAGCGGTATGAATGACGGGACTCCACGACTGTTTGCTTCACAATCATCTGGTGAACAGACTCGGAATGGCTTCACTAAAGTTCTCTATATTTTAGGCGTGTCCGAAAGCTCCTCGGGCGTTGGTAACCGCATCTCGCTCAAATATTCTTCACGGCTCAAGTGTGTAGGGCGATGACGTAAGTGCATATTTAATAGCAAAAGGTTTTTAAGAAAGAAACTTCAACTTTATTCCCGAAAGGGGAATAGGACGGCTTTATGCGAGATACTCTTAGTTATGATTCGATACACTTGAAATTTAATGTTCAGTTAACATACGCTAAATGGTTCTTAAAAATCTTATTTATGGTTCAATTTGATTTTCCTTTCGGGTACGGACCTGGCATCCTTTAATTCGTAAAAATCGTATTTAGTTTAGAAATTTTCTTTCCTAAAACAAATTAATTAATAATAAGGAAGGGGTGTTTACTTGCCTAATGCGTTGTTGTTGCCCAGAAAAATTATGCGGCATTGCTTTCTACTGATTACGAGTCCATTCAAATAATGATCACTAAGATTTGATCTATATATTAGGTGTACAACTTTGCTTCCACCGTTTTTTTTTTTCCAAAATTAAAAGCTTTATTGCGAAAAAGTGCTTACAGATATATTATTCAAAGTATTGTTCTTCGCTAGCGCCAACTTTCTCCCATCTTTCCGGAAATTTTCGGATCCCGGCTCGAAAAAAGGAGTTCTCTTTGGACGCTATCCATGAAGCAATCCATTTTTCCAATTCTTCAAAGGATTGAAAATGTTTATCTGACGGGCCGTGTGCCATCGAACGGAATAGGTGGAAGTCAGAAGGGGCGACATCTGGGGAATACGGCGGGTGGGGCAAGACTTCCCATTTCAGCGTTTCCAGGTACTTTTCGACCACTTTTGCGACGTGTTGGAGGATGACTTTGTCATGTCGCTCTTGATATTGTGGCCGCTTTTCTTTTAGCGCGAGACTAAGGCGCATCAGTTGCGTTCGGTAGCGATCTGCTGTGATGGTTTCACCCGGTTTAAAGAGCTCGTAGTAGCTGTTCAAACCAAACACAAATCATAACCTTGGCGCCGTGAATATTCGTTGAAACCACTCCCGACACGTTCTTTCACTCAAAGCAGCATCACCGTAAGTTTCTGAGAGCATTCGATGCGCTTCAGCTGCATTTTTTTTCTCGAATTGTAACAGAAAAGTAAAACTTCCCGTAAATGGCGAAAATTAGGCACATAAACGGACATTTTCGAGCGTGAATAATACGAAAACAAGAACTCAAGAAACACTGAAACGGCGATGACAACTCATTAGGCACTGTCCACACTCACCTTTAAGGCATTATCATCTATGTATTTCAACCAGCCTCAGCCGGTTCAGCCACCTATCGGAAAACGGCGGAAGCAAAGTTGTACACCTGATATGTACATATCATTCTGGAGAGTTAATCGAAAGTCAAGGAATTAAGGCATGGCGTAATCCGCCGTTACACAATTTCAAATTAACGAATTTCAATAATCCATTATCAGTATTTACTCTTTGGCATTTTCTAAATTCGTTAAGTCATTACCAATACTGTATCCATTTTATTGCCAAAAGGGCTCTTAAATATTTGAAAAAAAAAATTCATTTACATACGTAATTTAAATATTTAATAATTCCCAGTAAATGACAACATTTGCTGAAAATAAACTGCTTGCACAAACGCACATGTTTCATACCAAATTACGCACACATACATACAAATACTCGAAAACAAATGTGTTTTGAAAACCCACCTATAATAATAGATATTGGTAATGACGACAGCATAGAGTACATAAAAATGTACTAATAGAAAATAACAAGAACAAGAGCAAGAAAAAAAAGAAGAAAATTTTTAAATATTTTTATTACTTAAAATATATATATGCATACATATGTGCAATATATATTCAATTAATTTTGAAAATGAGCATTACATATTTATTGTATTTTTATTTCATTTCTTTCTTTTTTTTACTTTTTGCTTACTCTATGTAACTAGTTGAACAAAACCGGTTATCATGCTTGAATAAACAATGTGTAGGGTATAATGTACAGTCGTCACACGTGAGTGCAAATACATACATACCTACTATTTCTATTATTTCCTACTCCACATTCTTGGCTTTGCATTAAAACCTAAAAAAAAGTTCTTTTTTATCAGTAATGTGACGCCTTCCCTGCAGCTCCAGCAAGAATATTGAAAAACTTGTATTTTGTCTGAGTTTTTTGTTGGTGGCGATTTTTTTTTTTTTTTTTTGGATACACTGAGAGTAAAATTCTCAGAGCGTAAAAGGTAATAAACAACAAACGAAATAATAACATTAGCTAAAAGAATAAGCACCTCTGCGCATGCCTGAGTTTTGTGGCTGCCAGAACGTAATCGAAAATTAAAAGAGATTTGCATAATGGGAGACAGTAGATGGTTGGTACAGTGTAATCACGATAAAATCAACCGATATCACTGAAAGGTTGAAGTAAAGTTTTCTATTCCCAACTCTCAAATCTACTCACATCTACGTATGTTTCATCTCGCCTTACCTCAGAGCTGAGTTTTGGCAGTATTTGGTGGTTAACATTGCGTTCTCCAAAATTATCGAAAATTATTTTTACGGTCGGTTACGGTCGCTCCTCGGCAGGGATAGATATCTCTTTATCTCAGGCCTTAGGAAATCGAAATGCATCAAAGACTAGATCGCGTATGATAATCTATGACGTCCGATCCCACAATTGTACTCAATCGCATCAAAAAGAAGTTTTTGTTGTACAGTTTATTTTAGAAAATTAAAAAAAAATCAATATGACTTTTTTTATTTCGGAAATCCTGACTCATTTTGTTTTTTGTATCTTTAACTCTTATCGAAGACGGCCGCGGCCGAGTGGTTAGCATTGCATATTGCCATTCGGAAGGCTCGGGCTCAAATCTAAAAAATTAAGTTGAATTTTCTAATTGCGGTCGCCCCTCGGAATGCCAACTCCTCCGTGTGAGTTTCTGACATGAAATAAAAGCTCCTCATAAAAAACCATAAGCCGTTCAGAGGCGGCAAGAATAAACTGTTAGTCCGCTCATTTGTTGGAAAAATATTAAGACGCAAAACCACAAATTGGAGGAGGAGGTCGGCCAAAAAAAATCGCTTCAGCGGTTACAAACCGTCAATCGTGTGTATATAACTATTTTCGAAATCGGCTCTGTTAGGTGGGATATGTCAGTAAGGAATAGCCAGTAATGTCAAAATTGCGATCTCTGGGTCAAAATTTTACTGGCTTTTTGCCTCACCGAACACAGTTTAGCAAAATTAAATAAAAATTCTTACTGCCGATCGGAACACCGAAAAAACTGTCATACACGACTCATTTGGGATCCACATTAAAAGGAATACGGGCTTAGAATTTGTTTTTAATTTTATTTTTAGCAAAAAGTTAAAAAAAAATTACGCGTAGGTGATTAAAATTTAAAACCAATATTTCGTCAGATTCTAATTTGAGACACCAAGTGAAGTCAGCTTCGACTGACCTCAAAAGAAGTGAAGACCTTTCTCTTCAGTTGCTTTTAGCGACGGGTACTACGTCGAAAACTTTCAAAGCTGCAGTGTGTTTGCCCATCCAGACTAGGTCAATGACGTTGTATATCTCATAAAGCTCATATTTCTATTAGCGGCACTCGTCAATGCTACACGTTGGCATAAATCCTTCGCAAAAATTTTTTTCTCGAAAACTCCAAGCGCAGGCTAATCGTCATAGTCCACGGGTTTGCATCATGTAACACTGATGATCGACTTATAGAGTTTTGTCGATTTTCACCAAAAGGGAACTTTCCAATTGTCTACTCCGTACAGTCTAGGTTTCACGGTTCTCTAAAATTGAGTTAAGAATGATAATAAAAACGCCAAGGGTTAAGCGAGGTATTTTGTTTATCGAGTGTCGGTTTTACTGAGGACACACTGTACACACTCGTAATATGCCACTATACTCTGCTCAGCGCATATACAGTCGAATACAGAACCAAAGTAAGTCGCTGTGGCGTAAGTACTGGAGTGCAAATAGTGAAGATAACAAAAGTTTAACAATCAATATTCTACGCGAATAATTCTAAATAAAAATTTATAAAATCGGGAAATATACAACAAAAATTTTATGCATCAATATAAAAGATATTTTTGATATGTGTAATTGAGACTTTTAACAGCTAATGTATATATTTTAATTTTGGTTTTTTGTTGGTGAAGTAATCGCTGGCTTAGTTTGCTCTAACAAAGTATACCATTGTTTGTTTTGGGCAAGTTAGTCAATATTAGGCAATGGGTTCGTCATCGTCGCGTAACACTACGTCCACTTTTCCATCGCATGATGATCCAGCGTACCGGAAGTGTCAAGAGCTGAAGGTATGTTTTTTTATAAGTAAACTATATTATGTTAATTATATATATAAATATTTTTGGATTATTGATATTATAGATGGAACGCTGGATTCAATTGCACTATCAGATAAAAGAGCGCGAAATGGCTACATATATTGCAGGCAAACGTGAGCTCTTCTATTGGTTAAGCGCTTTCTATATCACCTCCAGCATCGGTTGCTGGCAGTATTATCAGCATATACGACGAAAAGCAGCCTTAATACCAATGGTTCCCTTGACTTTTGTGATGGCTTATTATGCAGACTTGGCTTACGGCAGTAAAGTGCAACGTATTAAAGGTATGTTGTGAAGATTATGCCAAAATCGATTATTCATTATACTTTTTTCTTTTGTTTTTTTTCTCTTCTTTTGTTGCCTGGTATCAGCTGAAGCAAATATGATATTGGAGCATGAAAATGAACTACTACACTGGCCTGGCGGCTTGCCAACTGTATCATCTTTAGATGAGGCACGTGTTGAAAATGAAATCGAAAAAAAATTGCATCCACATCCTTCATAGACTTATCCGCTTACATTTTATTTATACTATACATGTTATTGAGATTTAAACTTTTACATTTGCTCAAATATTTCTCTTTTTCATTAACTGCACATTTGTCTACATATGTATATGTTAATTTATGGAGATTTACATTCGCTCTTTGAAACCAATATTTATGCAACTGAAAGTTCGTGACAATATTTTAAATAATTATAAGATTAGCCATTTTCTAAATGTACAATTACTTATACAGCAATTGCTGCGTGTGTGTAATTATTACTGTAAATGTCTTATTTTTACCATTCTATAAATGTATTAACATATATTGTCCATAATAATATATTTTAGAACATCTAAAAAATGGAATTCTACCAACATTCATACGATTACATATGACGCACACATTAGGTAAATTAAATATAAATATTGAATATGTAACATTGGGTGAAAATCATATGGAACGACGACAGAAAAAAGTCAGTATAAAAATTGTAGTCTAGTATAAAAAATATATAAATTAGTAGAGCTCCATATAAGCGGGGTTTCAACACCATCATTCAACCTTAATTCATGTGATTGTTATAGTACTTACTTACAAATATACTCATAATTAAACTGTTTAATGGATTAAAGCAATAAATAATAAAAAAAATTTATTATAGCAATTATTTAATAAAAACTCAAAGTAAGCGCTTTCTATATCACCTCCAGCATCGGTTCGAATCCGAATTTTACACTCCTCTTACCAATGAGCCAAAATAATGGTTTCTTTCAATCAAAATTTACTTGTGGTTTCAACTATTTTTAGTGCTACATAGTTTAACTATTTCGCGCAAAGTGCTTACTATATTCAACTGTAATATATATAGAATACAAAAAAGTTTAAATATCAGTAAAAAAAAAAACATCAATCAGGTAAGTTCTTATAGAATAGAAATGGCGCCTCTTCCTTTTCCTTCCATCCACTTAACATATTGATTTGGTAGCACTTCCCACATTGCACACCAATTAAGCCGTTATAAAACAAGCAAAATATGTTTGTAGAAAATAAGTTTTTATTTATGTTATTAGAATAATAAATTTAACAGTTGAAATGTAATTTCCATTTAAAGTAAATACTTCTTTTTTCAATCTTTTAATAAAATTATTCCTGTAACCAGTGTGGCCGTATTAAAAATAAAAAACTATTATTTTTTGTCAGTCAGTGCGAGTTGAATGCAACGCTGCGTTTTTTGACAATAGAAAAGTAGCAACAGTAGCGGCAGTAGGACTTGGAAAAAGATGTAAATTTTCTTAAAACGTTAATTAATGGAAAATACTTGCAAATAAGTGTGGAAACAAGTGAAAAGTGTGCCTCGCACTTTGGTGAACATCTTTCAAAGAGTAATACATAAATTTCTTTGCGCAAAAACTAAAGAAAAAGGTTTGTATAAAAGTGGTCGTCAAAGTCCAGAAGAGGAATTTGACCAATTTGCATTGTCTTCTCATTCTGATTTACCACACAACCTCAACTATACTTCATCCACTGCTGTCTTCTTCGTTAATTGTATTGTGTGTTCCTTTGATTTTGCTTTAGCCTCTGATTCGGATTATTGTCTTGTTCATCACTCCATTAAGCAGTCGTGAAGATAATAAAAGGTGAAAACGTTTTCTTATAAAAATTTCAAAGTGTGCACAATTAAAACAATAAATAAAGAAGAAAATAGCAAACAGCGGAAGAACGACAGGCGTAAATAAAAGCAGAAAATAGTAGTGAATTGTGAAAGCATCTGTAAAAGCAATTATTTTGAAAGAGGAAAGAATAAGACGGTAGAAAAAGAACGGTTTGTGCGGGGTGTTAGCGACCGCCTGCTCGAGTGCCAAAGTGGAAGAAAAGCAAAAGAGGAACAGGGCAGACGGAAAAGGCAAAAAAATAAGACATATTTGACAGGTAAGAATACAAGAAATAAGCGAATCACATTTTATGAATTTTCATATCCCTTTATCATCTGGTCGAGAGAGAATGATTGGAAAAATCAAAAATAAATAATATTTTTTTCACATTCACTTTCATGTCTGACGTATTGACGTTTTGGTTTTTTTGTTTGTTCATTTCTGATTTCTAGTGAGGCATTTAGGAAAAAGTCGCGTTGTAGCCAAAGACTTAGCATAACGCAACGACGACGAAGTGTGTAAAAAAAAGAAAAAAGTGCGGTTGAGGGGCGCTGTAAAATTGAATTTAAAACGTAATTGTGACGAGAAAATGGAAATCGAGCACGACCAATCGATAGAGGCAATGGACACACAAGAGGTCGAAATAATCACAAGCGACCTGCAAAATCAGCAACAGCAACAATTGAATAAGCTGCATTTGCCAACATCACAGCTGCCTAACGAGAACGGTAACATACCGCCGCAGCAATTATTAGCCGACACAACTTCGCCATACACCAACGAACAGGAGATGACGTCCGTCGACGATCCCAAGGACGATCAGTTTCGCTCTGAGGCAACATTTTCATATACGGTGGAGGATATTTTACAACTTAAACAACAACAACTCTCCCCACCCGTCTACGTGCGCATGTTGCCATGGAAAATAATGGTAATACCAAATGAACGTGCCCTAGGTTTCTTCCTGCAGTGTAATGGTGAAAATGAATCGCCTACCTGGTCCTGTAATGCAATCGCTGAGCTACGACTAAAATGCCACAAACCAGATGCACCACCATTTACTCGTGCGCGTATAAAGCATCTTTTCTACTCCAAAGAGAATGATTACGGCTATTCAAACTTCATAACGTGGACAGAGTTACAAGAGGCCGAAAAGTGTTATATACACAATGGTGCTATAACTTTAGAGGTTCACGTAGTGGCGGATGCACCACATGGCGTACTCTGGGACTCTAAAAAACACACCGGCTATGTTGGACTTAAGAATCAGGGTGCAACATGTTATATGAACTCCTTACTCCAAACACTTTATTTTACCAATCAACTACGACGTGCTGTCTACAAAATACCAACTGAAGCCGATGACAGCGCCAAATCGGTAGGTTTATCACTGCAGCGAGTTTTTCACGATCTACAATTCGGCGACCGCCCAGTAGGTACTAAAAAGCTCACCAAATCATTCGGTTGGGAAACGCTTGACTCTTTTATGCAGCATGATGTACAGGAATTTTTACGAGTTTTACTCGATAAATTAGAGTCTAAAATGAAGGGCACATGCTTGGAGGGCACCATACCCGGTCTATTCGAGGGAAAAATGTCTTCATACATAAAATGCAAGAATGTCGATTACAATAGTACACGTTATGAGACTTTCTACGATATTCAGTTGAATATTAAGGACAAAAAGAACATCTACGATTCGTTCAAGGATTACATAGCATCCGAAACACTTGAGGGGGATAACAAATATGATGCAGGCGTACATGGGCTTCAGGTAAATAAATTGTACTACTACTTCTAAACAAAAGCATGATGCTGAAACGATTAGGGTTATTTATTTAGTTAACTTGGCTACGCATCAAGTTTTGAGTTAAATAAATAATTTAATATTATTATTGTTTTGCATATTGAATTTAATTTTTTTCATCTTCATATAGGAGGCAAGCAAGGGTGTTATCTTTACGGCATTTCCACCCGTTTTGCATTTACATTTAATGCGTTTCCAATATGATCCAATAACAGACAGCTCCATCAAATATAATGATCGCTTCGAGTTTTACGATCGTATAAATTTAGACGAATATTTGGCCGAAAAGGAGAAAACACCTGCCGAATATGTTTTGCATGCAGTACTCGTACATTCGGGCGACAACCATGGCGGCCACTACGTGGTCTTCATAAATCCCAAAGCGGACGGTAAATGGTTTAAATTTGATGACGATGTAGTTTCCAGTTGTCGTCGAATCGAGGCCATTGAACAGAACTATGGTGGAAACGACGATGAAATCTCGTTCCATGCTAAATGCAGCAACGCATACATGTTAGTTTACATACGTAAATCTGAATTGGAACGAGTACTCAGCGAAATTCCCGAAAATGAGATCCCCAGTGAACTAGTGGAGCGACTTGAGTTGGAGAAACGCATTGAAATGGCACGCCGCAAAGAGCGTAGTGAGGCAAACTTATACGTCTCCATACATGTCATACTGGAAGAGTATTTTGAAGGACAGCAAAAGCGACGTCTCTTTGATTTGGATAAAGTGCATCAGCGCCTATTCAAATTAAAACAAACACAAACAGTTGAAGAGATGATGGATGCGTTTGTTAAATCTTTTGGGGTACCCAAAGACCGTATGCGCGTCTGGATTATGTTTGCGGCACAACCGCAAAAGTTTCTTTACTTCGATTTCCAGCGTGAAGGTTTGCGTCCAATTGAACAAATCGCTACTGCACAGAAACCATGGGTGATCTTCCTTCAGTTGGCGTCACCTCTTGTACCTGGTCGCCCATTGCCACCGTTCGATCCCAAACAAGAAGTGCTGCTATTCTTCAAGTATTACGATGCCTGTAATAAACGTTTAAATTATATAGGTTGTTCACAACAACCGCTAACTCGGCGTTTAAGCGAACTTGTGCTTGATGTCAATACACACTTAGGCTTTGAACCAGACACCGAGTTGACGGTATTTGATGAATGCAACGACAAGAAGATAACTAATATCAATGAAACTCTTGAGAATGTGCTTTACCTACACCAGGATAATTTGCAGGGTTATATATTGATTTTCGAAAAAGAGCATGTAGATGTAAAATTAGATTTGCCGACCGTCGAAGATTACTTTTTAGATTTGGTATATAGAGTAGAGATCACATTCTGTGATAAATGTAATCCCAATGAACCGGAAATCGTATTAGAGCTATCAAATCGCTATAATTACGATCAAATGGCACAAGCAGTCGCCGAGCGACTAAATACCGATCCAAATAAATTACAGTTCTTCATGTGTGTCAGCAGTTATAAAGAGGCACCCGGTAATGCTGTTCCGTACACATTCAAGGTGAGTGCAAAATACATGAAAACAACAAATAAATGTTACAGTAAAAGCAGTTGATAAAGGTTGAGGAGTCCTAGTACTTTTTAATTTAACGATCTTCAAGTGGTCCATATGCAAATTCAGAATAAATAATTTTTATTTAAATCAAATAATCTTCAGTAGAAATAATAATATTTATCAAATTACTCAACCACTAGTTAAATAAAATTGGTTTCGTCATAAACCTTTTGTTTATTAAAATTTTTTGGTTTTAATCTTCCAGGGAACTGTTAAGGATCTAGTCGCATACTGCAAGCAGAGCGCTTCTAAGAAGCTCTTCTATCAAAGACTGTCTCTCAGCATCCACGAACTCGACAATAAGAAACAATTTAAATGCATTTGGGTCTCAAATGATCTTAAAGAGGAGAAAGAGCTCGTGCTATATCCGAATAAAAATGAAAATGTCAAAGGTTTGCTGGATGAAGCTGCCAAAAAGATACAATTCGCCGAGAATAGCCGTAAAAAATTACGATTACTTAAGGTAGCCAATCACAAGATCGCAACCATATTTAAGGAAGATACGCCGCTGGAAGCGCTACAAAAGACCAATGAAACGCTGACGGCACAAAGTGCGCAGAAGACTTTCCGTATTGAGGAAGTGCCTGCCGAAGACATGCAATTGGCCGAGAATGAAGTGCTCGTGCCAGTGGCACATTATAGCAAAGAGATTTACAACTCCTTTGGTGTGCCATTCTTGATTAAAGCGAAACATAACGAACCATATGGTGCGCTTAAGCAACGCATACAAAAACGTTTGAACGTGCCCGATAAGGAGTGGGAGAATTTTAAATTTGCCGTCATTTCAATGGGACATCCGAACGAAGTTAACGACAATACTCCCGTCGATACAGAAATCTATCGCTCTTGGACTAATGCACATTTGCCTTACTTTGGACTCGATCATATAAACAAATCCAGGAAGCGAACATCCTTAAATTTCTCGGAGAAAGCAATTAAGATTTACAATTAAATTTAGTATGTAATTGGCGAATTATAATAATAATAACAACAACAACAACAATAACAACAAAAACTTTAAAAGGTAACAAAAACTGAAACTCATTGTGGGAACGATAATGTGTGCGTGCAAAGTAAATAAAATAAGCGAGATAAATGAGAACTGCCGAAATAATGGAAAATATACAGAAGGAAGCAAGGAAAAATGCTAAAACGACGAGAGTATTATCGCTGAGAAATTTTAAATTGGGCTTTATAGCTAAGGAGCGTTTAGAGAGAAGAGTTTGAATATAGCAAGATAAACGATAAAAAAATAGAAAACAATAACAAAAACAAGTTGCTAATCTATGTATTGTTCTTATGTTTACATGCTGCATAAACGCCGAAATAAAAAAAAAAAAAACAACACAAAAATACTACTCACAACTGCGAACGTAACGGCAACATAATAAATCAAATGAATTACCGCTAAAAATATGAAGCAAGTCAGACAAACGACCGACCGACCAACCAACTAATTTGTCCATCAGCCTACTAAGCAAGCAACAAAAATTGGCAAAAGAAAACACAACAAAAGCAAAGTCAAAAAAGAAAACTAAACAATTGCAATGATTGTAAAATGTAATTTGCTTTTATAGTTTCGAATGTGTTAAGAAAAAAACACTTCGCCTGTTAAACGTTCAAACACAGCACACTATCAACACTTCCATACAATCAATCACACACAACAGGAACAACGCAAACATGATTACGTTCATACATATGAGTAATAAAAACACATACAGAACACACATTAAGAACAACAAACAAAAACAAAAACAAAAAATAAATCGATCTTTAAACTAAAATAAAAATATTAAATTTAAAATGTACTACTTTAATATTATAAATATTGAACAAAAATACTTATATAGGCGTACGATTGTAAAAAAAAAAAAATAACAAATGAAAATTATACGCAAAAAAAACTCTTATGTGAACAGCTCCTAAGTGATTCTCAAACAACTTTCGTCAAAAGCAAATTCAAATGTCTGTATGTAGAACGTACGATAGTCGGCAGTGATTTTGCATATTTCGCATTTTGTTGGCAAGTGTTGGCGCTTTATTCGAACACGTATAACTTGTAGTTGTTAGTTAGGTGCATTACAAGAGCTACGACTACTCTCCACAACATACCTCTGCCCATATGCAAGTGATTTCATAAGAAATTTTCACTACTGCATAAATAACCTTGAGCCGCAAAGAAAGGGGGGAAATATGGCCACACCACAGTAGCAACAACAGCAACAGCAACATCATGGAACATGCTTATAAAGCAAGTAGAGTAATTTGAAAACAAACAAAAAAATATACATATAAATAACACACATATGCATATACATATATTAAAAAATAGAGTTATATATAAATTAAAACTAACAAAACAAAGAACGAAATGATTATAATGATTTTTAGATTACAAGCATATACAAGCACACATACTTTTACTCAATAGGATTATTAACAACTTCATGACACACAATACACAGCACATAAAACTGCAAATTGTGCTCGTGTATGCTGATAAGATTCCTTTATTACGCACACACATGCACATGGATATATTTGCTAGAGCATATGTGTTTCATATATATGTCTATGTATATAACATATTCTTGCAAGCGTATGCCCAAAAGGAAGTGGGTTGGATGGTATGGTTCTTAGAATTCATTTCAATGACATTTCAAGTAAATTTTTGTTGTTGAGTCCAATTCATACATACATACATATACACTGAGGATTCCATTATTTATTGTTGTTTTTTTTTCTTTTAATATATATATGTCTAGTATACAGAAAATTAAAATTATTTTCAATTTTGTTAAAAAAAAGTTCATTAAAATTCTCTAAAAAAAAACAGAAGTATTTTTGAGGTTGCTTAACCACCTCCGACTTGAAAGGCTTTGTATTAAAGTCGAGTTAAATACATCCATCAAAATTTTGAGTGTTAAGCAATACAAACATTTTTATTACAACATAGATATTGGTTGCATGCACTGTACGGGCTTACAGGTGTACAGGTAACACTATTCGATGATTGCATGAATAGCGTCGAATCCAAATCGAATGAGTAAGCATTTAACTGTTTTTTAGTTAGTGGATTCGATTACAGTTTACAATAAAATATAATAATAATAAAGGAAGGAAGAAACATGATAAAGAACCAAACAATTTTGCTAAGAAAAAGTCGGCAAATTTCAAAAAGTCAATTTCCCAAACAAATTGTTTTTGTTTCTTTTTTAATTTTTTTTTTTAATTTTTTGTTCTGTTTTGTTTTTGTATATTTTTTTTGTTTTTTAATTTCTTTTGTTTTCTTCGTATTTTTTTTATTTTATTTAATAATTTTTTTATTGTTTTCTTTTTAATGTGTAACTTTTTTTAAATTTTGTTTTTAACTATTTTTAAATGTATTTTTTTTTTAATTTTTAAATTTTTTTTCTAATTTTTAAATTTTTTTGTTTTTAATTTTTTTTTTCAGTATGCTTTTTTTTAGTTTGTTTTTAATTTGATTTTTTTAATTTTTTTTTTTTTTTAATTTGTTTTTTGTTTTAATTTGTTTTTTTTTTTAATTCGTTTTTTGTTTTAATTTGTTTTTTGTTTTAATTTGTTTTTTGTTTTAATTTGTTTTTTTTTTTAATTCGTTTTTTGTTTTAATTTGTTTTTTGTTTTAATTTGTTTTTTGTTTTAATTTGTTTTTTGTTTTAATTTGTTTTTTATTTTTAATTTGTTTATGCGAACAGTTTTCGCTTGTTTGTGCATATACCTAACCTCATTTCCTCTTATATAAAAATCTAATATCCGTTTAGAAAAATCCAGTTGTCTCCAAAATTCCAAAATTTACCGACCGATTGACTTAAAATTTTTGTGAAGTTGTTTCTATGGTTGCAGTGAAAGTTTTTACGGAAAAAAGTTCTGGAAGTGGACAGGTGACCGACCTATTCAAAGAAAGCTTATTTATGGTTCGATTTACTTGAAATTCGGTACATAAGTAGCGTTTTGCTTATATTAGCAGGAGTCTGCACATCTCTCCTGTAGGTGGATCATGAACTGACCTATTCAAAAAAAATCGGACTACCCTTCTCTCCGTGAAGTGGACCAATGCCAAGAATTAAACCAAAAATCTTGTAAGCCCACAAGTATTGAGTAAAAAAAAAGTTATGATAAAAAGATATCCCACGATGATTTTTCATACATATAATGAGTATGTGCGACAACGAAGCGTGGCAGGGTACAGCCAGTTCTTTTATAAAAATATGTAAAATAATACTAATGATGAAACCTAAAATTCGTATTTAACCTTACATTCCAATACCTATTACAATATTGTAATGCAAATCTGCTTTAATTTTTTTGAAATCTTTATTGCACTGCATCTTCGGTATACAAGGAAAAAAATAAACGTTTAATAGGGAGAGATGTAAGCCTCGTTGTTCCTGTTTCGATATAATCATCATTTTAATCCCTCAGCAGATTCACCAAACACAATAAACACCTAGAAAAACCAAGTCTTCGTGATAAGATTGGTAGCCCTCCTCTTCCAGAAACCCGTCGAAAATACAACAAGATCACTGCGCCCGAGTGTCGAAAGAGTAAATTAAAATTACTTAATATAAACGTCGTTTTATTTCAATTGCAATAGAAAAAATGGTATAAATACATTTTTTTTTTAGAATTTTCGACGCTTTAGTATTTCCGGCCGCCAGTTAACCGGATGTGACTCTTCGCTCGCTTCATCATCTTCCTTATAAATTTTTATTGTTTTATCTGCCTCAGCGGTGATTAAACGTGAACCTGATTGATCGAAACTCATTGCAAAAATACCTGCTTCACTGTCCATTGAGCCGGGTTGTACAGGTGCTTGGAAACGTTGAAAATTATAGCCAGTACGCCAATCCCAGAAGAACATTGTACCGTTGTCACCGCCTGATACCAAAACACCATCCGCATTTACCGCCATACAGTTGACAATGGCATTGTGGCCGGAGATGTTCTGCACGAAATTGCCCTCGGGGCAACGCCACTGTTTGATATTGTCTGGTGAGGCAGAAGCGAACATATAAAGTGTTGGATGCAGCACAATGTTGCGCACCGACTTTTTATGATTGGTCAATGTACAAACGCTTTTGCCCGCAGCCAAATCCCACAGGCGTACTGTTGAATCATGTGATCCAGTTATAATTTGAGGATTAACTGCTTGAGCAACTACACTGGCAACAGTGTTGGTGTGTCCTGTTAATGTGTGTATATTCGCTTTGGTACGCATATCCCAAATACGAGCGGTTGAGTCACGACCACATGTTGCAAGCACATCGATGGTTGGATGTAACGCCATAGAGTACACAGCGGATAAGTGACCGTGATAATGACGTATCACTTTATTATATTCGAGATCCCAACATTTCACCTGTCGATCCTCACCACAACTGAATAGATAGGGATGCTTGGCACTCACAGCCAAGCCACGTACCACGCTTACATGTCCAGTAAGTGAGAGTTTTAATTTGCCGCTGGCTAAATCCCAGATTTTGATAACACGATCTCCGGCGCCCGTTGCAAACCATTCATTACCGGGCTCAACAGCTATGCAACGTACCCAGCCCAAGTGACCTAAATAATGGGAAAGAAAATTATAAAAACTCTTATTTTGTACTGAAAGTTACAAACCGGATATAACACGCGATAATTTCCATGGTGCATGCCACTTTGGTTTTGGTATTGTAGGTGCTTTCTTCGGAATCAATTGTACATTACTGCCTGTTGAGCTAGTGCGTGCACCCGATGCAGCGACAAGCGATGAGTTGCCATTTGCATGTTCAACACTGCCGCTTACGCCCAATTTCTCCGTTGCAGCAGCCAACGCATTTTGGTGATCACCAACAACATTGCCATCGGTAATTGCTAGTGGTCGTTCTGGTCCCTCTAGCGCGCCACCCGGTGCCGCAGCTGCCATTTTCTTTGCTTCAGCCGACTTAGAGACGCGATCAAACACCAGCCCATATGTGTCTTTGGCTTTAATGGATTTCCTAACTTTAAGCCTAAATTTGAAGATACATAACTACATGGTATGGAATTAAATTAATAATTTACTTACAGTTTTTCATCTATTTCCGGCAACGCACTTTGGTTTGACACAAACATGTCATGTGTGCGTTTCAGGGAGCGAAATACAAGCGTATGTACGCTGTGGCGTTGTACTTCCTCCATTATTTGCAATAATAGATATTCTACGCAAAGTTTTATTCAAAAGCGTTAAAATATATTTTTTGGTGCGTTATTAAGAATGGTGCAAATAATAATACCGGACGCAAAAAATTAATAAACACGAATTGGTCACAAAAGAGAAATCAAAAAAAAACAAATCACATGGGTGCATTTTTGACATTAAAATGTCGGCAAATTAGCCATTAAGGCCATTTCACACCAGAAAAAAGGTTAGCAGCAGCATACACTTAGAAACATGCACTTCTACAATAAAAAACATTTTCATTTGAAATAAAAAATGTTTCTCCTTAAAGTAACTAATTAATCAAGAAAATATCCTTATAATCGTGTGGAGTCAGCCGTTATGTAAAACTAAAACCGACGCAAGCGATCTATGTGAACGAATCCACTGCGGGGTAAAAAAGATTTTTGTCTGGCCAAGGTTTGTCGCTCTCGCAACATTCCTTAAAAAATTAATTTGGGGAATATTTTTGTGAATATATGAACGGTCTTCAGAGTACATAAAAATTGTTTATTCAACCCGACTGCAGATAAAACTTTTGGGTTGCGTTGCACGACAATTGCACATAATTTCTCAAATAAACAACGCAAGGCAAAGGAATTCTTTAAAATTGAGGATGTAACGTCTAAACAGAGCTGTATTAATACTAGTAAAGCAGATTTTCATTTTTTTTTTTAAGTAATCTATTTATGTAAAGGAAAATATTTATTGCGTTGACGTTTTTCCGCTTTTGTTGAAAAGGCCAAGCAACACAAGCAACGTTTTTCGACTCGCTAAATGGGTGACACACTATTGTATTTTTTTAACAAACGTAAGCAATGCTGTCCACAACGCAGCGCCAAAAATTTAACCATAGGTTTACCAGAAAGAATGGTCAGAAAAACCAGATGGTTGGATGCTTCTTAATTCTCAAACCGGCTTTACTGGTTTGTAAGTTTGCGTTGGAAGTTGAGATTCTACTTGATAGTCAAGTTTCAGTAAAAAATTTACTTTTCCACGAATTAAAGAAAACAAAACCGTGGTTTTTGATTCTTTTAAATATATGTATTTTTTTTAAACGATTTGTGGTCTTTTCTATTAATTGGCTGGCACAGGTGAACCCGAGGCCGCGTTACTCGACGAAGAAGTGCCTGCTGAAGCCGATGGTGCTGATGATGACAACGACGACGATGTGGACGAAGATGCTGATGATGTACCCGCAGCAGCTGAACTATTATCCTGTGATGCCCCCTCGAAAAATTTTTCGATCTTTTAAATAAATAAATATATAATTATAATTAAGATAAAAGGAAGATAAGCAAATAAATATATCTTTTTTTTTAGCAGTACTAACCATTTTCTTTATATAATTACATAAAGATTTGTTATTGGAAGTGGAAATTACATTTTCCACTCGATATGGTGGCGAAACAGTTACTTCATTGAATATTTGAATATTAGGGCCTTGCCAAGATACTTCATTAGACTACAAGATAAAATGAAATAAGAATTAACGTTAACACTAATGGTTTATTAATATATTTCTAATTTATTTACCTTAAATTGCTTTGCAATTGTTCTGTACAGTTCCTGTGCTTCCAAGCTAACGTCCGCATTTCTTGACTTAAGATACATTTGTCGTTGCTGAACTGTGTTGCGTAGTCGAATTTTAATCTGAAGAAAAAAGAAAATAAAACTTTATTAAGAGAAACAAAAGCGTTTGATGGTTTGATTTTTTACCTGCTCCAAATTCAACTTTTGTGGATCCTCAACGAAATTGCCATTGCACTCCTTGATCACCTTTACGTTACTGCATAGGGATAAGTTCAGTACGTAAACATCGTTAAGTTGTTCTGAGTTTTTCGAGCGACACTCTATTTGAATGGAAATTACATAATGACAATTGATATTAAGGAAACACCGCATTATAAATCTTTTGAACAAAATGTCGTATACTTCCAACTCTGTAACAGCAAACAAAAAATTTCTGCTTACTACTACGTAGCTCTGAGCCCCTGTTTATATCAACTACATACCGCAAACTACTAACACAACAACAAAAAATTAATATTCATTTTACTAAAAGTCAATTCGGATGATTGACCTCAGAAGCTCGCTTTGCAGCTTTCTCCAAGTGACTTGATGCACATGCATACATACATATATATGTACATACACGTGAATCGGAAACTAAAAGTAAAGGCGAAGAAAATATGCGAAAGCAATTTGGGAAACGTTTTGTTACTACAACAAAAATAAAATATGCGATAATAAGCATATTATTCAACATAATAAACTTTAATCAAGCTAATGAGGTTAATTTTTTTTAAGCCGGTAAAACACAGGAAACAAGACAGAATTTTGCACATCCTGGCTCTTTATGAAGCAAGTGTAACGACTGCTTCCACCTTACTTAAACTTGAATGTTGGCTGTTATACTCTGCACATATTTGGCTTACAAAGTCTTCATATTGTATCCATATGTGAAACGTTTGATGTTTACTTTGTTGCGTTTTTTTTAATCCTGAAGCGGAAAGCCGTGCTTTGAAATTCCCTTTTGAAGTCAATATAAATAAACACCTCTTCTTTTTTTAGCTTTAAAAGGCTACAGTCTTCATATCTTGCAATTGTTGATTAAAAAATCAGCAAAACATATGCTAAAAAATATCAAGTCACATCTAATATAAGTGTTGACATATTTTTTGATTTTGTAAATACTCATATCAAGGTTTTTTTCTTTTTGTATTTTAAAAAGGATACTTAGTATTAGCATCTTTGTGTTGTGATCAAATGCAAGCACTTCGCCTTCCACCTCCTCATTGAAACAGGTCGTACACAGCACGGATGATCCAATCGTAAAGCAATCATTTACCGCAGCCATTTTTAATGGTAGCCCGCCACACACAACTCAGCAAGGTAGCGCGAAGTTTACGAAACTACGTTTACGTTTTTCTTTTGAATTTTTATCTCCAATCGAGTCAACAGTGCTGACGACTAGGTATCAAATTTATAGCAAACTCAATTATAAACAATTCGTACACGCGTTTTACAAAAAATGCAACAAAATGCGGTTGTGTCTTTTTTGCTGTTGCTCCGTTGCATACGTTGATTTTGCAGGAAGATTTTATAATGTTGTTATGGTCACTCTCCAATAACGCAATCCAGAAAATTTTAATAATAATATAATTAACCAACAAATCGCAACATATGTGAAAAAGGTGCTAACTTCGACGGCAATTTCTTTCGAAATATACTTTTTCGCATTTAATATTTTTATTTTAACATTTACTGACACTACTGATTGCTGCTGCCGCTCCGATGGTTGTTCACTTTTCCACTATTTACTTATGCAGTAATTTTTGTGGGATTTCGCTTTGCGGTTGTTCTGTTTTTTTAATCACTTGAATTAGGAGTAACTTCGCCTTTTACAATTCAAATGCAATTTGCAGATTAATTTGCGTTAAATTTCTCTATTTCACACAGTGAAAATTAATAATAATAAACGGCATATGCAGACGTTATCCAAAATTATTTTTTGGTTAAATCTCTTAAGAAACGAGCAGAGATGGCAAATTAGAAAACACAATCCAAGTTTTCTTCCATGCACACTATTCTTCCACATGTATTCACACATATGTAGATTGGCGCGTGGCGAATGAGTGTAAAGAACAATGTCAAAAGACATGGACAAGTGTATATTTCATATAAAGTGTAACGCAACTTCTATTCAATCTGGTTAAAAAACAAAAAAAATTGGTATTATTAGACAGTTGAATATTAACTCGTATTGAAAGTTACGTAAATATAGTATATATATAAGGTTAAAAGTATTTAGTAAATTCACATTAATTACTTGCAATGAATGCAATACCATGAGACTTATCCCATTAGCTACAATTTAAATACAACCCTGCGCGGAAGCAAATGTAAACAATATGCCGGCGGCTGGTAATGAGCAACAAACTTTTTTTTCGTATTATCAGTTAATCGATTCATTAGAGTTCATTGGAAATTATTTTGATAATAATAATTAATTTAGCTCTAATGAGCAACATTCATAAGTGAATGTGTAAAGATTGGCGGAAAGTTTTCCATATTACCTGAGTTAATAATTTAACGCAGTATTTTGATGTGTGTGTGGAACTCACCACGCCCTGTTCATTTGTGGGGTTCCAACGAGATTGAGGCAACATGTCACCTATGCAAATACATCGGTATTATTTAATTGCGCTTCCTTTACTATTACAAAATCTGCTCACTACGGTATGGTGTATTAACCATTGGGTTCTAAAAGATGATGGACGAATCATACAAAAAGTAGATTCGCCATTTCTATTACGCGAGCCACATAATCTAATAGCATTTTTAGATCAAATACAACACAACGAATATGTGGAACAGTCTTACTTAAAGCTAAGAGAACAGCGTGAATTGATTGCGGAGCATTTGCGATCTTCAAAGAAATTTAGCGAGGATCTGGTTGTCCAGGCAGAACGTCTGCAACCAAATTTAGGTCCTCATACACAACCGATGCAGAATTTGATAAACTCATTAGAGGCTCTTACAAAACAAACGTCGAGGATGTATAGGTATAACTTTAAAGTACATGTACATACCATTACAACAACTACAACGATAAGTAATATAAAATTATCTTCTTAATAATTGTACCATTTTTCAGTTACTTGGAATTTGTGAAAGATGAATTGAAGGAGTTTCGAAAACTAAAAACTCAGATAACGCAACACCATGAAAAGCTGATACAGCAACAGGTTTAGCACAACCTCTTGGTTACTTGAGAAAAAATAAACTAATTTAGCGTAATCCCACAGGTACCGCTTGCAGCTCGTCAATTAGATGAAAAAACAAATAACGAGGATTTCCTAAAACGAGGACAGTATTGTAGTACGCGTACATTGTCAAGTACTGAAGATCCTGTTTTGTTTTGTGATTTCTATTCCGATATGCAAATGCGTTTAGAAGGTAAGGATGTGGATCCTGAAGCATTAGAACGCGACTGGCAGCTTACAAGTGAATCTGTGCTGAATCAAGTAACTAGCTTAAACGTACAGCAACGCCTGAACTTAGAGCAAATAAAAACAATGCGAGCTAAGAAAGCTGCCGTTGCATCCGCTGCGAAAAGTCGGAAAGCGGCGCAAGTTTCGAGTACAACTGACGTAATTGCAGAGGATAAAGTCAAAGATACATGAGGGAGAAATTTATTTCTAATAGCTACATTTTCTGCTTTTAAGACAACACATTAGTTATTATTCTTTACCAAAATGAAATTACGTATATTTAACTTTTTGTTGCATCATTTTACACGTTACAGTTACATTTTATACATGTATAATACTAATAAAATTGTATTTTTTATTACAAATTTTCAATTAAATAGTTGGTACATAATAATACATATTATTTAACGGCATGATTACTATGTAGTAAAAACTAATCACGACGTGGTATATCAAATTTTAATCTTATCGTTTTTGTGAAAATCCCTCTTAATTGTAAATTATATTTACCATAAAATCTCTGTTGTTTCAAGTGCAGTATGTATTTCCTTCAGACTGCCATATGCATGCGTGGGTTTCGCTTTCTTTACTTCGCTAGCAGATTGTGTAACTAGTAGACTTGACCAACCTGCATTACGTGCACCTAAATAATCCTTATCGTAGAGATTTCCAATGTGTAATGCTTGATGTGCTTGCACATCATATTTTTCTAAAGGTTTCTGGAATGCTCTGCTATGCGGCTTCTCAGCGCCCAAGTCGTAGGACGTGGATACAAAATCAAAGATATGTCTTATGTTCATACCTAGCAGTACGTGTTCCAGTCCGGGATCAGAGTTCGAAATAACACCAACATATTCGCAATTATCTCTGATCATGCTTAATAATTCTAAATTTCCATCAATATGTACATAACATTCGTTAGAACGATATTGCTCAAAGAGGCGTTTACTTATGCACTGTATTTGTGATGACGATAAATTACCATTCACGCCCTTGAATACATTGCCGACCAATTGCATCCACCATTCTTGCCAAGATATTTCATTTGAGTTGCTACCAAAGTTTGGATACTTTTTTGCCATAGATTTAAATTCTTTACGAAACTGTTTTTGTAAGAGATCCGGATCAAGATCTTTCATTCCCATCAAAGCTGCGGTCTCCGCATATTGGATGCCGGGTGGTTTCCGAAACTTTAACAATGTATCAGTTATATCAAAAGTCACCAGTCGGAATCGATTCAAGTTCTTTACAACCTGTGCACGTCGAGGCATTTTTAAAATTCGGCATCTAATCTTTTCTTCTTTAACGAACTAGACTATTTGTTGTTTTGTTTACAGAAGAACTCAAATGTTATCTAATAAATAAAAAATAGTGAACAGCTGATTGATGATAACGATAAAATCAGTTTGTTCGGTGAGCTGAGGGGCAGTAATAATTGTAGCCAATTTGTACCGAATGGCTTTCCGTGGGACAACGAATGAGTACAATTTCGACATTTCGCCACAACAAAAACAAAAACAAAATGAATAAAATTTATTTAACTGCCAATATCATGTGGCCATAGAGTGCAATTTTTTCTACTCGGGGTCTATTCTACGCGAGTAGATTAGACTCGCAAGCATAAACACTTTTTCACCAAGAGTTAAGGTCGAGTAGATTACATACATTTTCTCTACATATGTAGAAGCCTTAAATCGGTAGTATAAAATAAGTAAGCGAACACACCCTTTCTATGTGCCGATTTGGTTACAACCCTGCAAATTGCTTGCATGGCTTTTCTTCACCAAAAAGTAAACAATTTGAATAGTTCTTTAGATTAAGCTTTAAATGTACGAATTGAATTAAATAATGTCTGAAGAACCACCAAAAATATGTTTCAAAAATCCGAAATATAGCTACATAGAACCGGGTGGTAAGAAACATGTTTTCAAGTCGCTGAAACAAATACTGGCAGTAGAAAAGACTCAGCAGTGGCCAGAAGGCGCTATGACATGTAAGTGGTCAATTGTTAATATCCTTTTGTTGTCGGTGCTTCTAGTTCAAACATTTGCTCATACTTTATCAAATTTAGACTCTTCCTTCAATGCGCCACCGTCCTTGCGGCCACCGAAAAAATATTCTGACATATCGGGTTTGATTGCACCGTATACTGATCCGCACTCCAAACTTCGTTACGCAAATGCGGAGGAATATTCAATTGTGAAGACGTTGCCATCAGATATTGTTGCTGGATACCTGGCTTTGCGTGGTGCTAGCAGTATTGTTGGTTAATATTTCAAATTAATAAATGGTATCACGTGTGCGTACAAGGGATCTAAAATATAAGTTAGGTCTAAAGCTGTGAGAGAAGGGGTTAACATACCGAAGTGGGTAATATTAAATTCGAGCATCGTATCGTATAATTGCCTTAAAGTAATGAATTTTCCATAAATATACAGAAATCATAATTTCAAAACCATGCAAATTGTTAATAACATGGATTTTACTGCAATAAAAAAAATTAGTTGGAGAAATAATTTAAATCAATTTCTTACTTTCAATTCGATTTGTCTTGTTGTTGTTTTAATTCCTTCCAACCAAGCGTGCCTACCTTCGGGGGGTTAGAACTGGGCTGAGGAGGACACTCACAAAAGGTGGTGTTCCAGAGATTTGTTATCCTCTGGGCATACTCTACATAGAGATGATATCTTAAGGTTGGATAATCACTTTTGCTTAATGCAAATAACAGTTTAGTCTATTATCCACGTTGCCCCACAACAATTTAGTGCTGTCTCTACATTGTAAGAGTTCCAAGATGTTAGGAGTTCCTTTATAGTCCCCTACTTTGAACAAAATTTGAAGGCGTTAAGGGTCTGAGACAGTCATTGCCTTCTAAATTTTTCTATTAAAACGGTTGCCTATTTGACACCTAAACTAACGCCTATAATTTCCACTTCGGATATAGATTTGTAGTCACTCGAAATTTAAAGCTACCTTGTAGGCGTGGTCGTGCAATAATCCTGCTCCTGTGTCTGCCTTCAGACTCATCATGGTCCGCCTTCCGTCCATTCTTCCCTACTAGGAAAGGAGTCAGTTGTTCTATCTGGCAGAAGGTTTTCGTTTCTCGTTCGCCTAATTGGCTTAATGTCAATGATGACATCTATGGCCTTTGTTGAGGAAGTACCTAACACGCTTGCACTACCAAGTAGACAGGTACGTTGTGCCTGTTCTAAGGGTTTAATGAGGCGCTTTTATATTATAAATGGCCTCTCTTGGTAATCTATGCTCTCTTCCACCTTTCTCAATTGAGAGGCCTTCTGAGTTTGATTCCGCGGATATACGAAGACACATACTGATTAGTCTGGCTTGACGAAATTCCCTGAGAATGACTTCAGTGTCTTTCCCATTTCGAAATATGTGATAATTAAAGACCGTCAAATTCCACCGAACAGTCACTACCTCTGCTGCCCGCTTTATCCCGGCTGGATGCGTTCCGAATATCCGTGGAAACTTGCCAGCCGAAGTGGCAGTCTCAGCATAAAGACGTGACCGTTTACGATGACCTGATAACGAATATCCCTATATCAGGAAAATCCATGGTCGTGCCTAGTGAACATCTTATTCGGTGAGGAAGAAGCGCGCATACTACTTTACTCTACCATTAACACTGCATTTTGCAGTGTAGAACGACCAATGTGATGTCATCTACTCGAAATATCAAAAATCACCGTAGTGCTTGATTTCAATAGAGAAGAAATTGAAGAAGTTAATGACAACATTTGAACGCTCCGCGATAGCAATCAGGAAAGCCTGCCAGCTAAAGATAGTCATATCGAGTTATCTTTCGTCTCCTTAGGCCTTACTGGTTCTATTTCTTATCCACCACCTGAGTCCAAACAGTTCATAGTCTAAGCGGGGATCAAGTCTGCATGCTAACTGTCTTGGTACACTGAACTTAGTGAAAACTTTCGACGTTGACGATCATGAACAGTAATACCTCCTCATTACCGCAGCGGATCTGAGCGGTCGATACGTATCGATAGTATTTCGAGGTTATTCCAAACGGAGGAAAGTCAAAAAGCAGTTTCTGTAGGGTGGTGTCCTCTCCCCGTTTTCTTTTATTATCTATATTTTGAAGTTCTCTCCACCATGATTCTATGATCTCTTATGCCGTTGACTGCTGCCGTGGTATCAGACCAGGACATTGATAACTTTTATTCTAAGGTAAGCTGCTCTGGTCTTACAACAAGTGAAATTCAGTTTTGTTCGAATGAGTTGATGATATCAAAAATCTGGTTGTCAACAACCCGAAGATATTGGAAGTGGTATTCGACAGCCTGTACTTCTTTAATCTGCGCACAACTGTTATTTTGTTACCAAAGTACAGAGCCGTACCAAAACCCTCAAATCGATAAAAAAAAGAGGTATAGTTCGGCTGCCCCGCATCGCCGCGAATTAGCGAGACGCAGATGAAGAAGTCCCAATCCTTTAAGAATATCGCCTTGAACACGATAACCGGAAACGACCTGTTGTCACTGCAGGGATAATCTTTGCAGACACCCGCTTAAAGCCCCAAGTACATCAGAAAGGTCATTGTTGGCCTTACGTACTCCGCTCAGCATTATAGCACAGAACCGCTGAAAGCGCTACCGACTGGTCTTATACGCCGTTAGCAGAAAGAGTTTGTCACCCTTCACGTGTCTTCATATGCATGGCGCTTCATCAAAGATACCTCGAAAGTCCCGAGTAATGCTGAGATAACTAAGGTCTGACTAAGGTCATCCTTATCAGACTCCGCCCAACACACTCAACGTATGTCCTGTATGCAATAGCTCTGTTCGATGAGAAATGGGTTTATTTTTAAAGTCAATTAATGATCGCTTTGTCATGTCCGTCAGTGCACTGACCTTAACAGACATTAAAAATGCCAAACCATAAAACCACAGCTATAACCATAGTCAGTGTGGCTTTTGACTTGGAATATCAACCATTTACCATGAGCTGGATTTTAAAGTAGCCTTCTTCAGCACGAAAAGGAGGTGCCTCTACGCCCCAATGTCTGAATTGGTATCCCCACAAAACTTATACGGCTGTGTAAACTGATGTTAAGGAACATCAAAAGCATCGTCAGGATGGGGATGAACTCTGAACTGCCGAACTGAACAGAGAAGGTACAATCTTCTGTAAGAGTGCATAGCTGCTGGCGTGCGCCATTATTGACCTCAACAACCACGCCGTAAGTTTTGCTTACTCCAGACTGGATATGGTAGCGAAGGATATGGGTTTGGTAGTGAACGAGGACAAGACGAAATATCTCCTTCCATCAAAGAAACAGTCATCGCATTCGCGACTTGGCTCCACGCCATTGTTGAAAGTTATAACATTGACGTCGTAGATAATTCAGCAACAACAAAGATAGCCTTGAAATCCAACGCAAAATCACTCTCGCCAACAGGTGCTACTTTGGACTGAGTAGGCAATTGAAAACTGGCGTCCTTTCTCGACGAGCCAAAACCAAACTCTAAAGTCGTTCATCGTATGGTCATATGGTACAGAAGCGAGATCGTTGTATGTGACATCTCATGAGTCGGCTTTGGGAGTCTTAGAGAACAAAGTTTTGCGAAAGCTTTATGGTTCTTTGTCTGTTGGCAACGGCTAATATAGCGGACAATGGGACGATGAGCTGTGCGTGTTATACGGCAGCTAGGTCAAGTCGCCCGAATGCGTGAATCCACTTCAGCTTTGAAAATATTCGATGTAGTACTCAGTGGCAGTAGCAGAAGAAGGAGAAGACCTCTCTCCACTCCGCTGAAAAGGCCAAGTAGATAATGACTTGGTTGTAATTGGTATTTAAAATTACAGTAAAGTAAGTAAATAACTGCCGTGAAAAATCGAGGAAACGGAGGAAAAGGAGAAAAAGGAGGTATAACGAAGCTGCCCTTCTTTCCATCCGGTGAAGTGAAAAGAAAGGTTAAAATTTTTTAGAAGTCTGCTTAGTCCTTCACTGTACCTAGATCTTGTTTGACGGAAATACTTTTTTTTTACAAAGGAAAGAGGTTATTGACATTCTCATATTTTTCAGGTATAAAACCTCTGGAAATCATTACTGCATAATTAATCAAGAAGCCGTTGGAGCCATAGCATGAAAGTCTACATCGCCAATATCGAGGTTCAATTGTCGGGGTTTCGGTTCCCTGTCTTTATGTACATTAATTACAATATCGTCGACTGTTTGTTGTGGTCATCTATTAAGGCATCTTCCATATTCTTTGACTCTTATTCATGAACAGAAGGGCAGACCGCTACTATGCCATATGGCCAGGGCGCTTCTGAGAATTTTGTTCGTTGCTCACGTTTTTTTTCGATTGAGCACGAGGCTATTCGTCATGTGACGTCTTACACCCACTTTTTCCCATGCAATGCGGAAAGCGTTGCAGACGCACAGGTCTTCGGCTGGCTAAACATTAAAAATCACTTCTATTATCGGTGTTAACAGAAAAGCCAGGGATCTAATTTTCGGCAGCACCTGATCGAAGATCTCTCCTCTTTTGTTTGTTATTTTTGTTATTATATTCATCTACACATAACACGAAAACAATATGCGTATTCATTTACCTTCATGACAAACAATCTGGCAGAAAGGATGAAAGGAAGAAATTTTTGTGAAACAGTGATTTTGTCCTAAGGACACTGTTATCCATATATACAATAAAAACAATAGTAATTACACTTATATATGTAACTATGTATGTATATAAAAGAACATACGGAAGTTGTTTGTGAAAACAGCTAAGCAAAGCAAGTAAGGAAGAACTAAGTTCGACTGGAATTGAAATTTTTACGCACTAAGTTAAAGGTCGCCGGGAGCATGCCTCTGAGTTGCGTATTTAAGGTCTCTGGCATTAATCACACTCCAGCCTTTTTGGGCCAGTGAAAAGGGTCTCTCTCATATTTCTTGTTGATTAAAGTATTTCGGGTATGCGACACACAAAATTATGAGAACTTGACAAAGGCGAATTCGCGTGGTGAAAACTTGTGAGAAAGGTTATTGAGCTACCACTTCAACGGCTGGGCAATGACGGAGTTAGTACTTCATAGACTCGTTCTATTCTATGTACAGACAGCCTATCTTTCTTCCGTGCTACAGCAATGTTTCTGGAAAAATGGTTTAGAGAGCGAATAGGGATTTTTTTCTTTGCTCCCAAGAACAAAAAGAGGTTAACTCCGGTACGTAGTAAAAAATAATCGCTTAGCAGAGACGATAATTCGAACAACCATTAATCGGTGACGTACTAACATCCAAAACAGGTTCTAGAAAAGGAATTTAAATAAAAAATTTAGCTAAATTTTCTAATTGCGGTCACTCCTCGGCAGGGAATGTCAACTCCTCTGCGCGTATTTTTGACATGAAATAAAGATCCTTATAAAAAAACCAACAGCCGTTCGGAGGCCTTGGTATAAACTGTAGGTCCCTCGTTGTTTTGGGAAAACATCAAGACTCATCAATACCAATTGGGGGAGGAGTCCGGCCGAAAATCGCTTCAGCGGTTACAAAGCACCAATTATATGGATCGGTTTTGCGTCACATTTCCTCTAGTGGATAATTCGTACCCTCAGAAATGTCGTACAGTGCGTACTGAAAATTTCGCTACTGCTGTGGAGAAGATTTCGGAAGAAGATCCGAATGAGTCCATTGCAATTGGAGTTGTGCCCATCCACTTTATGGAAGATTTTGTGGAAGAATCTTTTGCTTAAAAAATCCCGCTCGTGTAAGAATTAAACCCGAACGACCGTCACCACGTCCGGTAAATGGGCCAAAAACGAGAAGATCAACGAACCCGATTTTCAAAAGAAAACTTTCCTCAGTGGTGAAGCTCACTTTTGGTTAAATAGGTGCATTAATAAACAACCCATTGTTGAGACTTCGTTATAACCTCAAAAGAATCATTGTTTGGTGTGTTCTATGGGCAGAGAAAATCATTGATCCATATTTCTTCAAACAATGAAGTCGGCCCTAACGATACAGTCAATGTGGGCCATTGTAGCTGTTGTAGTGGCTTAAGCGAGTTTTGGCCGAGCTCCTCCACCAATTTGTGGTTTGGCGTCTTAAGGTTTATACTAAGCTGTCTCCGAACGGTTGATGGTTTTTGTACGAAGCGCCTTTTTTCATGTCCGAAATACGCTCGGAGGAGTTGACATTCCCTGCCGAGGGGCGACCGCAATTAGAAAGTTTAACTAAATCTTTTTGAAGGAAACTTTTGCTGAGCCCATTATTTCGCGTCGCCGGCTTGTGGCTTGGCGAAGATCCTGCGATTTAACACCGCTGTACTATTTTTTTGCCCGGGTATCTGAAGTCGTTTATCTATACAGATAAGACCGAGACGATTGATGCCTTGCAAGAGAATATTTGAGTATTATTGTCGATATACGGCGCCCATTGTTACAAAAAGTGGTAAAAAATGGGGTATTCGGCTGGAATTGTCTGCAATGATTTTTAAAAAATTATAGCAAACTCTTATCTTTATAATAAGTCTAAATTCTTGGTCATAAAATTAAATTATTTGCGTTTTATTTCATCTTGAAAACCACATGATGGACATAAAACAATGCCAAATCAACTCACCCCAAGGCTCAGGACTATATTTTGTTCTATTAGGGACACCTCTTAGGTGAACAAAGTGAATAGACCGTACGTATGTATGTATTGTAGGTAAAAACATTCTCAAAAATACATACTACACTACATACTTACATACATACATATGTATATACATACATAAATGCATAACCAACGCCAAACGAAAACGCAAATAACAGACGTGCTTAGCCCAAGTGCGAATAGATTACATCCAACGGTTTATGTTTTGTACACAAAACTGTGCACATATGTACATATATTTATATATACAAAAATATATATAACTATGTATTTAACAAATGAGAAATTAGAGAATACGCGCATTGAACCTGAAAATACTGAGTTTATAATGCCAAAACCTCTGAAGCGGGCCAACATACAATACATACATACAAATCTGTGTACCTGCTGACTTACTGAGCGCACAACAAATACATATGTAGCAAACTATCTCTACACACGTAAACACAGGCATACACGTGCATACAATTGAAGCACAGTCCCCGGTCAGGAGCGTAAGGCAAACCTTCCGAGAAAGCGTAAGCATTTGTAACAGGATCGTGTTGAGATTTGTTCGCCGCTCAGTCAGCAAAACACAAGCAGAACAAATACAACAATATCAATTTTTGTGGGAGAGGCGTTGACACTGAGGTTCTACTAACATCGTATTGTATGGCATTAAACCTGATTTTTAACACGAGCCTGGCTATTTTGCGTGCCTAGAACGCTGCTGTACAGGTCGCGCGATGGTAAACACCAACCAGTGGCCAGCAGTATTCGATCAGCGTTGGATTCAAACACGTCTTGTAGGTGAAACAGTGCGGTTCGTTTGCACACAACGCGGAGTCGGAGTATTTATCAATAATATTTGAGTTTGGCGCATTTTATATACACACATATAAGTACATATCTATATGTATTTATTCGCCTCGTTAGGCTAAGTTTTAAATACTGATCTCTAGACTTTGATTATTAGTAGCTGTTAACAGTCAGTTCAGTGTGTCTCAGTGTTCTTGATAAAATCGTGAAAAATATTAGACGCCCGGCTATAGAATCGAAGATTATTAGCGCAGCAGCCCGATGCATACGACAATGAGTAGTGGCGTCAGTAGCGCGAGTGAGACACCACCCGTCGCGGATGTGGACACCAGTTTTAAATTCGCCAATAAAACATTGCAAGACTATGAAGTTATCTCGGTAATTGGCAACGGCACCTTCGGTACGTGCTTTAAGGTGCGTGACAAGCAGACTGGTGAGCTTTACGCATGGAAGGGTATCGACTATGATGAATTCGGTGAATCTAAGAAGGCTTCGCTGATTTCCGAGATACGTGTATTGCGTCAATTACAACATCCCAATATTGTACAGTACTATCATCATTTGGTCAATCATGAAGCCAAGTCAATTTACATCGTAATGGAGTGCTGTGAAGGTGGCGATTTGGCGCTGTTAATAAAGCGTGCGCGTAACGAGCACCAACGATTCGAGGAGCGTTATATATGGCGCGTGCTCTTTCAGGTGTGCAAGGCTTTGCAGGTGTGCCATAACAATATTAAGAAGGGCACTATCTTGCATCGCGATATCAAACCGGCAAATATATTTCTCGATACGCACGGCAATGCCAAGCTGGGGGATTTCGGTTTGGCGCGTATACTGCGTAAAAATCAAGATTTCACGGCGACTTTCGTCGGCACACCGTATTATATGAGTCCGGAAATTGTTAAGGGCTCGCAATATGATCGCAAATCAGATGTATGGGCGGTAGGCTGCTTGACATACGAAATGTGCGCTTTGCGTACGCCCTTTCAGGCTGCGAAGTTTGAGGAGCTCACTTTGAATATCTCCAATGGCAAATTCAATCACATACCGGCTGTGTACAGCGACGATCTGCAGAAGACTATTGCACTTATGTTGTCAGTGGATAGCGAAGAGCGTCCCAGTATTGAGGTGATAGTGCGTCATCCGACTGTTGTGCGCAACATTATTGAATTAGGCAATGATTTCCCAAAGCTCGTGGAAGCCGAGTTGGACTTTTTTGATGATGACGAAAAATCCACTAGTAGCAGGCTGGAATGTAGTCCTGTTGTGCGCCTGGATTTCACCAGCACCATGTATACGGAATATAATAGCTTCAATGAGGAGTATGGACAACGACGCTGGAGTGACTGCTTTACGCCCGACTTACGCACAGAACTATTCTACACCGAAGGACCGCATAAACAACAGAAAACTATGCTTAAGGGCTCAGATCCGGGTCTTTACGAGAGTATAAAATACGATGATAGCATGTATGCAAAACGAGAGTTACCAATGAGACCACCATTACCACCACCGAAACCGTCTTCACTTAAGCGCTCGACATCCGATACATCGCTGTGTGAGCCCAAGAGTCCCCACCTGATATCGGATGATGTCTTCAATGAGGCATTGCAAGAACGTCTAAAAGCTATACGTGCACTCGAATCATTGCTGCAGCATAAAGAGAAGAGTTTGAATGAGCGCGCGTATGAACTGAATATAAGAGAAAAACGTTTACAAGATTTGGAAGATGCGTTTTATGAACGTGAAATGTTATTGACGGTTAAAGAAAAAACTTTTGCCGCAGAGTCACTGAAGGCAGCGCAAGAAAAAGCGCAGATTGCCGTCGAGAGCCGCGTTGTTGTCTCACGCTCGCCTAGTCCACCACCCATCCCGCCACGTAGATCCAGCGCTAATAAAGAAGACGACACCTATTGCTGCATAGAGGATACCCAGCTGGAGTCACCCACGATTGCAAAACTCACTTTACCCTTCGCCAAGCGACGTGTTACCTTCAAATCACCGCAAAAGCTGACAACCTACGAAATTGAAAATATTCCCAACGCAGCTGTGTCAGCTCAGAGAATAGAAGTGTCCAGCGTAAAGGCTAAGCAACAACATAAGCAACTTCAAAGCAGTACTACCAGCCAAGATAGACGCGCGTCTATGTCAAGTGGAAAACTCAGCAACACTACAACATTGACAACAACCAAACCAATCAAATCAACGGAAACAACTGACCAACGACAACGTCGTTCAATATTTTCCTCAATTTTCAGTCGTAACAGCAAAGGCGCTACATCAAAATCAGGCGGCGTCAGCAGCCAAACTAAAAACAAGCAAACCAATAATAAATCAACACAAATGAAAGACACCAACATTCAACCATCATCACCTCCAAGCTCACCCACAACCGCAAAGAGACTCACGTCCAGCGTGGTACCGGCAAAAACGGTCGTTGTGGTTGAAACCGATAAACCAGATCCGAGTAGTGTTTGGACTAAAGAATATAAACGCGCGGCATTTGGTCTTTTGGCCGTTATGAATGCGGGCGGAACGAAATCGAAAATGGATGCCATTTCAACATCGATTCCAAACAGCGAAGCTCTTAACGGCCGCTCAAAACTCAGACAGTCTGCACGTGAACGTCGCAGCTCCACTTTGTGTCGCCAAAACAAGATGCGTCGCTCGTTAACATTGCCGTCAACACAAAGCGCAGCCAACATCGATGAGGATGCAAGTACGAGTTTAGCTATCAGTGTTGGTAGAAGCAATCATAATCGAGGCAAAATGCTGATTTAAAAGAGGAGAGGAGAGGAGGAGGAGAGGAGAAGTAGGTTAAGTGGCGTGAAATACATACATATACTATATACATATAGGTATATATATATATATGTTTATTTATGTATGCTATAAAATAATTGATTCGTTAAATGTAGAACTAAGAAATAACCGATCCACTAATTATAATAAATGTTAAGCTTACAAGTTCCTAATTTTAGTTTATAAAGTAATTCCAAAGTACTGTAATCACTCCTTGACGAGCAACTTTCTTGTGCCATTTCTTATATTTTCATATTTATTTATGACGAAAGAGAAAGCATTTTAACTTAAGGTTACATACATAATTATAAAAAACAAAGATTTCTGTATTTGTGATGTGAAATAGTTTCTTATTGTCTTGAAGATTCTTAGAGAAAGGCATATGTATTTGTGTGTGTATGTTTATATAATTTATGTCGGAAATTTGCATTATTTTAAAAATAATAATTTATTTGTACCTATACATACATACATGTATATTTAGTTTTGTACCTATAAAAATGGTAGTAAATATTGAAAACACGGCAATATAAAAATAAATAAAATATGATAATAACAGCAAATATTTTGTTTTGAACCTATTTTTAATTGTTCAAAAAAGGTAGATGCAAATTCTAAATTCTCTTTGAAGTCATTAAAAAGTCTTCTCACTTAGTTTTCTTTTTTCTCAATTTTATATATTTATCTTCTACGAGGGCGCCCTAGTAAGAACGTATTTCTGCACAAGTATTGTGGGGAAAAACAAATTTTCAAAGCATAAGAGCCCAGTGCTGCGTGCAAGTCGAATTCATAAAAGTGGCAGCCGGAGAACAATTACAACAATTAAAGGCCTATTCTCACTGTTACCGGTAAAGTAAATTTTGTTACTTTTTTTTAAGACCCGAAATTGAATTTAGTATTCTGTCGAACTGGTTACATTGTTTGAAAAAACTTTGGCAGCACTGCTTTTTCCGTCCTTGTCCAATTACATTTGCCAGTTGGTGAAGTAAAAAGAAAAATATTCACATCGAAATGGCAGACGGTGCACAACAAATGAAAAAAATTTAATTTATTTGTGTATTAAATCATAAATATTTGAAACTAATTTGGGAAAATATGACTAAACGACAAGAAAAAGCTGAATGAAAACGTTATCATACAAATTAAAGGGCTATTATTTAGTTTCGGAAACTTCTTAAAATACGACTTTTTGCACTTTTTTCCTTCATCTTGAATGAATTCCAGGCCCAAACCCAATTTTGGTTTTTTATTTTTTCTCAAATTTACAACACAAAATAAAACAGCAGAATTTTTCAGTTACCTCCTATTTCGCTGGTAACAAAAATTACAGGGTGACAGTGAACTCAGAATACGAAATAGTAACAAAATTCACTGAATGGTAAAATTTAATATCAAATTAAATTTTGTTACCTCGACAGAATATACCTGATTATGGTTATTTTGTTTTTACTTTAGCGGATCGGCTGTCAAAATTACAGAAAATTAATTGGCTCCAAAAAAGAACAAAGTCGCGGTTTGAAATTCTTTTTCGCACACACCACAATCACAAAATCATCATCCCCAAGATTTTCACACTTACAAATAGAAAATCAAATGAAATTCTAGCAAACATTCGCCATTAGTAACTCGTAGAGGACCATAAATCTTACGAAAATCCATTCTCTCGAAAACTTACTCCTGCCTCATGAAATGTCGAGACATCGTCCACGCTTCTGCACGATATATTGATTTATAATTCGTCGAGACTGCTTACACAATCCAAAGTAGCAACTGTTGGCAATACTGATTCTGACATTGTTGTTGGTGTTAATACTAACTCCAAGGCAGAATAAATTAACTAAGACTTCAAAGTTAGGACTAAATATCAGCAGTGAATTGAGTGTCGAGTTGCAAATGCTATGACGGTTCGTTTGATCACAGGAGATATTTCGTCTCGCGTGGACAGCGACCACTATCAACACGCTTCGCTTTCTTATCAAGTGCGGGGAGAGCAAAACTCACGGCGCTGTTTTTGAGAAGAGTGCACCATTTCTATTCAGCTCTGTAGCTCGATTTATTTCCTCCAGCTATAAATTAAAGAAGTCACACGAGAAGAAATCACCTTGTCTAAAACGTCGTTTGATAAGGAACGGCTTGGAGAGGTCCGTCGCGATCTCTTTTGGTGTTACTTTACGACAGTTTACACAGCTGTATAACTGTACACCGACTTAAGACATATTAGCGTAGAAGCAACTCTTGATTTAAAATTGACAAAGGGTTGTCGATCCTATTGTCATGGGTCTTTGCCAAGCTTCTAAAGTCAAACTGATAAGATTCAATCCAATTCATGACCACCGTCAACAATCTTTCACACAATACACGATAAGACCAGATATTCGACATTACAGAGATTTATTGTACGATAACTGTAGCAGACTGTGGGATCGTCCTTCTTGTAGACTTGACGCAGAGCACACTTGTACACTTTGTAACGAACCTGAGTTCTTCACCGCTATATTTGTATAGCTCGGCCAGCGATTTTTGAAGCGGCGATTGCTGTGGCTAACATTTCGTACTGCCTTTCGGAAGACCAGGACTTGACACCTGGTCCGGCCAATAACCAAAAGTTATAGAAAATTAATTTAAATATAAAATTAGGTTAAACTTTCCAATTGCGGTCGGTCTTGGCAGGGAATGTCAACCGCTAGGAGCGTATTTCTGACATTAAATAAGACGACCGCCGCAAATTGGAGGAGGAGCTCGGCCGAAAAATCGCTGCAGAGGCTACAATTACATACATATATGTATATACTTATCATTTTTCAGGCCCTCCAGAACCAATGGCTACAAAAATAAGTAGATTTTTTTAAGGCAAGAACATGAAATCGGCTCTCTAAATACATATATAGCTCCACTACGACTGTTTATTCTGATATTAGAATAAGAGAATTTAAGTGAATTCATAAATAAATAAGCAAAATTTATTATATAGTCCATAAGAGGTAGGTTCGTCTTAAACCTTCGACTCGTCATAGACTGTTCCTAATCTAGATCAATACTCTGCTGACCCAGGCTATTTACCGGAGACGTGCTAAAATTGCTTAAACTTCACAAAAAGTATTTCAAAGAGAGCAAACAATCGAATTGTCTTACGTTTCTATGTATGTATATTCTCCATCCTCCATCCATTATAAGCAACTCTTTGCTATTTTCCTTCTCTGTTATTGTTTTTGCACTTTTTGGCTTCGCTGAAACTCAACGCACGTTCCAACCGAAGGGAAGCATACGTTACTTGCCGTAGAGGACGAGGATTGTTAGCAAAACCTGCAATGTCCATATATACAAATGTGGGCTCATATACACATACATATGTGGGTATGTACGTCCGCAATTACTTGCATATAAACAAGTTTTTTCTTTTGTTTTTACCGGCATAAACGGCTAGTTAACCGGCTGTGGGTCATAAATCAGCAAGCATTTGTGGCATCTCGAGACCAAAAATTATGTAAAACTCAGCATGTTGCTTGCAGTTGTATGTATGTGTATATGAATAGTAGTAGCAGCATACAGCTTCATTATATGTACGTGTGTAGATACAATAGATATTTCTGACTGTATTTTCCAAAGTGGTTTCGTGGAGAGTCAAGAGCATCGAAGAATCTTTGATTACTCTTAAGAGATGCGCCGTTATGGTAGATTGTTATGGTATTATGGGATGTGGATGAAGATACCTACACACACATTTATGTATGTTTGTATTTCAACAGTGTTGATTGGTGTTTATTTACATTTTCAATTCTTTATGTCTTTGACCACAAATAAGTAATTGGTTTGTAGCCCGGGTTAAATTTATGAAGTAAACGCATACACACACATACATACACACATATGTATGTATGTATGAGTAAATAAAAATAATTTGGAGAAACTTACCTTCGAGCAGGTAATAGGTTCTCTTTGCTTACTTTTCCACCCAACGTCATTATTTATTCTTATTTTCTTCACTGGTTAGCAATGCACTTGAGCAAACAAGTCTTGGAATGCAATAGAGAATGCAAATAATCACTGGTCACGATTTGTGATGAAAATCATTAGTTTAATGGTCTTTAAAAAATGTTGTTGTTGTTGTAACCGCAAAAATATTCCCAAAAGTACTTTTTGGGGAATGTTGCGGGAGTGACAGTCCTTGGCCGGATAAAAATCCGGGTGGTTCTGGTATAAAGACCCGACTGTCGCGGAAACTATTGGACTTTAGTCGCCGCTTTCGACAGACATGCCTTACCGCGGGTAAATTCTTGAACCCCTAACCCGCAGGGGTTAGGCATTGGCATTGGTCTCTAAAATCTAAATGAAGGTGGCTAAATTTGTAGTTGTTGTAAGCGCTACCTATTCAGCTATACAGTTTAGAAGAGTGTAAGTGAGGGCTGGAAGATGGCAGTTTGTCTGTTCCATATTCATGTGGTGTTCATATGGTTCAAGCATACTCATGACATTCCGGCATGACCTATGACGTAATTGTAGGTTTGGAAATTACAAGAAGATAGGTATTTGAGACATCTGCCACAGCGACCACATAAAGGAGTAAAAATTGTATGCTGAATTACAATCGGAGGGAGACTCAGTCAATGAGTACTCTCATTTATTCATAATGTCACCTGCTGACCTAAACGGGGTTAGGTCGCCGAAAGGGTGACAGCCTTTGGCCGGATAAAATGCGGGTCAACTCTTGTCCGTAGAAACGGCTGTCTTGAGAGTTGTTTCACTGATCTCATACGCCAAAGTTGGCTCTATATTGGCAACTGGCTAGGGTACTTTCCTAATTCTTCAATGCAGGATATTAACGATTATATAATTGACGCTTTGTAACCGTTGAAGTGATTTTCGGCCGGGCTCCTCCCCAAATTCCTTGTTTTGCGTCTTGATGTTTATCCAACAAAATGGAGGGCTAACAGTTTATACTAAGTCGCCGCCGAACGGCTGGCGGTTTTCAATGAAAAGCTTTTATTTCATATCAGAAATTTTTTGGATGTTAGTACGACATCACTGCCTTCCGAATGGTAGTGCATCAACTCCGCTACCCTCTTTACTAGCTGGACGAAAAAGTACCGGCTCGAACTGGATATAAAAGTTGATGGCGTAAAAATTTCAACTATAACCAAATCGAAGTTATTGGAATTCGACATTCGACATTTTGCATTTCTTCACTGCGCATACGACTAAAATTGCCAGAAAACTCCAGAGCAGCAAAATACTCAAAGCGATAATCGGCAGTACCGTGTAGGGAAAAGACTAAAAAACTTTGCCGCCAACTGACAAGGTAATTGGCCGGACGATCGTAAACTAGCTGCTCCAATCTGGGCACGTGAGCCTTGCGAGATGCACATGAACAAGCTAAAAAACTGCCAAAACACTGCCCTCAGGACCGTGACAGGAAACCTTCTTTCTGATGTCGCCAGAGCATTACTTGCACAGCGAAGCATCTCGTTCCCGGAGTCGAACCACAACCAGAAGAGCTGGAGCTGTCTCAAGAGCACCGCATAATACTGGCGCAACTTGGATCTGGATGTTGTAATAGACTGAACTTTTACCTGTTGAGACTTGACCCAGACATAATGGACGTATGTCTTGGATGCAATGGGTCTCCTCACAACACTACCCACCTCGTTGCCCATTACACCAACTCATCTAACTCCCCTTTTCCTCTGGTTCGAACTTGCCAAAACAGCTAATTTCCTGGGCCTCTCGTTGGATGACCTCCATGATTTAGAATACCTATCCTGTTTCTAAGCTGGGTTGGCGAATCTCCACAGCAACAACAACATCTCCTAATCAGTGAATTTAATTCGAAGTTTTCATATATGATAAACCGACGGAAGCGGAATAAGTAGGAGGAATTACTAAGGTCCTCCAGCCTCTTTCCTTTCACAACTAACCTTTGGGCCATCGTCAATTCACGATACGCGATAACCGGTTGTAGTTGTTGTTGTTGTAGCGGTTCGCTAACCCCGCTTAGGCACAGTTTTGATCAGTACAAGTCGCCGAGGTCAACTAATGGTAGGTCCTGAAAAGCTGTTTCGACGGGGTTGGACCAGAGGGAGGGGGGGGGGAGGGTTAGATGAGTTGGTTTGAGAGGGCATGTGCAGAGGGGGTTAGTGTCGTGCGGAGACTCTCCACATGCAGGGCAGAGTTCAACCTGCTACAATATCCAGACCTTAGTTGTGTCAGGGTAACGCGGGTCTCTCGAGGCAGCTCGAGATCGTTGTCTGCTATAGGTGGTGGTTTTTCTCCAACTACGCCATTCACTGGAAGGGAGTCCTTGAAGGTGTTGACTGACCCCTGGTGTTGTATATGTTGCTGGATTGTATCCTTTAAGTCTAGTACTCCCTTTCTGAAGTGTCTAGGTGAAGGTTCAGCTTCTATTAGGTGCCTACTGGGGTGCTCCCTGCGGTAACATCCCAATAGGAACTGCTTGCACAGCAAAGCATTATGCTCCTTAACTCGTAACATAGATGCTTCCCTGTGCAAGTGATGCTCCGGCGACATCAGGAGGTTTCCTGTCGCGGTCCTGAGGGCGGTGTTCTGGCAAGCCTGTAGCTTCTTCATCTGCGTCTCGTTCGTCCCCGGCGCCCAGATCGGTGCAGCATAGTTTACGACCGGCCGACAAGAAAAGTTTCTTTGTCTTTACCCCAGGTGCTGCCGGCTAGCGCTTTGAGTATTTTGTTGTGGCTCTGGGAGTTTCGCGGCAATTGCGGTCGTATGCGGAGTACAGGCTGTGTAGGATTACTCCCAATATTTTTGGGTTATAACCGGTTGTATATTTCACTCGGTGACCGCACTTGCCATATCTGCTCCATCGTTAGTAAGGACATCATTCAGCTGGACGATCCATTAATCTTAAATCACTTTCATTAGCTTCTTCCAATTGTTTTACGACTTTTCGGAGCTTGGTTGTAAAGGATTAGGGATAACAGTTTTTCAATTGGTCAACCAATTCCCGAATCTCTGAGGTATATCAAGTTGTATTTCTGAAAAAGCATATCATCAAAACTACCAGAAGTCACAATTACCCTCAACAGTTGCTTGCCATCAAACAATCTTCCGCATATGCAAAAAAAAAATTGATATTCTACATTTTATTACCCGAAACCTTTCATACATTTCTACTCCTTAGTATAGACATTTTGTTTAAACCATTTGCGTATTTATTACAAACACAAGCGATATTATTTCACATTTTCAGAAGGGTACTTAAAGTAGACAATTTTTTACTTATAAAAGCAACGTATATCACTCCTTACCAAGAAGGAGGCTTACCCTCGGAACCAGCGGGCCGAGCATAAAGCGCACTTTTATCACGAAACAATGTCATGCGTTCGGTTTCCTTTTTATCTAAAAAGTGGCCAATTGCAAAACCAATGAAGGGCAATACAGCCCAAACATAACGTTTATCCAATCCAATCATGTTGTTATTGGTTGTATAGTCCCCGAGTGGTATATTAATCAGTTAACAATTCTTTATTCTTTGCCAATTGACGCTTCTCTTCTTTCCAAGCACGTGTATGTGTCCAATCAGCTAGGATCGTTGTTACTGTGAATGTGGGGAAGAATATAACCGCTCCGTACTTCCTTGCCAAGCGAGCTACAGTCATAACACCTGGAAGAAACGAAAATTTGTTAGCAAGGAAATCAAATTACGTAAGTGCGGCGATGGTATGTTGTGTGCTATTCAACTACGGTAAGTCATGAAATTAATAAACGTTTGGGACTATTATATTGCAATAGATATATTTTTAATAGAATTGTATTAAACCATAATATAATTTAACAAAATATTTCACAATTGCTTACACTTAATAATTTGCGACTTGCGCTACAGATATAATGGAAAACAGAAAAATAGAATGTCAATAAAATGGCATGCTGTCAAAATAATCAGCTGTTTTCTACAGTGATGGCAAGCACGTTAGTACACTGTGTATACTACAGGGTGATATAGATAATTTTAAATAACTAATTATTTAGGAAAGAGGCACTTCAAGGGCCATGACAATGTTCGGACTGCTTTGCAGCTATTATATCAGAATTTCACCAGATAAACGCCAGCAACAAGGGATTTGAGGTTTCTACATATACATATACATCGTTTGGAGAAAAAACTAATTTGTGACTTTAATACAAAAACTTTTCATCCTGACCATACTGGCTTCAATATCCCAATTAAAGGATTAATATTGATTTCCCCCAAATTTTTTTCATGATTTCAGATAGGCATATTTCTGATCTAAGAGACATTCTGAATATTTTTAAAGAAGCAAAGAAAACAAAATATTTTCATTCGTGTTTTATTTTACATATGTATGTATGTATATTTTTTTTAGTTTTTGTTCTTTGGTAATTTTGATTGCATTTTCTCATCTCAAATACATGACACATTGAATTGTTCTTAAATAAAAAATCGAGAAATTAAAATATTTCGCTATAAAGCACTAAACGTTCGGCTTTGAGGAAAAATATACTTCGGATCTATTTGCCTTTGCTCATGCGACTTAAAGCTCGTTTGCGCATAGTCATTAAATGTTTGAAGAAGAAGCCAGCTGTGTAGGGAGCACACGTTAAATACTTCATGAATTCATACGCTAACTGTAAACCTTCATGCGGCAAATAGGCTGTAGTTTGAATGTTGTAACCCAAAATTCTCAATGCCGATGCGACATAAGCATCGGGTGTTGGACTCATAAGGCTCGCCTTCTTAATCTTGCTCATATTAGTGGCCACGAAGCCAGGTTGAACGCACTGCACTGTAATACCGCTGCCACGATATTCCGTTTGTAAATCTTCACTAAATTTATCCACGAAAGCCTGTAAAATACCATAAAGAGAGGGGCGGAATACTTAAGTAAGCTTAAAATACAAATAAACGAAAAAATACAAAAATATAATACTTTACCTTCGAAGCGCTGTAGACCGTCAATAGAGGACTCGGTATACTCGCCGCAGAGGAAGAGATATTTATAATGACACCTTTCTTTCTATTCAGCATGGTAGGCAATACCAAGGCGCACATGTGTGTCACGGAATGTATGTTGACGGAAACTATATCAACCAGGAATTTCGGATTTTGTTGGTAACTATCCAGGAAGAATTCTGGATAGGGATATGACACACCGACATTGTTGACGAGCACACCAATATCGAGACCATCAATACCGGCTTTGATCTTGTTGTAAATTTCGACTCCGCCTGAGAAATCAACATCGATGATTTTGATTTGGACTTTATATTCGTTTTCTGTAATTTGCAAAGAAATATACATACAAAGAGAATTAATATCGCAATAAGTATATTTATAATTAAAAACTGTTACTTATTAACCGAGTCTGAACGTCATGCGAGCACTGTTTCGATTGCTCGGGAGCTAAATATTGCACAAAAAATAGTTTCGAGCCACACTTTGGAAAGGCCGGATATACAAAAAAGCTCGAAGCGTAGTGAGCCAACACAAATGGTCTCCGAGCCGGGATTGACGGCTGGCAAAAGTTTTTGGGGTGTTTGGTGGGATTGACAAGGAATCATCCAGAGTGATGAATGGCTAAATTTTTTTTATCGGCCCTGTACTCTGTCAATAATTGGACTGCCTGAAGAAAGCAATTGTCCAGAAGCGCCCAACTTTACCCAATAAGAGGAAAATTATGCTTCATCGGTTCAACGCCAGACCACACACATCGTTACTGGCGCATCAGAAGCTCTGTGAGATGGATTGGGAGGTTCTTATGCTATCACCTTATAATCCTCATCTCGCACCAAGTGATTGCCATCTGTTCCCGTCCATGACGAATGATTTGTCTGGTGAAGAATTGGTATCGAGATAAGGTTTCTTCAAAATCCCAAAAACTTATCGAGCAAAACGGAGCATATTTGACGAAAATCGGATAATTCTATCCATAGCTCTGTTCGGTGAGAAATATCAGTGAGAGCCGGTAAGGAAATGTGTGAAAATTGCACTGTCTTGGTTCAAATTTTACGGTTTTTTTGGTCTCAACGAACGGCTGGATGTGGTTCAATAGTAGTAACTGATAAGCACTTTAGAATACGAATTCCCAGCAGAGAAGAATGGACAGATAATTACAATACACCAAATGATAGCCTGAAAATATACACGAAGGGGTCTAGGCTTAAAGGGAGAGTAGGGGGAGGTATCTTCTCAGAAAACCCCCCGATAGAACTCTCGTTCAGGCTACCTGACCATTGCGGTGTTTTCCAGGCGGAGATATCTGCTATCATGGAGGCTACAAAGCAAATTGGAACCAGCTTTAAAGGTAAAGAATCTTCATTTTCAGCGATAGTGTCAAGCAGTAATAAAAGCACTGGGCTCGCTTACGTTAAACTCCAAATTAGTTCTAAGCTGTCGCCGATCTCTTCAAGAGATGGCCAAGCAGAACAGACCGTCTCTCATATGGGTCTTAGGTCACGTGGATGTCGAGGGAAACTGTAATGCAGATGAACTTGCTAGGCGGGGTACGACCACATAGATTCTTCCCTGTGAAGAACGCATTGGTATATGTTTTACTACATGCAAACTGTTTCTCAAGGAATTCATATATAAACAAGCCACTACAAGGTGGAATGAAATCACAACCTGCCGCAAAACCATGCACATAAAGGGATAAGGAGAGATCACGAGATCCTTAAGTTCAAAGTTATAGGAGTTCTGACAGGCCGTTGTCTGATAGGGCGCCACTGGGAACGACTAGGGCCTCCCTAAAGAAGATGCTGCAGAAGATGCAAGGAATATGAAGTGGAGGAAACGATGACCCATCTCTTATGTGGTTGTCCTGCATTGAGCAGGGAGAGGTTTCGTAATTTTGGGACCCTTCTGCTGAATGGTCTAGCTGAGGCCAATGTCATGAATGCAATGAGGTCCATTAGAGAATCAAAATGGATGGAGGATGAAGCCTGTTGGTTTAAGTGTTTGTGGTATCACAATGGCTCTGCTCAAGTCAAGCCTAAGCGAATCCGATTTGTTAGATCGGCAGCCACCGCAACCTTAATATTCTGTACTATATGTATGTAGGCTACTGCTCATCAGCAACAACTTCAGTTTGATGCAAAAAATAATGGACGACTTTTTACTTGACCTCATAAAATATATACGTAATACAATAGTTTTCTCAGTACGATAAGAGTTTTTTCATACCAATTTCCTTGGCAACAGTTTCCAATTTGCTCAGCGAACGACTGATCAATACCAAGCTGAATCCCTTTTGGGCGAGCTGAAATTGATAAAAATAGTTAGTTTTTTACTAAATTTAAAAATTTGATAAAATTTATTTGCATTAAATTCACACTTATATTGGAAATGGCTCACTTAATTCCAACAAAAAAAAAAACACTAAAAAGTTACTAATTAGTTGCTAATGCATACAGTAATCAAGTGGACTCTAGAAAAAATCAAAAATTAAATTTGCTTTGATAACTTTAAACTTTAGTGATCTTCAATGCCCTTTAAGTGCACTGCACATTTGCATATGCATGTACATATGTATGTATGTATGTATGTAGTGCAAGAGACTATTTTCTACACACTTTATGCGCCTTGTGGTTGGCTTGACTCGAACGCATTGCAGTTTTTCTATATTAGTTTGCATCGGTGTGTGTGTGTGCGTGTGTGTGTGTGTGTGTGTGTGTGTGTGTGTGTGTGTGTGTGTGTGTGTGTGTGTGTGTGTGTGTGTAGGTTTTGCGCTTGCGCCAAATGCATCATCTATCATCTGATTTTTGCAATTTTTGCACTGTCAGCGCATTTACGTAAAATTATTTGCGTCTTGTGTTAATATTTGCAAAAGAAACTGTCTATTTTGCTTACTTTAAGTATTTCTATTGAACTTTTTTTGTGAGTACACACATACACACATACGTGTATGTAAACAACACTCCACTTGACATTGAAAATGCATAATTGAATGATTTGCAAATCAATTGAAAAAATTTATATTTGTTTAGGTTGAAAAGAAAATTAAATATTACATTAACTAAAAAATAAGTAAAATCTTTAACCAAAAAAAAAAAAAAAATAGTATTATTTCTCAATTTAAAAAAAAAAAAAAATACGCCGGAGCTTCTAAATTCTGCGAAGCAAGTCCTCCGACAATTTTCTTAAGAGCATATTAGTTTAGGTTAGGTTGAATTGGTTGATCCGTCAGTTCGATAGACGATATTACGTCCATAGTGTTGCCAGACATACTAAATACATATGACCAAGCTGTGCATTCTATATTATATATGTCTGTGGTTTAAAGGACATTCCTGTTCGTTTCGCAAATGGAAGTAGTCGTTTTGACCACTTGGCCATTGTAGTTAAAAGTCCCATAGTCTTACTGCACCAAAGAAAGCAAATCATTTGTCTGACCCATGCTGGACATTTACAGATTACGTGCTCTACTGTCTTCACTCATTACTTACATTTCCTACGCTTGTTCCAAAACAGACCCAAATTAAAAGCATGCGACACCAAACAGTCCAACCAGCAGCCTGGTATCCGGCATTTTTACCGCTAGTAAAAACTTTGTAAGTTATAAGTTTTGTACATAGTTTTCTCGAGCCAGCAGCCCTTGGCTCGTTCCAAGAGTCTGTTTGCCTTACAAAGTAAGATTTATTCTTCCTTTTGCTACATTTCTTCTCCACAAACTGAACTGGCAAGTCGGCTCTTACGTACTGCAGTAAAAGGACTACTTAGGGCGGTCACTGGTTCTGGTCTTTTGTAGAAATTGGATAATAGCACATGATTGGATCGAGAACGGAGAGACCTCATGATTTTGAGATGGTATCCTCAAATTACCGAGAGAGAGAGAGAGAGAGATAGAGAGAAAAAAAGTAGTCACTGCCGACGAACAATACTTTGAGGGATGTATTTTTCCAATAAAAACCACTTTTTTGAACACAAAAACGGACCGAAATTATTCATACTCCCAGTAGGTTAACTCATTCGAGACGTTGATACACGTTTAATTGGCGGGTCCTCAATCCAGCGTGGGTTTAAACTTTACACATAGCAAGCCGTTTGCTTTAAGATAGACGCCCGTACAGAGCCGCACTTCTAGTGAACAGACGCTGTAATTAGACTTCAGCGCTCCCTTTAACCGAATATGTCGGATCGGCTGCTCTGACGCTTACTCTTTATTAGCCACAGTGTATATATAATTGGCACTTTGTAACCGCTGAAGCGATTTTCCGCCGAGCGGAATTGTGGTCTTGTGTCTTGATGTTTTCCCAACAAATGGAGGGACCTACATTTAAAGCTAAACCGCTTCCGAATAGCTGATGGTTTTCTTTAGAATGCCTTCACTCAGAGACTACTTTAGATAACAATGAAACGGTCCTCCATCTGGCGGTACAAGGGACCAACGGGTCCATGTAAGACGCATTAGCCGGTCTGCGCAACCTAGCCTAATCTTTCCTTATTATTTCTACCAAAAAAAAAATAAAATAAATAAATAAAAACAAAAAAAAAAATACTCAAATACATCGATACTCTCGAGTCTAGGCAAACGCACTGATATGGCGACAAAATAACCAGAACGACGCAAACATAACATTACCACCTCCGAGACGTGCGTGGAATTATAATTTGGGTCTGTAAGTTCAATGAATATTTCAATACTAAGCAACGAAAAATGAAAAGCAGAAATGCGAAGTAAGCACTCATTAATAGGAAATATCGCCGTTGACAATTGATGGGCGCGTCGAATTGGCAAAAAAAAAGAGTACTTTGAGTCGCACAGTGGACTTCGCTTATTTGCTTGTGCATTTGCATACACCGCAACTAAGTACAACTATTATGCATATGTACTATACATACATACATATACGAGTATGTGTATATGTAAATAGGTACATTAATACTTAAATCAACTGAGGGAAAGTATGTACTGTAATTTGTTAATTTAAATTTTCGACTGCATTCGCTCATATGACACACTTGCCAGCACCCAACCGAATTGCATTTAATAAATTTAATGGGAATTATTTTATATGCTTTCGTATGCAGTTGAAATCACGGCTAAATGCGTTTGAGGTTATGAAAATTATTTTCGAATTATTTTCACTGTTATTTATGTTAGATGTCCAGCGTACAAAGTTTACAACTTAACCACATCGGAATTAGGTTAAAAAGACTTCGAAAATTGCAGGAAATTTCGAATTTATTCGCGAATTTTTGGCATACCTTGAAATCAAAAGAGCAAAAAAAAAATAGATATATTTATCCCTTTCAATATATTCACTTTCATCATCCAAATTCGACAAAACTGCCTCCTTGACTTCATAATCGGTGATCTTTTACCCGTCAGCAATTTTCTCATTTATGGAAACAGTTAAAAATTACTCGGGGTCAAGACTGGGCTGTAGCGTGGATGATTCTAAATATCGAAGCCAACTTTATACAGCACGGCCAACGCCGCAACGTGACTCTTGTGCACAGCTGTTTTTACGGCGGTAGCAGATTCTCGGTACCCCTGAACGTATGCACTGACCTTAGTCATGCCAACGTGATCGTGGAGGATTTTAGAAATGCTTGTAGCGAATATTCCAATCATTTCTGCGAGTTGTTTTTATATTCTTTTATAATTTTTGGCGTGTCGATTGCTACTGCCAGGCCTCTGGTAGTCTTCCTTGCTTAAAAGAGTCGCCGTAAACCAGTGGCATCCAATTAATAATGGTTAGAACTGATTTTCCTTGCTTGATCTGGAACTTTATAAAGACTCGATAACCACATTTCACTTTTTGAATCTCAATAATGTTTCTTGGTTGAGGATAGTTCAAAGACTATTTGTTCAACGGCAATGGATCCTCGTATTTATATTAATTATGAGTCACTAAAAATATTACTATCCTAATGAGCGGACATAAAAATGCTCCCACGTACCAAAGACCGACCTATTCGAAAAAAATTATTATGGTTCGATTTATTTCAATTTGTTTTTTTTTTTCGATAAGTACTCGTATATCAATATGGCGACCGTGGTAGCCGAGTGGTTAGCATTGCGTACTGCCATTTGGAAGGCTCGGGTTGAAGTCCTGGTGTCGTACTATCATACAAAAAGTGGTAGAAAATTAAATTAAATAAAAAATTAAGCTAAGCTTTCTGATTGCGGTCGCCCCTCGGAATGCCAACCCCTCCGAGTGTGTTTCTGACACGAAATAAAGGCTCCTCGTAAAAAAACCATCAGCCTTTCGGAGGCGGACTTTGAGCACGGCAGAAGTAACTCTCTCATACAAATATTATAATTAATAGGTCATAATGCCACAGTCCATGGTGAGCTATAGAGCCATGAATCGCAGGATGTTGATATGGACGATCTTTGGCTCGTTCAGCCAACGAAATAATCGATTTATTGCAGAAAACTTTCGGTGAGCGCGTTATCTCGCGTCGTCTGATTCATCACCGTTGGACTATTTTCAGTGGGTTGTTTGACTACGCAGATAAGCCAAGTGGGAAGCTTAGGTAGAAAATATACCAGGTGTTATTGCTCATATACGGCCCCAATTACTGCAAAGAGTGACCGAAAATCGATCCACTCGGCTAGAATTTATTCCAGCCAGACGCGGTCACTTGTCCGCAATCATTTTCAAGACATAATAGCGGACCCCTATCTTTATCACAGCTGTAAAAAAAAACATTTAGGGTGGTCTCCGTTATGTGGGATTTGGTTAAGAAGCCAACAGCTAAACTTAAGTATACTATTTTTCTGATTCTGCATGGCTAATGATTAATATCACTCAACATACTCAGCGTGTTTTGAAATTATTTTGATATTGAATTGTTGTTGGATTATAAATATTTCTAGTAGGTACACCCAGTGACATCAATATACAATTTCTATTCCTTTCTTGTGTCGAAAGCTCTAGTTTAAATGTATAATAAGCATGACATACCGCTTTTGCATAAGCTTTTCCAATACCATCAGTTGATCCGGTGATCACTAGAGAAAGAGAACGAAGAAGAAGAGGAAGAAAACAGCTCATTAATAAAATATTGTATTGTGATTTTGATAAGGAATATACATTTGACAAACTAAGCTTATACAATATGCAGAATTTAAAAAGTGCAGGGTTATCCATTTTGTGGTTTCGATAAAAAAAAAACGTAAATAAAAAAAAAAACATTTAAAATAATTCATTTTCATGAAATTCCCTTTTTATTATTAAGTTTGAATCTTAAATTTGTGTTACACATTTAAATGACCTACTTGCGCATTTCCCCAAACTTCGATTCGCTTGAGGTAATTTTCGAAAACCCTTTTTGGCACACATTGGTTGGTATTTCCGCCCTTACCATGGCGAATTTACGTTTTCAAATGCCCAAAAGTCATTCGCATGAAAATGTTCTCTGACACGAAAAGCCCACGGTGTCAAATAATGCAATCTCTGTAGTCAATTGACTTCGCCAAGTCGAGAGATTACGTCGCACTAAAGCCATATTCGCTTGTTTTGTATGACACGAGGCACCATCTCCCTGAAACCATTGCAGCTAAAAAAAGTTGATTATCATACAACCCTAACACCTCGAATTGGCAGCGACAGTCGAGACTGTTGTCCTTTTCAAAGAAGTAAAATCCAAACACTACTCCGGACCAAAGGGCGCACCAGACAGTAAGTCTATTTTATGTGAGGATACTCGGAGCTCCAAAATGTGACAGTTTCGTCCATATACTTATCCTCCGAGTGTGAAATGTGCTTTGTCGCTGAAGAATTCTTTTTTTTCGAAAAATCGTCATCCACTGCTTGTTGTCCAAACACCCAAACGACGTATGCAAGGAGTTGTGAAAGGTCAGCTGGCTTCAGTTGTTGCGTAAGCTGGACTTTATATGGATTTAGATGTAAGTTCAGGTGCAAAATACACAATAATATACCGTAAGAAAGTCCCAGCTCTTGAGAAGTTCGAAAAAATATTCCCATGCTGGTCTTCGGCTACACTTTCACTTAATATATTTATAATTGGTGCTTTGTAAACGCTGAAACGATTTTCAGCCAAGCTCCTCCTGAAATTTGGAATATGTGTCATGATGTCTTTCCAACAAATGAGCGGACCAACAGTTTATGCTGTGCCGCCCCTGAACGGCTGAGAGTTTTTTATGAGAAGTTTTTTGATTTTCATGTCAGAAATACACTCGGAGAGCTTGACATATCCTGACGAGGAGCGAACGCAATGGATGTTGGTTCAAGCAGAACTCGAATCGTGGTCTTTAGACTGACAGTATGCAATGCTAACCACTCTGTTATAAACGAGCTGGAACGGGTAAAACGATGATGCATAGACCTTTAGCCGCACCAGTCTCTTTAAATTTTTTTTTTGAAGTTAAACCAATTCCTTCAGGAGTTGAACGCTCATGTACACCCAAATCTACTTTTAAAACACAAATCCACGTTTTTGAAGCACCATTTCTGTAACAGTATTAGCGCGTAGTGGGGTCCATTTTAAAAAATGCCCGACATTTAACATAAAAACAAAACATATTTAGTTTGACAGATGTCAAAATACGGTTCTGTAATTTTGAAAACACAAAATGGATAGCCCTATATTTTCCCATTTAACTTTTGGGAATGCATTTTTTTTTTTAATTTAGAAACTTTTAGGAATTTTTACAACAAACACAAAAATTTGTTTTTCCCAATTTCTGTTGTAGTTTTTTCTAACGACACTTATCAGCTTATCAAGCAGTTACGCTAAATATCAAACAATAAACACACATACATATATATGTACATGTATATGCATGTACGATTATGTGAAACTGACTAACCAGCCCAACCGCCTACGCGACGAATATCGAGCTTCGGTCCAAGTAGGAATGGTCCAAAAATATTTATATACGCCCAAGGCAGGAATTTGGCGAAGATTTTATAGCCCACAATTCCAAGGGCGATACTGCCAAATAATTGAAATGAAGTAACCATTTTGCGCTGAGGAGGCAGTTTTCTGTCTGTGCGCTGCGAGAAAATGCTCTTGTTTGCTGTTGACCTTTACAGAGGTTGTGCGTTGCGGTCAAACGATTTGTAAATTTTTGTTTTCGTTAAAAAATTTCTTTTATTTAAACTTTTCTTGAAATTTGTGAAAACGAGCACCAAAACACTTTTCAGACACTCCAAATTGTCGTGCGCTGCCGTTGGTGTGTAAGAACGTAATGCCGTGCGCGCGGAAAAAATCGATGGTAGGGAATGGCGGACAGCAAAATAAAGTACGTTTGTCACCTTTCTTACTAAATATGCGTATGTATGTGGGTAAATTATTTCTTTTATTTTGTTTTTGTTTTTATCTATATTCTTTAGCCGATATTTAATCAAAATTCAATGCGTACCACATGCGCTCTGCCGGCGCACTCAACGAATGTAAGCGTTTGTCGCTTTTGTTTAATTGAACTAAAATGCTGAAATTAACGTATTTGTTGCCAGCATATACATATATACATTTGTACATAAATACATGCATATCAGTATATACACATATGTACATGCATAATCAGTTGGATTTTGTATGATTTTCGCTGGCGCACTATTCTATACATACATTTGTTGTTCTCCGCTGCCTGATAGTTGTTTTTGTTGTTGTTGGTTCTCTTTATTTGGTCCTCCCTTCGCCGGGTGTATGCGCTTTCATTCATTTGTATCTTTGTACGGCGCGGAAATGCTCTGCGCTCGCTAGTAAATCCATATCGCGCCACCATATGAACGCACACACGCTCATACATACACATAGTGGTGCCTACTGCGCATGTATGCTTGGAGTCCACCCCACGGATGGTGTATCTCCGAGCGCGAGTAAGCATATGTTGTGCACATTTCAATAGCACTTACAGTGTGTGGCAAAAAACTGTCGATGCTTCAACATATACATATATATATAAGCTTTGTGAGTCTACTTCTTCTTCTTTCATGACGTAGACACCACTCGCGCGATTATAGCCGAGTTGGAAACAGTGCACCATTTTTTTACTCTTTTTCCTTTTTTGACGGCAAAGGGAAATATTATACCAAGTACAACCGGGTCCTCTTCCGGCGACCAAAGGTTGTAATTAACTCCAGCGAACCCAAGGGTTGATCACGTATTCAGGATATACGACGTGCAAGCAAGAGTTGGACTCGGGACCGTAATTGCATACCCAGTAACCTGACTACAACCCATTACAGTTTGTAACCGCTAAAGCTCAAGGCTCCTGGATGGATTTTTTGAATAGCTATTACTCTATGCCAGAAATATATTCGGACTAGTGCTCGTATCCTGGTCTTCGGAATGGTTGTACGTATTGCTAACCAATCAGCAATTGCGGCCGCCAACTGGTGAGTACTGCATCGGGTACTTCCTGAGCTTAAGTGCTTTCATCTATCTGCACAATATGATCGATCCATGATTTTGACTTGGGGGTCAATGTTAATATGCTCTTGGTATTAATACTGGCTCCAAGATAGACGAAAGAACCTAACACGCCAAGCGGCGAGCCCACTGACTGTTTGTTTGATGATAGGTGATATTTCGTATTTTTCTCGTTCGCTACTAGAACCATTGGCTTGCATACCTAGCTTATCTAGCGTGCAACACCCCAGACATCTGTCCTTGATCTAGATTAGTAGTTAACACGCTGCTTTATCGAATTTGCGCGAACTTTCATAGCGCAAAACGTCTCATAGCCGTAGACAGGTAACATTCAGGTTGGCCAAATAAACACGGCAGAGCCTCTAAAGGCGCACCTCTAACCCAGAACCAGTCCCCATCCGACGGAAAGTAAAGGAAATCCGAAAAGCAGCAAAACTACAGCACTCCAACAGCGTGGATTATTCAACCGAGACCGAGAAACACTGCGACAACTCGAGGATTTGGTCATCCAACGCTTATACATTGTAAATTAATAAAAGTCTAATTATAATAAAAATATTGTTAAAATTTAATACAGCTAAAAGAAAAAAATGGTGTTCACCATTTCATTTTGAAGTTTATTCAGTGCGTGAACATTGAATATGCGAAATAAAAAATATACTCAATTCGAGTCTGAGAACTATTAAGAATTGAGCCTGCTGCTGCTTTTATCCCCTTTGTATCGATTGCCACTGTGGGGCCCTTATGCCCTTCTGCCTTATATTTACAATATTTTAGCTAAGACAATTGAACAGTTTGAGTAGCTCTGCATTTATTTGTCACCCTTCTAAAGTCAATACATAGGGTTTGTAACTCCGCTGACTGGTTGTAGGCCATGCTAACGCACAGTGAAGGTTTAGAAACAAGAAATATTAAGCATTTTAAATTTATTTTCATGTATGTACGAGTTTAGACACCTTTTACCAAAAAAAAAATTTTGTATGAGATTTCTCATCGTTCTTTCCACATTTTTATAAAATTTGTGAGAATTCCTTTTATTATAATAAACTAATTAAATAAATTTTATATAGAAAAATTTAGGAAAATTTTTTCATAAAAGTTGGATGAATGAGGAAAGTATCCTGGGAGTAATTCTAAGATTAAATTCTGAAATTATCGCTGTTATGTGACCAATAATACCTTTTGTGAGCCGTGGATACCTTCTTCAGAACAGTCTTCTCCACATCAGCCTCCATTATGAAACACCTCCAAAAGGGTTAGGGCTCGACTTCGACTTCCACGGATTCAGAACTAGGTCAGTACTAGTTCAGATCGATCATATTGTGATACATTTGGGATAAGTTTCCAGTGTTCTAGATATGCGTATCTTCTGAGGATTATCATTGATTCGGACCACTTCCTTATGTACCAAAGAGCGACGTCAAGCAATACAAGGAAGGTTCGAAGTCGAAAAAACTCTACTCACAACAGACAACCAAACGGCCTTATATTCGGATTGTAAATCAGCGCTGTGAGAGCACTCATCCGAAACTCAGTACAAAGAACTGAGTAGCTGGCCCAAAAAAAAAAGAAACGACGACTTACAGTAGATTTCAACACCAGATTAAATTCTTGTAGTACGCAGAAAAGTGATCTAGCGAGTGACACCCAGATTTTATTGCATTTATGGAGGTCTTTCAGCCTGCTGAACGGCAGTGAAAACGAAATACCAGGAGATGGCGAACTCGATTTCCCAATCGATGATGATGGTAATGACGCTTCGATACCCGATTATGAAGCAGCTCGAATAGCAATTGCCCACTTGAAGAATAATAACTTGAGAGCGTCATATGTAAAAATGGTGGTAAAGAACTGTCAATAGGCAAGCATCAAGGAATTAAGGAGTGGTTTGCTCCGTACATAAAAATAGGCTCCCAACGTGGAACGAATTTAGCTGTCCTTAATAGTGTGACTTCATACCATTGACAATTTACTTACCGTGCACTGAATCTTCAGAAACACCTGTGAGTGAAGGATCCACATAAACTACCTCTTCTTTGATTTTAAAGCTATTCGTATCTTCAAAAGCACGAGTGAGAGGATCAGCTGTAACCACCACACTGGGAAAAAGAGCGAGATGAGTGGGTCTAGTAGGTTCTTGACAGCCTTGAAATCCAACGCAGAATCACTCTTGTCAACAGCTGTCACTTTGGACTGAGTAGAAAATTGATAAGTAAAGTCTTCTCTCTACAAACCAATACCACAATGACCATTTCTACATAGCGAGTCGGCCTTAAATATTTTCGAGAAAAAGGTTTTGTGTGAGAGGGTTTTAAAAATATTAAATGTCCGCTTGTAGAAGTAGAGGAGAAGAAAGATCTCCATTGGAAATATTTGGTGGAAAAGAATCCGGCTTCACTTGGTGTCGGAAGGTTAAAAGAAAAAGAAGAGAAACGACTTGACTGGACGATTGTTGATTCGGCTATAATCGAGTAAGCGGCATCTACGCCAATTAAGACGCAGAGAAATTGAAAAAGTAAACCACAAAAAATAGTCACACTTCAAATGAATAACTGCTGACAACTCGTGCTGCCTTACAGCGACATCTAACGCCTTCATAAGGTGGGTAACAAAATATGAACGACATAACTACAAATATTGCATAGACGGCGGGCCACATTCAGACTCTATTAATCACAGTTTTACATAAACTGATATGCACCACACATAACACATACAAACGTATATCTCCCGTTTGTGGTTGGTATGACATGTGATTTATCCACATGCTCGTTTGTACATTTGTATGTATGTATGTTTGTCGTGTACATAATTGCATTCCAACGTGACGCGTGTTAGCACGGCTAATCCACAGTTGAGCTGCTGAGGTATCGGACGAACGTTGGGAATAACAAAATTTTCCAGCCTCTAACTCTGCTTCTGCTTCTGTCTCTGCCTCTGCCTCTTATATAAAATCGTGTTGTTGACCATTTTTCTGCTGCTGTCCTGACTGCGGTTGCTGCTGCACGGACCGTGTGACACAATTGCCTGTCAGCATCCTTGAAAATGTTTTTTTTTTCCTTTTTTTTTTTTTTGAAAAATTTATTAACGCGTTGCGGTTACTCTGGATGCTCAGTCGCGTCTGCCTCTAATGTTTATACTCGTACTGCACTCTGTGTTGTTGTTTTGCTTGTTTGCTGGTTGTTTGCCATGGCAAAGTGCGCGCCGCTGTCAATGCCAATGTTGTCAAGTGGTCGTTTCGACATTTCCAACACGCCTCTAGAACCACTTCGACGGTGGCTGTGCGCGGTGGCGTGCATTCAAGCAAATAAATAATTCCACTCAACTGTTGCACGCACTAAACTTGGTTGATACTATTACATTTCAACCTTTTTCCGTCCGTTTCGGGCATTTTTTTTATATTTATTTTTCTAAACTTTAAGCGGGTAATCCAGGTCTGAAGCGACTGTGTTTCAACCCAGCAGCATAAGTTCTTGAGTTAAATTAACTGCAACTGCGATGAGTTTTTCGTCATGGATTAGAGGAATCGCAGTAGAGGAAATGCCAAAAAATCGTGATTTCATGGTTTCCAAAGTGCAGTGTTGTATTTGGGCATCTGTCAAACTTAACTGTAAAATCAAAATTTTAAAGAAATTTTAAGAGACTGGATGGGTTAAAGAAATATATTTTAATGGCCGTCTTCACATCATCGGTTCGGTTGTCTTACCTCGCTGCTATTAGTGAAAGTGTAGTCGAAGATCCGGATGTGTCTATTTCTCAACGTTCTCAAGATATGAAACTTTCTTATGGCACTTTATGGCGTTTTGCACTTAGACTTACACCTACATCCATAGAAAGCTCAGCTCGCATAAGAACTGAAGCTCGCTGACCATTCAGAACACCGTAAGCGAAAGTGTCGTAATAGAAACTCCGAGAATCCTTAAATACTTGAAGAGAGGTAATTACATCTGAAAAAATGCTTATTGTCTGGTGTACTCTTTGGTCCGGAGGTACGATTGAACTTTACTCCTGTGAAAACGACAACG